GGGGTTGGCTATTTTTTCAATCTGAGTAACAAAAGTTTTTGAGTTTGAACAAAACTTTGAATACTAATAAAAACAGACATTGCCAAGCATTAATCTCATCCATCATGTCATGGAGCACCATGAGGGATTAAAGTTTTACAGCGTGCTCTATTCTACCCCTCAAAACTGTTTCCTTTCAAAGCACTGAGATGCTAACCCCCTGATGCAATCAACATGTCAAAAGTCCAAGAATTGCAATGAGCTCATTGCATCAGTTGGAAATCAAAGTTCACTTCTGGTCCGTCAGATTTTTATGGAGACTTAAGATATATTTGCATCATGCCACCAAGGAGAAGAAATCAACCTTGCAAACCAGCTGTTCAACCGCATTCCATGCATCAATAGATCAACAAAAGGTGATCGCTATGATCGAAGAACTAAGGCAGATTGAATCTTTAGCCGAGCACACTGCGCAAAATCGAGCCCCTTCTCAAGTGGAACCGAATCTGAAGAAGAGGTTAAATTCCGTAAAGAGGGATCCATAATTCCTTTCAATTGCAAACCGGCGTCCTTTTCATTTGATAATTGATGACACGACAATGGGAATAAAGAAGATATTATGGATACTGCAGAGGAGACACAGAATGAAGATTATTTTGACTTGGCACCAAAATATATGATGAGCACACGGACGACTACTTTTCGGGTAATGAGAATCCTTTGTGCTGGTTAGTGAAGATGTTGAACAATGAGACACTCCTATGTTGGATGAAACCCCTCAGCCGTACTGCATAATTGATGTCAAACATGTAGCATGCATTAAGAAGTTCCATCTATTATTTATTATGATGGCCGAAGAGAGCAGATGTGACGATTCAAGATTTTTCTGTCATGCAACTGATATTCCACTGCCTAGTACCATATTAGAATTCAACTTTAATTATGATAGAAACGAGAAACTTAATCCTCTTGGGAAAGAATTTACTCCCCATGAATCAATACAAACTCATAAGAGATCTGCTCAAATTTGGCAATCCATTGAGAAGCAATTCTCAAGTTCAAATTTGTTAGGAAGGAATTGCTTAAACAATGAAGCGACAAAGTTAAACAATTTACCATAGAGTAGACTTAAGAGTCAATTTAATCGCAAAGGGTACCCAAAACACTCAATGACCTAATCATGGACCAATTGCACTAGTGAGATTTCTCATTTACAATTTTGCAACACCAATTGCATCACCCCTTAATGAGTAGACTGTAAATGAATGTATAATGGTGTCTCCTTATAAAGTTCAGCCCATGCAGGACTTAGAGGAATGTGCAGGGACCAAAATGAAGTAATTGTCTTTTTACTTTTCAGTGGAAACCAATTGAGTGTCTCATCTAAGGCTAAGATGTCTGTCATTGACACTTCAACAACAGAGCTTAAGTGTTGCAGGGATCAATAAAAGCTATCCGATGCAACACCTTTTGGCCAGGAGGAAGATTCGTTTTGGCACATTTGGATGTGTCTTTTTTGCCTAAACATCTACCAGCTAGTTCTCTGTTATTTTCATTAACAGTATAACGTTTCTCCTCTATTTTCCTAGGTAGAAAAAAACCACATTGTCTCATGTACCCTATTATCTGGTTATGGAATGTTCATTATCAATGAGGCCCTGCCCTTTCTCCAATAAGGCAAGCATGGGTGAACATAACATAGGGCATATTCCTAAGGCTATGCTCTTCAGAAAGAGTTCTCTCGCAGTATAGTATTAGCTGAAGACATAATTTAAGTTGTAGAAAATATAAGCGGTTATTAATTTGTGAAAACCTCAAATTAGGATTTTACATTTTAAGGTATTGAGTTAAACAAAGTAAAGAATATTTGGATTGTGGAAATTAGCCGGCTAAATATGAAAATTCTTAGATAATAGGATGGACAGCAGATTTACGCGGTAGTTTAAACAATGCATATTAAATAAATGTTTTCATTAATTTATCATAAGAGGCTCTCAAAAGATCGTAAATATTGAAAGTAATCGGTCTTGTGAATCTTTTAAGGGTACTCAACATTTGAATTGTATTGGAACTTGTAGCCTATGAAGCATGGATACGAACACGAGGATACGACAAAGTTCCGGAATATAGGACACATGGCAAGGTTATGGCCAGTAAAAAAAATTATATATTTTTTAAAAAATAATAGACTTATAATATATTAAAAATAAAGTATATTTTATAATAATATTAATAATATGACCTAACAAATATTAATTTTTTGATTAATATTAAGATCAAAATAAATATCCACTATTTTCATCAAACATCATTACATTCATTAACATTCATGGTATACAAATTATGGTATACAAGTTACATAGCAAAAAACACAAATAAAACATAAAGAAATCACACCCCTATTAATAGTTAATAGTCTTTTTTATATATTTATTAAAAAAAAAAAACTTGGTTGTGTCCTGACTGTATCCTGGCCGTATCTTAGCCTTGTCCGATTAGTTCACTACTCAAGACACTTCTAGGTGTGTCAAACACATGTCCAACACTGCCACGACACCCCTAGGGAAGTATCCATACTTTCTAGCTTGTATCATTTGGATATATGACATCATAATCAGAACACCATTCTAGTCACTGGTCTACCAAACCATGAAATGGTATCTATCAAAACTCAAAGATCACACTCTGAATCTAAATTTAAGAACACGTTTTTCCCCCAAGGAGCCTCCTTTATCTTCTTTGGTAAAGAAGGAAAGCAAAGAGAAGGCATTGAAGCAGTCAAATAAATGAGAAACCTCTACTGGAGATAGCAACTCAAAAAGCTCCGTCTGGTGCAACTTTTCAGAGTCTTTGACTGACAGAGCTCATGGACGTTATAGCATTAGAAAGGGATACGCAGTACAATCCTTTTGAAGTAACAGTTATGCATACTAATGAATAGAAAACAACAGAGTTCACATGATCACATAACATAATGTTCAAATCTTACGTTTTCCAATTCATCGAAGTAGTTGAGCTTACTACGAAGTGATTCTGCAAATTCTATCAGTCTTTGCTTCTCTAGCAGCTGCCACCGAAACAACGCAAAAATGTCACTTCAAATTGTGTACCAACTCATTTTCTCACAAGGATATAAAAGTACCAAACACAGAAAAAACACAACTGACAATGTTTTGACTTGTGCGCCTAATATAAGCTAATAAAAGAACAAAATATTCTATAGAAATAAGCTTTCACCCAAAGGTTAGTTTTCGAAATCTTAGCAACAGAGTCATACGGAAATAAATAATGACATGGACTATATAGGCACTTGATGAATATGTCTAAAATCTTTTAATCCTGCATTGAATTATCAAGTTCTGCAGCATTTGTCGGAGTTCCAAGCCTGTGCCCCACCAAATCAAGAGAGGTCCATATTAAGCATTCAAGAAATGTAAAGAAAATTAATTAAGTAAACTCTAATTTCGTTTATGAAACCAGGGTCTAATTTTTGGCCAGCATCATAAGCTAATGAAATGCTAAATGTTTAGGAGAAAAGCAAGAGAAAACCACACCAGTCTGTCACATGCATCATGAAGGGTTTTTGTCTTTGTTGCCACTGCTTGATGCTGCAGCTGTAGATCATTAAACAGGTCAAGGGTTTCATCAACCTGAAAGGAAAGTAGTTCATCAAGCCATTACGCTGACTAGTAGCAAGAAAGAACTTCCAAATAAATAAAACCCAAAAAACAGCACACTAAATCTATAGAAATACTAGAAAAACAGTAAGGTCTGAAAGGGAAAGTATTATGTAACCTGATAAAGTATGCCATCACATTTCTGTATACGATCTGTTAAAGTATTTACATAGCACTGATATTTTTCTTCTGCCTATGCAAACCAAAAAAATCAGATGCCGCTTATGCTCGCAATTGCTCAAACAACAAAAACTTCAATTGCAGAATTATGGCTAACCTCTGATTTCATGGCTGCTTCAAGATCCATAAACCATTTATAAAACTGCAAGGAAGATAGTGCAAATTAAGAGTAGCAAAGATTCAGAACTACGTACCTTTGGTAGCAAAATTTTATTATACTACACTATTGGTTATGAGCAAGGCTTGCAAATTAGCATAGAGAGACGTTCAAATACAAGGAACACATTGTGAGGACAAAAAAGAAAATAAAAGAAGAAAAAAATGAAACTACAATAGGAAAAGAAACACGAAGTTAGAAGTGAAGGTCCTTATAACCAACTAGTTCAGTTATGCTTTGCTTAATATTCAATGTCGATTGTGTAGAATTATTAAGATGAAAAATAAATTCTAAAAGACAGTTATAAGACCAACAATGTTTTATAGTACAAAATGTTGGATGATTTAAGGAAAACCACGCACAAAAACTAAGTGCAATAGAAATGATAGTGTTCAGATGGTTGTGTTTTTCCCAAGATAAATTATGAATGAGTGCATTCATGAAACGTTACAAGTACTACCAATATGAGATAAACTAAGAGAGAATTGACTTAGCTGGCTTGGACATTTTCCTAAAAAACCTTACTCCACCAATAACAAGAAGGAAAAGAGTTATGTGAATACCTATCGATGGAAATGCAAGAGATAATAGACTAAAATTAACTGCAAATGAAATAGTAAAAAAGAATATGATAGTTTGCTATTTAATAGAAAATATGACCTCCATATAACACAATGGAGGCACATGATTCTTGTAAGATTGCAAATAGTTGGGGGCAAAACTTTGTTAAATTGAGTTGTACTTAGTTCTGGAATATAACTGCAAGCTGCAGTTAATTTACTTCAAATTGTCCCCTGAATTGCCATGAAATTAAATCAAACTCCACAAAGTAGTACTCATCGATTTATTTAGACCATTGTAATTCAACATGCAATAAAGCATGGCCCTCCTTGTATCTTGGTGGTTGCGGATCTAAAATCCTCACTCTAAGGCCAGGGGTTTAAGGACTGGCGCAGAGAGAGAGAGGATAGAGAGAAGAATTTGAGGACTTCTAAAATACCTCCCCTTTAAAAAAAACAGAGGTGCACAAACAAAGCCCCCAATCCCCGCTCCATCTTTGGAAGAAAGCACGAATGCCAAGAAAAATGATCATGCCATCAAACCACCATAAATAGGGATAAGCAGTGACATCATATGTATTACATGGTGGATTGGCTATGTCTTCGAAGGCAATAAAATATGCCACAATATCTAAATACGAAGTGAATTTATTGCATTAAAAATGGCAAATAACATAAAATGAGTTAGATACGACACCACATGAAGTGGCAGTTGCCATCCTCCACTCATTTTGCACATTTACATCTTCCAATGAAATGAAAGCTTTGTTTCTTATAAAAAAAATATTAGTTCATTATTTATCTTCATTAAGCTTCTCTTTATATAAAGTCACGTTTGAAAAAATACTCAACCAAGGCAAATTGTCATATTCTACAAACTTTTAAACTTGATGCAGAATACAGTCAGCACCCCATAGTTAACACCTACCACAAAAACTTTAAAAACATGACAGCATATCACACTCCAGTTGATGTTTATAACTTGTAATACCCAAAGAAACTTATTTTCCCAGTGACCTTTCAACATGGCATATCCCCCCCCCAAAAAAAAAAAAAAAGGAATAAAAAACAAAGCACACCCAAAAGAAGGGAAACCATCGGCAAATGGCTCAATGACTGGTAAATTAGTCAAACATTTATATAACATGAGTAACATTTCTTAAATAAAAAATAACTAAGAGAAAACNGCACACCCAAAAGAAGGGAAACCATCGGCAAATGGCTCAATGACTGGTAAATTAGTAAAATATAGCAGTGTATGCATGTCAAACATTTATTCATAAAATGAAAAAGAAAATGGATAAGAGGCAGGGAGAGAATGAGATAAACATATTCTAAAGTTAAAAGGGAAATGAGTAAGAACTTTCAATGCTGCTAACAACATGAGGATTGAAACAAGAGGGCAACGAAACCAAGGTCTTACCTGATTTGTATTGACCAAAACTGTTTCTACGGCCCCACTTTCTTCCACATTGCTGTGCTTTGTTGAAATGCATAAGCCCTTATCCTGTCCAGATATGTGCTCTGGGGCCTACAACATTATTTGTCATGAAATTGAATTCATGAACTACACAAATAGCCAATGCTTTATATCATGCAGAGACAGGAGAAAGACCAAATTGGCTGGAAAAGGTCGCTCAGCAACTGCATGAGATAGTGCTCCTATTGCTGCCTGTTGTTGCTCTGTCAATGGAGCACTCTGTAGATATCACACCATGTTACTAACAGTGGACTAACTAGTAAATACTAATAAGGCACACACACACCCGCACACACAGAGAGGACAACAGATTGGAAGGGAGAAATTGAGTGAATAAGCCAGACCAAAGCCTTGTACATATTAGCACAAATGGTAAACCAAGTAGTAGCAAAAAGGTTACCATGTGATTGTGTCTGTTAATATGGGAAACATGGTGATGTTAAAGGATTAAAGAGCTGTAGGTGATAAGAAATGAAATTCCTGAAAGCCATTTTTGAAAGACTCCATGACAGATTGATGGAAGAATTTCATAAGAACTCCAAATTCTGATCCCAATTGAAAGTCTAATAATGCCACAACCCCAGACGGCATTGTTGTACTAATAGAAAGAAGGCTATAGAAAAAGTAAAGAATAAGCAGCTTCACATGTTTGCATCAGATCCATTGTGTAAGTCAACCAAACAATTTGCAAACCAAGTCATGAAAAAGGAAAGAAACCACAAGAGACTCGAACCAAAATGCACATGAAATGAGAGAGGACTAAAGACAAATCAACTGGTCAAATCCATTTTGGATCACTTTTTTCAAGTTTAGTCTTACCTTCTTTCCTATGCTATTTGAATGTCTGGAGTCAATGTACCAGTAGAAATATATGCAAGGATCAAAATAACGTTTTGAAATGGTCGAAACATTCGAAACGTTTCCGTTGTCAAGGGGACCGANCATTTTGGATCACTTTTTTCAAGTTTAGTCTTACCTTCTTTCCTATGCTATTTGAATGTCTGGAGTCAATGTACCAGTAGAAATATATGCAAGGATCAAAATATCGTTTTGAAATGGTCGAAACATTCGAAACGTTTCCGTTGTCAAGGGGACCAAAATGAATCGGTGATGAAATCAAAATTCTAATACTTTAAGGTGTTCTATAATGTTTTAAAATGTTTTATTATATTTCAATGCATTTGCACAATTATTTCAATATGTTTCAAGATATTTTAGTATATTTCGACCAATATTTTGAAAAAATAATTCTTAAATTTTTATTTTTTATTTTTTCATTTTGTNGTCTTACCTTCTTTCCTATGCTATTTGAATGTCTGGAGTCAATGTACCAGTAGAAATATATGCAAGGATCAAAATAACGTTTTGAAATGGTCGAAACATTCGAAACGTTTCCGTTGTCAAGGGGACCGAAATGAATCGGTGATGAAATCAAAATTCTAATACTTTAAGGTGTTCTATAATGTTTTAAAATGTTTTATTATATTTCAATGCATTTGCACAATTATTTCAATATGTTTCAAGATATTTTGGTATATTTCGACCAATGTTTTGAAAAAATAATTCTTAAATTTTTATTTTTTATTTTTTCATTTTGTTTTCGAAATGGGTCAAAACATTTCTGAAACATGTCAAAAAATTTATGTTTCCTAAATGACCAAAACGAATTTTTGATCCTTGAATATATGGTAGCCAATTGAGACTCATGTCCAGACAGAGACTATCGATTCTAAAGATTTTTCTACTATTCGACCAAGTCTTCTAGATTGTATTCCAATTTTATGGAACTAAAATTTATGAAGATTGACTCGTGGTTTGCACAAAAGAATCCTGCTCCATTGACTGTTTTGTTGGAACATTGTGTGGCCAATGGAGAGGATGATGTTGGAGTTAGACACAAAAAACCCATGTGTCATCAATAAGCGTTTAGTCACTGTTCGCTCATAGCCTTCCTGACCTGTATCCCTTCAATTGTATCCAAAATCATCATTTTCTCATACCCTAAAGGGTGCTAAGAAACGCCTTGTCGTTAAGCTTTAACCTTTGTTCCTTGGCTTAATTGAGACTTACGATTCAAGTAACTATCAAAAATAAAGTCTCGAGTCCAAAGCACGTCACACATCGTCAAAGTCATAGTGCAACCAGCATTGGTTCGAATACAGATGGCACCANAAGATTTTTCTACTATTCGACCAAGTCTTCTAGATTGTATTCCAATTTTATGGAACTGAAATTTATGAAGATTGACTCGGGGTTTGCACAAAAGAATCCTGCTCCATTGACTGTTTTGTTGGAACATTGTGTGGCCAATGGAGAGGATGATGTTGGAGTTAGACACAAAAAACCCATGTGTCATCAATAAGCGTTTAGTCACTGTTCGCTCATAGACTTCCTGACCTGTATCCCTTCAGTTGTATCCAAAATCATCATTTTCTCATACCCTAAAGGGTGCTAAGAAACACCTTGTCGTTAAGCTTTAACCTTTGTTCCTTGGCTTAATTGAGACTTACGATTCAAGTAACTATCAAAAAATAAAGTCTCGAGTCCAGAGCACGTCACACATCGTCAAAGTCATAGTGCAACCAGCATTGGTTCGAATACAGATGGCACTANCCCAGTTTGTCAGCCACAAGACTATCGAAATCTTCGACTCACCATGCAGAGGAGTTGGGCAACGTTCCAAATAAGAAATAATTGGTGAATCCTCCAATTTCGTTTAAATTGTGAAGTCAGTTTAGGTCCAGTTTAACAAATTTAGTTTATTCTGACATTTAAAATCATTGAGGTGAATATATCCTTACCAATTACCATTCATAGATCCTCCAATTATTTCGCAGTTAGAGAGTAATCAAATATCATGCAAATAATTATGATTCAATTGGGATCTACCTTGAACAATGAAGAGCTCCTTGCTGCNTTCACTTTTTGATCACTAGGGCCCCCCTTTACCACTTAGTCTTGCTTTAGATTGTAATTAGCCTTGAATTTGCCTCAACCATCCTCTAGTCATGTCCAGCCTATGTTCTCAATAATAAGAGCTTGTGCATTACCATACCAGGTGATCATCATATTGTTTTTTTGCTGAACACGATCCTAGTAACTTGACTCGATGGCAACACATTTCCAGGTAGAAAGTTATGGTAATCACCATGGTTTCCCAACTGTCTAGCAACGAATTCCAAAAGTAACAATGCTAACAACTCAGCTTCAAGCAATATTTTCAGCGTAGCCAACTGATTCCTAACACGTTGAAATTCATTCAAGTGCACAGTAATTGGGATTCCTTACCTACACTTCAAATTAACAAGTTATTTATTCAAGAAAGTTTTGTTTCATGTAGTCTTATGCTCATACCTACCATCCAACTTCTACTAGACATTCAAGTTTTTGCAAAAGAAAAGATCCACCTCTTCCTTTGATTTCTAAATCAATCAAATTGGTATGGTAAGTTTAACAATAGTGCCACTACTCCCTTCCATCTATATTTACACAAAACTACCATACTCCTGAATAAACAAGATCTTTGATACCACTTGTTGGGGTTAGACACAGACAACTACTGGGTGAATTAAAGTAGAAGCGAAGCCAAATTAAGAAAAAAACCTGGAATTCTTTATTCAAATGATAATCAAATGTCTATCGAACACTCCACACTAGACCACTGTTCCAAAAAACCCTTTTGGCGTTTGATGGTCCTTATAAACATCAGTTGAAACAAACTCGTTCGCTTCCATCACTTAACCAGCAACCCACAAACGATGAATCAATAAACACCACAGTTTAAAAAATCACAAAAACAGTAAGATTTAGGTCAAAATATCCTCCAATAAATAGAGAAATAGCACTGGACAAACTCTGTACCAATTCACGCTAATCAACAGGTTACAATGGTTCTTTAGCTTAATATTACACCCAGATTCTCAGATTAAAAGGTAAAATGTGCCTCAAAGAAACTTTCCAAGTTTCCTCATCACAGGAACACCCCCTCCAAACAATAAGTTGGCAAAGACACCTTCCATTTAAGACAATCGCGCCCTTACTTTCTCTATGCTTGTGCTTTCCTCCTTTCTATTCTTACTATCAAGAAGAATTTAATGAAAATAAATCAGACAACAAAACACTACAGGTATATACATAAATCTTACACACTTGAGCATATTAATACTCATGGGCATGTACACGCAAACCTGGCCCTTAAATGAAAATCTAGAGCTCTTGGACTTTCTCATATCACACACCATACCCTTTAGCTCTTGGGCTCCCTAAGGAATCCTGTGAGCCCAGTTTGTCAGCCACAAGACTACCGAAATCTTCGACTCACCATGCAGAGGAGTTGGGCAACGTTCCAAATAAGAAATAATTGGTGAATCCTCCAATTTCGTTTAAATTGTGAAGTCAGTTTAGGTCCAGTTTAACAAATTTAGTTTATTCTGACATTTAAAATCATTGAGGTGAATATATCCTTACCAATTACCATTCATAGATCCTCCAATTATTTTGCAGTTAGAGAGTAATCAATTATCATGCAAATAATTATGATTCAATTGGGATCTACCTTGAACAATGAAGAGCTCCTTGCTTCAATCACTACAAGCAATACGGTTAAAACATTGTCTACCGTTGCTTGTGACAATGAAAATTATGCCTGCCCCTACTGTTTTGAAACTATGCTGTGTAAAAAACCTAATCGAAGATTAAGAAGCAAGATCTATCAAAAGCTTGTGGGCTCTTCAATTAAGGTTTCCTTGGCACAGATCGCGCCGGAGTTCGTTGTTGGGAACATGAACGAGTCCCCAGTGGGGAAAACGAGCACATCCCAAGGTAGGGGAACGGGTTGGGGGCTCACGCACAGTTTAGAGGTGATAATGATCTCTGATCCAATAGAGAAACAACAAATCAATACAATCCGAAAATAAATTAGGAATTGAGAAATGTAAAAATGGCAATTGAAATCTGAACTTACCTGTTCCCAAGTAGAAGCGAAGTTGTAACCTTTAGAAATAGCTTCAGACTTCGGTAGACTTGCTTTCGGCGTCGCCATTCTTACTCCAGATTTTTTCTATTAGAACAAAAACAGAAGGAAAAAGAACTTAGAGTTCCATCCGATTTTGGGCGGAAAATGACACCCTGCTACAAAAACTGAACAAATAACACAGAAAAAAAAGATCCCTCGTAATAGAACCGACACTCTCTGATTCCGAAGACTCGCCTGTCTCTTTCTAGGATCTCTACAATGTGGTGTTTTCCGCTGAACAACGAGGATGAAACTCAATTGACATCTGACCGTGACTTACCTTTTCCAGCCTATTTCGTTTCAGACACAATTGAGTGATTCTCTTACACCATATCAGTTGAAATAATGATCACTTCCAATTCTTTCTTGTTCTATGTATCTTGTCATCCGTTCGACTCACATCGGCCGAGTCCGGTGGTCACCAACGATGCGATGACCAGGGGCGGAGACTGAATTCTTTTCAGTGGGTGCATCTTAAAATGTAATAATAATTAGTCATAATCCGTAATAATAATTAATCATAATTTGTGCTTCCACGATAAAATATAAAATTTAAGCATATAAAAAATTGATCTTATTATATTAAATAATAAATTTTTTTCTTTTCTTTTTTTGATTACATCATTTAAAATTAATTTTACCCATTATTTTCTTTAAAAAATCAATAAAAATTTTCTTAAAATACTTAATCTCACAAAAAAAATTCAAAATACATAATTTGACAAAAAAAAAAAATTAACATGTGTATACTATTACGTATGCAAAATATCTACAATAAAAACTGTGTTAAATTACAAATTAATTAAATACTAAATGATATATGATAAAAATGGATAATGTGATTTTTTTTTAGGGTAAAAATGTGTAGAGATAATATTTTAAACACTCAGCCAACTTATTATATAGGTATAAATATTTCATTTTTTCACAAAAAATAAAAAAAATAGAAAAAAAAATGTCAATCAAGACCATCCAAATATATCCATCTCTCATAATTAAATTTTTGTATGTACTCTTCATTATCCATTTTTCTAAGAGATTAATCATTGTGCANATAGAAAAAAAATGTCAATCAAGACCATCCAAATATATCCATCTCTCATAATTAGATTTTTGTATGTACTCTTCATTATCCATTTTTCTAAGAGATTAATCATTGTGCATATTATTTTTAAAAAATTGATACACAATCGGATCTGAGTGATCATANTAGAAAAAAAAATGTCAATCAAGACCATCCAAATATATCCATCTCTCATAATTAAATTTTTGTATGTACTCTTCATTATCCATTTTTCTAAGAGATTAATCATTGTGCATATTATTTTTAAAAAATTGATACACAATCGGATCTGAGTGATCATAATTCAATTCAAATACAAATTATCAAAGCTCTAATGCCTATTGTTAGACAAACAAAATGTAGTAATAATACTTACACTAATTATAGCACCAAATAATGTAAAAGTTGACAAAATCAAAGAAATTATTTATGTATTATCTCTCACAAAAACTCTGATAAAATATCAGAAATTTTCATTTTCTTTACTATTTACTAAATTATTTGTTTGGACGATCTAATAGACTCATTTATCGTCCAAATCTATTAAAGCTAAATATTTCCCTAATTCTATGTTAATTTTGTGACATATTGGTCGTATTATGAACNAAATTATTTGTTTGGACGATCTAATAGACTCATTTATCGTCCAAATCTACTAAGGCTAAATATTTCCCTAATTCTATGTTAATTTTGTGACATATTGGTCGTATTATGAACCAACGAGCATTTAGTTCAATAATATTCTTTATTTTGTGAATGTTTTGTCTTCTTGAATTCAAGGGTTCAAGTTTTTTCCTTTCCAATATATATATAATTATGACTTGTGAGTACTAGAATAATTAGAGAGATTTATCTAAATAAGAAAAATAGAAGTCATTGACAAAAAGTGATCGACTTTGACCCAAATCAAACCCTTCTTTGGTGTATACCTTAATCTAGCCATCCATGCAATTTTGNCCTTCTTGAATTCAAGGGTTCAAGTTTTTTCCTTCCCAATATATATATAATTATGACTTGTGAGTACTAGAATAGTTAGAGAGATTTATCTAAATAAGAAAAATAGAAGTCATTGACAAAAAGTGATCGACTTTGACCCAAATCAAACCCTTCTTTGGTGTATACCTTAATCTAGCCATCCATGCAATTTTGGTTTCATTTGATATGTTGGATTCAAGAGGAAAATCATATATTGCTAGGATGACTTTGTTTCAATTGATATTGGATTTAATAGTTGGACAGAATTATCAAATTTACTAGTGGGCGACACATAGGCCCTACTAAACCTANATGTTGGATTTAAAAGTTGGACAGAATTATCAAATTTACTAGTGGGCGACACATAGGCCCTACTAAACCTACGTGTCTACCAAAATACAAAATGGCATAGACCGACCAACATTTAATATACATAAATATCCCTAAATCTTGTAAAAATTTTCAGTGGGGGCAATATCCTAAAAATTTGAAAATTATAAATATATCCCAAAGGCTTTTAAAATTGCAATGAGGGCAGCTGCTTCCACTACCCTTACTGTAGATCTGCCCTTGGCGATAGTGATACATGTTACAACAAAAACACAGTTTTTTGTTTGAATCAGTATAACTCAGGCCTAACTTGTTCAAGTTAGCTGATTCATATATAAAACCGTCCAACCACACCAACACCAGAGAGAATGCCAAAAAAAAAAAGGCAAAACAAAAGACATAGAGAAAATTTTCTCCCAACAAATCGAGTAAAGATAAAATTAGCAACACATACCTATAAATCTTCTGAATAATCATTTTTCTCAGTTCTCACATAACCTCTTCTTCTCCTTCTTCTTTTTCTTTGCAATAGATACCCATCACTGAAACCCTAGATCCCAGGCAGCAGAACATCATCAATTGCAGAAACCCCTAGATATTCCAGTTTGAGTTGATCTCTCGTCTCCAGTTCTCTATCTCTCCCCGTTCGTCAAACTCTCTCTCCCTGGCTCCCTCATTTTCGCTCTCTCCGTTTTAAAACCCAAAAAGGCATTTCAAGTAATGTTATCAGAATCGGACAGGACATCGAACTAACAAAAGGACTGGGTCAATGGTTCAGTGATTTAACCGTTGAGTCAACTAGTAGAACCAGTTATATAAAAAAAATTATACAACATAATAAATTTAGTCAAAAATTCACAATCATAATAAAAATAACTGTGTAGCGTATAGTGTACTAAGTTTTTTGACTGTTGAATGTGTGTATAGTTTTGACCGTGTGTGTGCACGTGGAGAGAGAGAGAGAGAGAGAGAATGGAACCAGTTGGCTAGTGTTGGGTTACAGATTAGGAAAAAATAAAATAAAAGGAAAGACTGAAGAAACATAACTCCAATGGGCCATCTATGGCAAGCCATGAGAGAGAGAAAGGGGGGAAGAGGAGAAGAAGACTAACAAAGTTTAGGAATAGATCAATGGCTAAGAAAGAGTTTGAGATCTGTGGTGTGGCCACTGTTCGAGTTAGATTTGGAAACATTGGAGACGAAGAAGACAAAGATGAAGGGGTTGAAAATTTTTTGAACTAGCTAGAGAAGACGAAGATGAAGACAAATGGGCTGGTATTGTTTTGAACCGAACGGTTTTAAGAATCTTCGGTTCATTGATTTTGACAAAAATCAGTTGATTTTTCATCGGTTCGATTCCTTTGGTGGTCTAACTAAAGAACCAGACCATTTTAGATCCCAGTCCATGGTTCAACCAGTCCGGTCTGATTCTGATAACACTAGTATCAAGCCACTTTTTTGTGTTTATTTTTTCAGTCTTTACACTCTTAGGGGCTTGGTAAAATGGGTTTAGGTAAAATAGTTTAAAGGATCTCCGAACCTCATGTTTAGATTGAAAATTCAATCCTGAGTTCTCAAATCCAACCCGTACCCTACTATTAAACTCATGATCATGAGTTTCATCAAACCTAGAGGGGGTGGATTTGAGAAAATGGGTTAAGGGATTAAGGATACAAAAGACAATTATACCTCTTAATATGAGTATAAATTGGATTGATCAAGGGTAAAACAATCATTTATTAGACAAATAATTGTTAATAATTATGATATACATGTGTGTCCTACATGTGTATATATTACATATAAAACATGGATATGGACCGGATTCAATGTTAAATCTTATATTTGTAAATAGGGTTTTGGGTTTAGAAGGGTTTAAGAAAGTCAATCCAAACCCTCCCCAAGAATCCATCAAAACAAGTTCTTAAATTTAAACAAAAAGTTTTAAAAGTCTTCTCCAATGTTAGACCTATACCCATATCAAATTAAGAGAGACACATTTTTTTTAACTCAAATTCATTCATAAATTTTTAATAATGAGATTTCACCATCTTTTAAAAAAATAATTATCATATTTTACCTAATTTTAAATTTAAATTTGGATTTCTCTTTCTTTAAACTTTGATTTTTTTATTGGAGAGATTTATACCAAATCAAATTTTTTTTCCTTTTTTTAACTCAAATTTAAGTAAAGATTTAAATTTTTTAATTGAAGATGATCTTAGTTTACAATCTAATCAGAACTTTAACATTAATAAATTAATACTCTATTCAATTTTGTATGTGTTGTGGAATATTTAATAATTTTATGCACAAATTTTTTTTGTAATTGGAGTATTAGATCAACATGAAATAAATAAAATATGTTTGTATTTTCTCATAAATTTTTAAAACTAAAAAAGATATTTATATTCACATTAATGTAATATTTATATTCGTAGTATTGGGAACTAATGGATTTGTTAAATTTACTATCTATAGATATATTGTTGTTGTTGTTGTTTTTATTTTAGAATTTTTAATATTAATTACTAGTATGCTCAAAATAATTGTAGACATATATTGAAAGCTTAGCAATTTAGTGATATTTGATTCTTAATTTTGGAGAACCCCCAAAAAAAAATGTGGCATTAGTTGGAACCATGTAATCAATATTTTCAGTACCGCCGTAATAATTTATTTTTTATTATACTTAATGTATTAAATAATGAATTTTGGGATATGATGTAAAGATGATGATGTTTACATTATTAGGATTTTTCTTTATTTTTTCAAAAAATAAATGAGATATTCTATCTAGCGTTTTGAATGTATTAGTCGATACTGTGTTATGACACTACAACCGATATATCTCTGTGCCCACTGAGTTAGTGATTTATACCACGATTTTGAACCATGATTTGATGTACTAGAAAATAGGAAGAATGAGATGGCGTATGTAAGCTTCTAGTGATGCAGATCGAAGATAAACCAATCAGTATGATGGACAATCAATAGAGAGGCCAACAAACAATCATTCTTGCCAATGGAAGATTCTAGGTAAATATTTGTGATGTACAACTAGTGTTCACTATAAAAAGGCGACTTGTGTGATGGACAATCTCTGCGATCAATAATCTCTATGCAGAACGATTAGTGGTTGCCTTATTTGTTGAAGGTTAGGGCTTTAGTGATATGATGTTGAGCGAATGCAGAGAAAGGACGGTGGAGACAATGGCCAGGGGGTTGGAAGAGGGGGCGGAGTGATTTGGGCCTTGTTTGGTTGGTATCTTACAAAAAAAAAATTGTTTTTTATTTTCGAAAATAATTTTTGGGAGAAAAAGTTGTTTGGTTAATTATTTTTTGTTTTTGTTTTTTAAAAATTGAGAACAAAAAATGGTCAAATTTAAAAATCAATTTAAAACTATTTTGAATATTTTTTGAAATAACTTTCGCATAATTTAAAAAACACCACCATCATCACACTCTCACTCCCATCTCTAGCCACCACCACCCTTCTACCATCACCACCGCCACACTTCAACTACCACCACATTTTTATTTAATATTGTTTTATAAGTTACTATCCAAATAATTTTTACTATTTTTTATTCTGTAGAATATTTTTTGAATCATATAACTAAACAAGTTATACGATACAAAAATACCAAAAATAATTTTCTAAATTTTTTTTCAAAAATATTTTTCAAATATTATTTTTTAAGACGTAAACCAAACCGGCACGGTTTTTTGGGGAAATGTCTTTTGCTGGTTTGGGTTTGGTTAAGCGTTTGTTAGGAGCGGGTGTAAACAAGCTGGTCTGAGTGTGAGTTTTAGAGTTGACAAGACACGCATGACTTTAAAAAATTGTTAAAAGGCAATTTTAGAATTCAAAACAAATAATAATAAAAAAATATTCATTAAATATAAAAGGTTCAAACGTCAATTAGATACAAATAAAAAAAATAAAAAACAGACTAATTACACTTGTTTACAATAATTTTGCAATTGATCATGACGAGTTTTCTAAAGACATCATATAATGGTTTCATTGTCGATGTTATCAAAAATATATTTTTTTATATGTAATCAATGATTTTCAACCGTAACCCTGTAATTAGACATCCAATGATCATCTATTTCGTTGCGTAGTCAAATACTCATAATCTTCATTTTTTATTTGACAAATTATCTTTCAAGTAAGTTGTGAAAAATTAAAGACGGTAAGTCATAGAAAAATAAAGATAGTAAGTCATAAAAAAAAAAAAAAAGAAGAGAAATGGTAAGTCGTAAAAAAATAAAATCTAACTGTATAATAATTTTAAATAATTTTACTTTCAAATTAATAACATAAATCCAAAAAAAAAACACTTGTAAACATGTACATCAAAATCAATTGAAGATAAACTCAAAACTATAAAATTGACCAAACATATCATTATAAATCAATCACCACTCATATTCTCATAAAATACTCTCTAAAATAAAAGTGATAGGGTGAGCACCACAAAAATATTTGTTAATAATGTTCAAAATATATACGTCTACATATATATTAAAATTTATCAAAATAATTATATCCATAAATGTATTTTTTTAATTTAAAATCATTTTTAAAATGTATATTCACTGAACATATATTATTTTTGAGGAGTCTATTTTGTAAAGTCCATCTCATTAAATCCATTTTCAAAGTAGACTTTTACTTTGAAATGTTACGTCAAACACAATTTAGTGATACAGATGGTTTACTGGAAATGCCGGGGGCTTAAGTGATTACAGACTCTATTAAGGTAGGAAAGACATACGTATATAACTTATGCTTTCAACAACACAAGTGGCAACTCTAGACCTTTCCTATTTTTGCACCCAAGGTAGGAGAAACAAATGAATAAATACATAGGAAAGAACACCACAATGTCCCCTTGATTCTATCAACCTCAAGACACCATCTATGCTGTTTATGACCCATCCATACTCTTGAATTTACAAGCTTTCTACAATATACTACAATGAACCCCCATATTTCCTAAGACGGTTGCTCTTATTGTACAATAATCCAAACAGAAACTCCACAAGTCTGCTTGGAACTGATCGATTCCAAAGCCAGTCCCATTGTTGGGGGTATTCATCTTAGACCTCTGAAATTTTCTGTCAGTAAACCCAATGGAATGGTGGGTGTTGTAGAGTCTGGTGTTCGAGAAGAAATTGTCAATTAGCCTCTCCATCCATTTTGGAAGCCCAAGTCCACAGGCAAATCAAAGTGACAAAAGTTAACTATAAAGGTTGAAGATTGCAAATAGTTCTTTAAATGCAAGGGGACTAATATAATGTCTTCTCCACAAACGAATTTACAATATATATATTATTAAAGGTAATTCAAGTGATAACAGGGACGAGTTATAAATATAGACGTTTTGAGTTTGAATCTTAAAAATCTTTTGGGGTCAGACTATAATCGATTTGTCCCTCGTNACACCACCGCCACACTTCAACTACCACCACATTTTTATTTAATATTGTTTTATAAGTTACTATCTAAATAATTTTTACTATTTTTTATTCCGTAGAATCATTTTTTGAATCATATAACTAAACAAGTTATACGATACAAAAATACCAAAAATAATTTTCTAAATTTTATTTCAAAAATATTTTTCAAATATTATTTTTTAAGACGTAAACCAAACGGACATGGTTTTTTGGGGAAATGTCTTTTGCTGGTTTGGGTTTGGTTAAGCGTTTGTTAGGAGCGGGTGTAAACAAGTTGGTCTAAGTGTGAGTTTTAGAGTTGACAAGACACGCATGACTTTAAAAAATTGTTAAAAGGCAATTTTAGAATTCAAAACAAATANGTGAATATCCTGACCCAGTGTGGATGACTTATCTTTGACCTGATTGAGGAATAGATTAGTAGAGGTGCTCGTAAACTGTTCCAGACACCCCTAGGCGTTGGACCAAAAAAAAAATTAAAATTTCAATATATATCACAAAAAAAGCCCAAGCTTTAATTGGTTCAGATCTGAAACAAGTTATCCTTAAAAAAAGCCCAGCCCCTAGACCACAGGTTAAGGGCAAAAGAAAATTTTCAGTTAAAATCCAAAAGAGTTTGTGTCGAATCGGAGGCGGAATACAAGACATCGATAACAACAATAAGAAATCATTAATAAAACTTGAGAATTCCCATCCCTTGTTTCCTCAAATCCTCTCCCAACAACTTGCTGAATTAGTTTTTCTGAAGTAGTTTTAATTATCCTATACTTCAAATGCAGCCTCCTGTTGTTTAACTGCAACATACAATTGATTCCTGTTTTCTAAGCAGCAAAACAACATCAATATCCTGTCTCTCACCAAAACAAACTGATTTACCCACCTCAGAGTGGCTTCAATGTTCACTTGGAACCAATTCACAACTTCAGATTCCTTAGCCCATAAGAACTGGCCAACCATCTTATCAGCAGGCCGACTTTGCATGTTTAGGCTGCATTAGGCATACTCAAAAGCACAAAATCTCTTGCTCGACCCTCAAATCATCCAATCACGACGACTCAACAACACTCGGAGATAATGTACTCCAAAATCAAGATAATACAAACACAATGTATGTATTGAGTTGGAATTAAGCAAGAAAAAGATATGCAAACATTCATTCACCAAAGTATCTCTATTGTATTTTTTCTGATAGGAAACTTGGACACGATAGAAAGACAGAGAAGATTAAATCAGCTCACTCATGAACCGTATAAATTTATTAGAAGTATTTGCAACAAACACGAACTAGAGAAAACCCTTTTGCTTACAGCATTGGATTGCATCATCATACATATCCTCGAGGCTATGTTCATACTTGAAGCCAGTATCCAGGAGTTTTTTCGATGAGAGACCAGAAAATTTAATCCCTTTCATCTCCTTTAAGCTACTGTAAATTCAAAATGGCGGTGGCTCAGATATTTTTCTAAGATGAAAAAAAAAATAGAGATACAAAAAATCGACTTTAAAACTTACTGAGCATCTGGTATCTGATATTCAGGGTATCTGGATGAAAGAAATTCAGCCATCTTATCAATTGTTATTTCGACTCTTGAACAAATATATCTTCCTTTTGCACTAGGATACTCGAGAAGGAAAATATGCGCACTGGCCACATCGTCTACGTGCACCATTGGTACACTACTAGGAAGACTATATTGGTCCTTATCATCTGGACAAATTCAAAATACTGTCAAGAGAAAATTAAAGGTATAATTCTGAATGGCTATTTAAAAGATTAAACTGCTTCGAGAAGATTCACTCAGCTCTGATTCTTCAATATTTGTCAAAGTGTGCATCAACTACTTCACAAGATGTGACTAAATAATTGAGAACCGGAGAAGTTATACCAGAATGCAACTAAAAGCCCTCATTATTGGGTGTCATGAGAAACAAAACATACCCAAAATCATAGCCATTGAGGTGCGCACTGAACCAGGCAAACGAGGACAGACGAAGGGGCCATTGATGAAAGTAGGAATGATGGTCACCAGATCCAATCCATGTTTTTCAGCAAACTCTAAAGCTGCTTTTTCAGTCAATGTCTTGGTGATCATGTATGAAGCTCCCAAAGGTTTTAGAGCTCTAAGAAAATCTACATCACTCCATGTGCTTTCATCCATTACATCTAAACCCTTATCATTACATGTGACAGCGGCTGCACTAGAAGTATACACAACTCGTTTAACGGTCTTTGACTCAAGACATGCCTTTAGAATGCCTAGAATCCCACTGATGGCTCTTTTGGCTTTTATCTCTTCTGTTTCTTTGTCCTCAAAATCGATGGGGTGAGCAACATGAAACACTCCAATGCATCCCGCAATTGCTGCTTCAAAACTTTCTGGAGTATCGAGATCTGCATTGAAAATCTGGAGTCTTTCTGATGCTCCAGGTAAGTTTTTGAGGAAGCTAATGTCTTTCTTCTTGTCTGGCAATACACACAATGTCAATATTTTGTAAGTATTCGCTTGAGCATAAGCATACAACTCAAATAAAAGCTGGTCTAACTAAAACTCTGTTTTTGTAGGAGAGAAAGCAGAAAAATAAAAAAAAAATTACTTTCCTCTCTTTTTTATAATTTGCATCTGAAAGGCATATTTTATTCATTGAAGATAAACTATTGACAGATAGCCTTGTCCCTTAGGTGGAAAATCCTCAATATGCAACTTCTCGAAACGGGGTGAATTATAGTCCCCTCTGTCGCATTGCCTTGATCTCTAAATCCATTTGCAGCCAGCCATTCGGATAGTTCAAGTAAAAAAAAATAATCTAAAACATTATGGTTTGTGCTTCACAACTTAAATATTTCACCCCATCATGAAAGGAAACATTTCATAATCTATATGGGAAAAATGTAGATATGAGATACGTGAATCCAGACATAACATTATTTTATTTCAACAAGCCTGTCACTGATTGCTTAGAGATTGATACATAACCAGGCAATATTATTCCAAAGTAACCAATGCCTTTGGTATTATCAACGTTCCGATGCATCCCATCAAGTTTACGGAAAAAAAACATCTGCCAAACAGACTGACACCAGAAGAAATTGGCAGACCATTTTTGTGGGAAAACATGCAAGAGCAATCAAACAAAGATCAAAGTTAACAATCCCAGCTTTGCTTATTAAGAGTTTCTTTTTTTTTTTTTTGGTTGTGCTCTTAGACCAGCCAAATGCACCAAGTCAAGTTGCAACAACCCAATGTTGGCTAACAGCTACCAAGGAACTGCCCCACCCTCCCTCATTTATTATGGTGGATGATTTATTGTTCTTTTTTTTTAAAAAAAAAAAAACNACCAGAAAATTTAATCCCTTTCATCTCCTTTAAGCTACTGTAAATTCAAAATGGCGGTGGCTCAGATATTTTTCTAGGATGAAAAAAAAAAATAGAGATACAAAAAATCGACTTTAAAACTTACTGAGCATCTGGTATCTGATATTCAGGGTATATGGATGAAAGAAATTCAGCCATCTTATCAATTGTTATTTCGACTCTTGAACAAATATNAGGGGAGTATACAAAACCTGAATCAATCAAGCATAATTTTAAGCAACAACACTTTTAAGAAAAGAGCATTTTCTCTTTCTTTCTGATCTTTGAATACATAGAATTGATGCCACCAATCTTCATATACACTATCATTGTATTATGAATGAGTTAGGCTCCTCTCAGGCCTATTATTTGGGTATATTGAATAAGAATTATAGTAAATAATAGCGGGATACGAATAAATTTGTTTATTAGTGGGGTGGAGGGTCATTACATAAGACATATAATGAAAATTCTTTAAAAAAAAAGGAAAATAGAAAGGAAGACCTCTCAAACCCACCCTTCTGTAAACTGATTATAATAATCTATATTATGAATAGAATCCTATCTACTTAAATATATCTCAAACTATATTTCAACAAGCATCTGTTTTATTAAAAAATTCACCAATAAAGACAAAGAAAATATATATAGAGAGAGAGAAAGAGATCGTGTCTTTTTGTCCAGAGAATTACTGGGATGTGCTTGTTTATTTGACAGTTATATAGAGATCGTGTCTGTGCTGTCACATATTGTATTTAATTCGAAGGTGACCNTAGAATCCTATCTACTTAAATATATCTCAAACTATATTTCAACAAGCATCTGTTTTATTAAAAAATTCACCAATAAAGGCAAAAAAAATATATATATATATAGAGAGAGAGAGAGAGATCGTGTCTTTTTGTCCAGAGAATTACTGGGATGTGCTTGTTTATTTGACAGTTATATAGAGATCGTGTCTGTGCTGTCACATATTGTATTTAATTCGAAGGTGACCCACCTGTTGTTTAATCACTGACAATTCAGGATAGTTTATAGTAGCAGAGCAGTCGAAAAGGAATGACTTTTGTGGTTTGGAGAAGATGAGAGGGAACTAACCTGGATCGGACCTAATTGTAGTATGAACAGAATAACCATGTTTAAGAAGCCTCATGATCAGCCATGATGCTNAACCTGTTGTTTAATCACTGAAAATTCAGGATAGTTTATAGTAGCAGAGCAGTCGAAAAGGAATGACTTTTGTGGTTTGGAGAAGATGAGAGGGAACTAACCTGCATCGGACCTAATTGTAGTATGAACAGAATAACCATGTTTAAGAAGCCTCATGATCAGCCATGATGCTACATACCCTGTTCCACCGGTGACACATACAATTCCCTTGTTGCTATATCCTTCCATCTCTCTCTCTCTCTCTCTGTGTCTCTCTCTAGAAGGATGAACTGAGATTGTACTTTAGATGATTTATGTCCACATGTAATACTTTAATCCGTTTGCATCACACAGTTTTAACTTTGGTATTTTGTAACATGTTTGTTTTAAGGATTTAATTGGTGGGGATTCCACCCATTTCANCTCTCTCTGTGTGTCTCTCTCTAGAAGGATGAACTGAGATTGTACTTTAGATGATTTATGTCCACATGTAATACTTTAATCCGTTTGCATCACACAGTTTTAACTTTGGTATTTTGTAACATGTTTGTTTTAAGGATTTAATTGGTGGGGATTCCACCCATTTCAACGAGTAAATAGTAGCTTTAATAGTTAGGTTACCTCAACAGTATTTATACTCAAGAGTGTTTGACTTGTGCCGAAAACGAGGCCATTAAACAAGTAGATGTTCTGAAAGCAATGAATTTATTTGTTATGGCGTATAAATGAAGTGTTAGCAAAAGTATTAGGACTATAGTAGACAGTGGGTCGCCTTATCTGATTTGTGTTACCACAAAATTTATTCAATTCATACTCAATTCACTATACTCATGTATAATCAAGTTATGTCATAGATAATCATATATAATATCGTTTGTATAATGTCTTATGAGTTCCAATCTATTTATTTATCAAATGGGTCCTATTGATCGATCATAATAGATCCTAAGAGAACAATCATAATTCTATTTTTTTTTGTTCCAATTACCTCATGATTTATGTTTGATGTATGTCCAGAAAGAAAGAAAGACANCATTTTTTTTAGCAATTTTTTCATGGCTGCTTATTAATTTTGTCCATGAAAGTTGTTCCAATTACCTCATGATTTATGTTTGATGTATGTCCAGAAAGAAAGAAAGACATCAGCTACCTAACAAACCTACCAGCTCCATATTTTCAATGCAGACCTTAATGAACCAGAGAGTTTCAATGCAGCCATTGAAGGGTGCACTGGAGTTTTCCACCTCACCCGCCCGGTTGATCTCACTGGAAGTCATGACCAAAAGAGCAGTGAAGCAAGTCGTATACACTTCCGGTTCAGCCACTGTGATGTTCAACCACAAAGATCAGGGAACGACTGATGAGAGTACTTGGACTGATTTGGATTTCTTTAGGTCTTTGAACACTGGTTATTCTCATGTGGTTGTTAAGGCAAAAATTGACAGGGTGGCTTGGGAATTTGCTGAAGAACATGGATTTGATCTTGTTACTGTTGTTCCTCCTTTAGTTCTTGGGCCCTTCATATGTAACAATTTCCCTGGCAGTGTTCATGGGACTGTCTTTGATCTTAGGTATGTGCCATCTTTCATGGTAACATGTAATATTGTGATTGTTTGTTCCAGGAACTCCCGCCTATCTTTATTTTGGAGAGGCTAGTTCCCTAACTCGAACCCATGACATAACCGACCTTTATGAGTCGTAACTAGGGTAAACTTAAGGTGAAAGTTGGACAGGCAGCTTTACACCTATGACCAAGGTTACATTTTCGCTTATGGGGACGATGACATGGAAAAGTAGATAATTTTAACAGCCACTATAAGTTTCTTCATCGAAGTCTCTGGGCCAATATCTATGACTTACAATTGAATTTCTTCAATTCAAACAGAATAATTTTTATTATCGATCGATGGGTCATTCTGAGGCATAAAATTTCTTTCCAAATAATTACATCATAGTGCATATCAGTATATGTGATGGTGTATACTGGTCTCCCTATAGAAAATTTGGTCTCTCTCTCTCTCTTTCTCTTTCTTTATATATATATAATCTCATCAAGGACGCTCTTGGATTCTGGATTCAAATTTAAGTATGGCCTCAATGAAATGTATGATGGAGCTATTCAAAGTTGCAGAGGAAAAGGCCTATTTTAACTGATGTGTGGACAATATTTCTTGCAATAAAAAGAGGTGNGTATGACTTACAATTGAATTTCTTCAATTCAAACAGAATAATTTTTATTATCGATGGATGGGTCATTCTGAGGCATAAAATTTCTTTCCAAATAATTACATCATAGTGCATATCAGTATATGTGATGGTGTATACTGGTCTCCCTATAGAAAATTTGGTCTCTCTCTCTCTCTTTCTCTTTCTTTATATATATATAATCTCATCAAGGACGCTCTTGGATTCTGGATTCAAATTTTAGTATGGCCTCAATGAAATGTATGATGGAGCTATTCAAAGTTGCAGAGGAAAAGGCCTATTTTAACTGATGTGTGGACAATATTTCTTGCAATAAAAAGAGGTGTTCGGGTTTTAATGTTTGCAGACCGGCAAAAGTTCATCCGTTCTAACGATACATTCCAGGTTCGAGCCTATAAATCAATCTTGGAGGTAGGAGGAGACAGTAATTTTCTTGTTTTGTCATGCATTAGAGTATGTAAAACCGTGTCCTTTCTTTTTTCTCCTCGAAAAAGGAGTTCTTAATAATGGGTATTACTTAAATAGTCCATCACATACTCGCACTTGGACAATATCAGATTTCCAATCTCTCTTTTAGAAATAGGACAGGACATGACAGAAATAATCAATTGTTACTAACCGATGAAAACGAGACAATGTTAATTTCATGCTCTGCGATTTGTGGCAATACAGATGAAATAAAGAACCTAGAAAGATTTCTTCAAGCTACAAACAAGAACTACATNCTCCTCGAAAAAGGAGTTCTTAATAATGGGTATTACTTAAATAGTCCATCACATACTCGCACTTGGACAATATGAGATTTCCAATCTCTCTTTTAGAAATAGGACAGGAAATGACAGAAATAATCAATTGTTACTAACCGATGAAAACGAGACAATGTTAATTTCATGCTCTGCGATTTGTGGCAATACAGATGAAATAAAGAACCTAGAAAGATTTCTTCAAGCTACAAACAAGAACTACATCACTTAAACAACACTATATGAAATGCAAATGTTTTAGCATCAGAAGGAGGAATCTGCTAAGAAATGCTATCCTGAGACTGACTTCATCGACTTTCAATGTCCGTATGGAATACAACTTGCTTGCTGACACTGTCCGCTGGGGTAGACCATTCTTGTGAGTACGAGGGTTGATTCAATCAACGGTTTCTCTGTAGACAATGCCTCCTTAAATCATTTTTTCAGTCTTAATGTGGCCGCATTGCATCAGCATAGATCAAACAATCTATTGGTGTACATTCTGAGATGGATAAAGTTGCTTCCAACACTGTCCATGATGGAATGAAATACTTGACACAAGCTCTTTCAAACANACATAGATCAAACAATCTATTGGTGTACATTCTGAGATGGATAAAATTGCTTCCAACACTGTCCATGATGGAATGAAATACTTGACACAAGCTCTTTCAAACACAACAACTCAAAAGCATTTTGCGATAACGTACTTCACACAAAATAATAAAAACATAACCTCTGGATCAAATCAAAGTTAAGAAAAGGGTCTGCAGCTACTCATCCAACTTGCTTTATTCAAGTGTGCTAAACACTTTTCACCCAAGTTTTTCTATTGCATTTTCCTTATAGCAAACTAGGACACAACATATAGATACAAAAGACTAAATTAGTTCACTCACGAACCGTACAAATTTATTGGAAGTACTTGCAACAAACATGAACTAGAGAAAACCCTTCTCTTTGCAGCATTGAATGGCGTCATCGAACATATCCTCGAGGCCATGCTTGTACTTGAACCCAGTATCCAGGAGTTTTTTTGATGATAGTGTAGAATACTTGGCCCCTTTGATCTCCTTTAAGCAACTGTACAATGAAAATGGGGATGACTTGATTACTTTTCTAAGAGAAAACAAAAAGATAAGAAAAATAGACTTAAAACACTTACTCAACAGTTGGTAATTGGTATTCAGGGTATCTGGATGAAAGAAATTCAACCATCTTATCCATTGTTATCTCTACGGCTGAACAAATGTACCTCCCTTTTGCTTTAGGATACTCGAGAAGGAAAATATGTGCACTGGCAACATCTTCTACGTGCACCATAGGTGCTTTAATAAGCATACTATATAGGTCCTTATAACCTGCACAAATTCAAAATCCTGTGACTACAAAATTACAAGGTATAATTCTGAATGGCTATTTAGCGTAAGATTTAATGGCCTTATTCGACACTGTCTAGGCAAATCGCTTCTACCGAGTTTCCCAACAGCAGCTTCACTCTTTCTACTGGCGTGACACTGCTGGATGCTTCTGATCAATAGGAAGAGGAGGGGAAAAAAAAAGCTTATGATGAGCATCTATTTGAGTTGATCATTTCCAAGATCTAATACCAGTTTTTTCTTACGTAATGCCTTACAATTTGAAGTTTTATGCTTAAGGGAAGAAATGTTCTTGGTGGATGCAGGACCTGGGACCCCAAGAATTTGTATGTAAGATGAGCCTATAGGAGTGCCAATCAATTCTATGGTGAATTTGGCAAACTGCTACAAAAAAGATTCACTCAGGCTCTCATTCTGCAAATATTGTCTAATCCTAAATCAAGTGCTATGGGAATCAGATGAGTGAGACCTGAAGAAACTATAGCAAAATGCATATAAGATCCAGCATAATTGTATGTCATGACCAACGAAACATACCAAAAATCATAGCCATTGATGTGCGCACTGAGCCAGGCAAACGAGGACAAACAAAAGGGCCATGGATATAACTAGGAATGATAGTCACAAGATCCAGTCCATGTTTTTCTGCAAACTCTAAAGCTGCTCTTTCAGTTAAGGTCTTGGTAATCGGGTATGAAGCTCCAAAAGATATTTGAGCTCTGACAAAATCTATATCAGTCCATTTGCTTTCATCCATTACATCTAAACCTGTATCATTTAATAAAACAGTGGCAGCACTAGAAGTATATACAACTCGTTTAACTGTCTTTGATTCAAGGCATGCCTTTAGAATGCCTAGGGTTCCATTGACAGATCTCTTGATCTGTGTCTCTTCTGTTTCTTTGTCCTCAAAATCAATGGGGTGAGCAACATGAAAAACTCCAATGCATCCTGCAATTGCTGCATCAAAACTCTCTGGAATATTGAGATCTGCATTGAAAATCTGGAGTCTTTCTGATGCTCCAGGTAAGTTTTTGAGGAAGCTAATGTCTTTCTTCTTGTCTGGCAATACAAACAATGTCAGTATTTTGTAACTATTCACTTGAGTATGATCATGTAATTGCATTAAAAACTGGAAATTTAAAGGAAAAAAAAAAGGTTTTCCCTTTTTATGAACCTGATATGCAAATTTTCATTCAATGAAAATAAACAATTTACAGATTAGCCTTATCAAAATACACAACTTTTCTAAAACAGAGTGAACTATAGTCCATTTTTTTGGATGACTTTCCCGGATGATTCATTGTTCTTTGCAAAATGCACTAGTGGGGAATGCAGGAATCTAATGGAGACCAGAAACAAATATGTATTGGAGACGTATCTGAACCTGAATGAGTCAGCCTAGTCAGGTGTAATTTTTTGTAAAAATACTCCTAGAAAAAAGTATTTACNTTGGATGACTTTCCCGGATGATTCATTGTTCTTTGCAAAATGCACTAGTGGGGAATGCAGGAATCTAATGGAGACAAGAAACAAATATGTATTGGAGACGTATCTGAACCTGAATAAGTCAGCCTAGTCAGGTGTAATTTTTTGTAAAAATACTCCTAGAAAAAAGTATTTACTCCGTCTGTGTACTGTAATGCATAGTCGGTCCCAAGCATGAATAAAAGAGGAGGATTGTGTTAGGTTCTGACAAGCTGAGTGAAACTCGTCAGACCAAGAACTCCAAGAGAGAAAAGCAGGCCATGTTTGTTTTGTGGCCCAAAAACGAGTTTTAAAAAATTGTTTTTGGGAAGAGTTTTAAAAAATTATTTTTGGTGTTTTTATAATTCTAAAATAATTATATGAAATAAAAAAACGTAAAACTTGTTTGACCAATAACCTAAAAAACAATGAAAACAAAAATGTAATGATGGGGTGGAGAGTGTGGTGGTGGTGGGGGGTGCTGTCAAGGCCGGCCCTATAGCATAAAAATAAAAGCAGGGGGCTTTAGGCNTTTTGTGCCCCAAAAACGAGTTTTAAAAAACTGTTTTTGGGAAGAGTTTTAAAAAATTGTTTTTTGTGTTTTTTGTGTCACAGAACTTGTTTAATTATATAATTCTAAAATAATTATATGAAATAAAAAAACTTAAAACTTGTTTGACCAATAACCTAAAAAACAATGAAAACAAAAATGTAATGATGGGGTGGAGAGTGTGGTGGTGGTGGGGGTGCTGTCAAGGCCGGCCCTATAGCATAAAAATAAAAGCAGGGGGCTTTAGGCCCCTTATACAAAAAATGCCCCAAATTTAAAGACCAATAATATAATATAAGTTAAAAAATAAAATTTACTACAATATTGCCTAACAAATTAATTTTTGAAAGATTAAACCAACAAAAAAATTAATAGATATATCTAAACAAATAATAGATTAAATACTCAAATAGGGGTAAAATAGATCAATAATTAAGTTACTTTTAAGTTATTGTGGACTCTTTTATTATTGTATTTGAATTTTAAATTCTTTATTATTTTCATACACTTTTTACCTTACCTTGTAAAAATTTTGTCTTCTTCAGGTCAAGAGTTTAAGTTCCTCTCTCCCTCTTCCCCCTCCCCACAAAAAAAAAAAAAAAAAACTTCTAAGTTATTTTAGATTTTTCTATTAATAGTATTTGAATTATAAATTCTTTTGCACACACTTATTAGTCGTACATTTTCATACATTTTTTATATCTACGTAAATAGAAAATTGTCTAATGGGTCGAAGAGATATCTAACAGATTNCGTACATTTTCATACATTTTTTATATCTACGTAAATAGAAAATTGTCTAATGGGTCGAAGAGATATCTAACAGATTAGATACTCAAATAAGGGTAAAATAAATTAATAATTAAGTTTAAAAGTAGTTAAAATAAGAATTAATTATTCTATACATAATTTATGATTCAATTTTGTTATTTAAATATATTCACGTTTAGTTTATTAAAGGACAAAAAAGATTAATAAAAAAAAATACTGACAAAATTTATCTCTTTTTTCAATCGAAAGAAGTATAATAAGCATCTCTTTTTAGTAAAAAAAAAAAAATCAAACTAAACACATTCTTTACTTCTCTTAAACTTGTTTTTTTTTTCCCTCATTTGAACGCAAGATACCAATTAAACCATTCATTCTTATTAAAAAAAAATGTTTTGATAAAGCTCTTATTCGTAACAAATAAAATATAAAAAAAAATTTAGGTGAAAGTTGCATGGATAAATAGATAAAATTCAAATATAGAAAATTAATCCAAAAAAAAGATAACAATTAGTTTATTTATAATAAAGTCAATCATCTAATTCCACGGTTTCGATAAAGAACATATAAAACAACTAAAAAGAACAAAAAAATATTAATGAAGAAATTAATTTTATTCCTATAAATATTTATGGTCAAAAGTCATATTATTAATTAAAAAAAATATAAAAGTATCATTGACTATCATTGCTCTAGACCTCAAATGTTGTTGAGCCACCCTGAATGTTATTTGTGTAAGGGTGATGGTGGGTGGTGGTGGAAGTGTGGTTATGATGGTGGAAGTGGTGTGGTGGACATCATGGAGGTGGTGGCGGTGTTTTTTAAGTTTTGTAAAAATTATTTCCAAAAATACGTAAAACAAATCTAACTTATCCTCTAAATCTATTAAATTTTTATTTTCAGTTTTTTTTTTTTAAAAATAACTAGTCAAACAATTTTTATCCCAGAAATCACTTTTAAAAATAGAAAACAATTCCTGAAGTGTAATTGTTTTATTAAAATATTTTTGGAGTAGTTACCAAAAATGGTAGCATATTTGTATTTCGCCAAACATCTATATATTATTTAAAAAATATTCACCCGCAAAAAGTATATATTGTGTAGGTATCAAATAAACAATCAAAACCCAGAAGTTCCATGACATGATAAAAAAAGTTTAAAAAACGGGTATGATTTTCTAGGCAAGTGTGTGGTAAAGAAGCTCTTGTCTTTGTCCCAAGGCCCAAAAAATATGATTTTGTAACTATTATATATACACCTTGATTATGTGTGAAGAAGATGAGGAAGGATTAAGGAACTAACCCGGATCAGATCTAATTGTAGTATGGACAGAATAACCATGTTGAAGAAGCCTCGTGATCAACCATGATGCTACGTACCCTGTTCCTCCTGTGACACAAACAATTCCCTTGTTTTCTCCTTCCATCACTCTCTCTCTCTCTCTCTCTCTCTCTCAAACACAAGGATACATTTTTGTCCCTTTTCATCACTCAGTTTCGAGGAAAGTAAGAGACAAAACTTGTCACCTATTTCCTTTGTGGGTAAGGCAGTGAGCACACGCAAGGCAACACCAGTCACCCACTCAAGTTCCACCCACTTCGTTTCAAAGTACGAGTGCAATTCAGCCGAATCAACTCGAGTACTGCTGTCACTTAGCATTGTTTGTCTGGAGGATGGTAATTAAACTTTCATTCTATTTTTACCTTTCTCTATCTATCTTATACTCAATTATTGTTTATCTAAACGATTCTANGGTAATTAAACTTTCATTCTATCTTTAACTTTCTCTATCTTATACTCAATTATTGTTTATCTAAACGATTCTAATTAAATTTTTTTCCTCAATACATATATTTGTATGATTTTATAAATAAAAAAATATTTAAATGTTAAAAAAAATTTCAAGTTATAGACATTCAAAGCCAAATTAATTACCAATAAAAAAAATCAATTGCACTAAAAAAAACAAAAAAATTCAAAATCAAACTAATCACCAATAAAAAATAACAAATGATATTAATTGCACCCAAAAAAACTAAAAAATTCAAAGTCAAGATAAATACTAATAAAAAAATAACAATGACCAATAAAAAAATAAATGAAACCAATTGCACAAAAAAAATTTCAAAACCAACAATTTTTTTTTTCTTATTTGCAGCGATTTTCCTTTACTAATCTTCATCTTTTTTTGAATTCTTAAATAATGCCAAATAGACACCAAAAACGACAAAAAAGTCAATTAAATCATTTTTTTTTTAAATGGTAAAATTTTGATTTTGTTGATTTGGTTTAATTGCAGCATGAGAATATTTCTGTAGCATCACAGCGACAGAGAATTTAAATCAATTGTCCTCACAGCTATAAACATATTTGCTAGGCAATGTTAGTTCAATTGAGTTTTTTTTCTATTTTTTGAAAAGTTGATTTGCAGTTCAATATGACTGATTTGTTTAATTTGATTTAATAATTTAATAATTTGTTTTTAATGATATTCCTTATTAAAACTAAACTATCTATTCATTAGATTTAACCGAAAGTTAAAAAAATGATCACTCATTTGGTAGAAAGAAGACCACTATAAAAAATGAATGGCAGAATAAATTTGTAATAGTGTTAGTTTAAGTTCATGAGAATTCTCAGGTTGTATTAATGTGATATAATTCTTCTTCATTTTAACCCTTGCACTTCTTTTATTAAGACATTCTTAGATGCCCTATTTACTTGGTGAATTTTTTGTATTAAGAGTGTTTTCAGACACACATGTAATGACTTGTATATATATATATATATATAGAGAGAGAGTATTTTTTATTTGAGTTTGAGTTTCAAATTTATGTAAAAAATTTATTAGCATATCTTCATTGCTGACTCTTCAAAAAAATTAACCACAATACCCAAAAAAGAAATAAAGGTACTACCCACCTTTCCATTCATTTGAAATAGATAGGAGAGCCATACTTGCATTGTAATCCACACACCTTCCACCTACTACCTTTGAAGAGTCATGTCTCACCAACAAACCAGAGGTTGGAGAATGAATATGTTCACCCTCAATTTTGCAAAAATAACAAACTTCTATTCTCAATTTGTATTTGAGAATGAATTCAGATTAAAATTTAATTCATTGATGGACCTAATTATGATATGATTTTGTATGCCTGGCCCAACCCTGTCTAGATCGTAGTGAAGAAAGTTTTGTGAGCAATTTCGTTCACTTCCATCCATACCCAAAAGCCAAATTTACTATTAATTTTTGAATAAGCAGTTGTTTCAGGGAATACCAAGGTGACCCTCTTAAACAAGCCTAGAGAAATAGCTTCTTCTTAATCAAGTTTAACAATTGAAGTCATAATGTCAAAAGGATGTGTTAGGCAAATTACACGTTGCACTCTAAAAAATTTAAAATTTTTTATTTTGTATTTTTAAAGATTAAATTTTTTATATTATACCCTCAATATATCAAAGGTGTTTCAATTTGACTTTTCTATTAACTTTCCATCGGTGTCAATAAAATAACTTTTGACGAAAAAAATAATTAACGCTAACAGAAAGATTATATTGCAACACTTTTGATATGTCAAGAGTGTAATGTAAGAAATTTAATCTTTGACGGTACAAAATAAAAAACTTAAAATCTTTCAAGTTGCAAAGTGCGAAAACCCTAGACCTCTATGATCCTCGGTAACATCATCATCGTCTCACAGTGTAACCCCTATACCATTCCACGACGTTGCAATATAACCTATATTCTTTTGCCTTTCCAACTTCTTCTTCCTCTTCATCTTCTTCCATGTATATTTTTGTGTTGCCTAATATAGTTAGGCAATAGGCAACCCCATGACTGATGTATCTCGGTGGTCATGACTGGTATCGTAACTTTGAACCATGCTATATAGTCAGCAATCAAATTAGGCAAAACCTGATATGTTTCTTAATCAACATAATGTGAAGTTTGTAAGTGGAGCTGGACAAGGTGGAAAATAAATAAGACCACATAACCATAGACTTCATATATATTTTAAGACAATAGACAATAGAAAAACTACTCCCAACATCTCTACTAAAGAAACCCTTTTTCTTTGGCACATAGAATTGCTCCATCAAACATTTCATCAAGACCATACTTAAATTTGAATCCAGAATCCAAGAGCTTCTTCGATGAGATTCGTGGTACTTCATAACTTTCAATTTTGAGAATGCTGCAGAAAGCAGAAATGAAACTAAACATGTTACCACTTAATTCTTACAAAAATAAACAAGAAACTGAATCAAAGAAAATGGAAGATAAAGAAATCAATCAGACTCACTCTGCTGTTCGTATCTGAAATTCTGGGTATTTGGCAGAAAGAAATTCACATAATTCATACTTTGTCATTGCATTTGAACAGCATATGTACCTCCCTTTGGCATTAGGAAACTCAAAGAGGAAGATAAGTGCACTAGCCACATCATCTACGTGCACCAAATTTGAATTGATCAGGCCCCTAAAACACTCCAGCTTACCTGCGCAGACAACAAGTTAGCATATTTTATTTTCTTCAAAGAATAACGTATCAATTGTTTTATATACTGTTCTGCAAGGCGTCTTAACTAGATATATCTTCATTTCGAAATTCCATTGGATTCTCTATTAGTTTTGATTAAGAAATGCCACAGAATGGCGAAGTGTTGCATAACAATGAAATCAAGTTAAAGAAAAGTATATCGTCAAAGGTTTCAAGTGGATTGAGAAACTTGATTTTAGTGACTAACATATGTCTTTAATTTCTTGATCAAGTTTAAGTCCAAACATCATGTGTACTCTGGCAATACATGAACAAATATAACGTAACATGATACATGATAGCCTGCACATACCTAAGATCATAGCCAGAGCCATGTTCACTGAGCTAGGTATATTGGGACAAATGAATGGACCAACAACTAAAGGAGGAATCAAACTGACAAGATCCAACCCATGTTGTTCAGCAAATTCCCAGGCTGCTCTCTCAGTTTTCGTCTTGGCAATCAAATACGAAGTGGACCTGATGTTTAAGGATCGATAAAAATCTACATCAGTCCATGTAGTCTCATCTGTCACACCTTGATCTTTGTGGTTGAACATGACAGTAGCTCCACTGGCAGTGTATACGATTCGTTTCACAGTCTTTGAATTTAGGCACGCCTTTAGAATGCCTAGAGTTCCTTCCACTGCCTTTTTGGTTTCTGCTTCTTCCGGTTGTGATTCGCTGTGATCTATGGGATGAGCCAGATGAAAAACCACTGTGCACCCTTCAATGGCTGCACTGAAACTGTTGGGTTCGTTGAGGTCTGCATTGAAGATTTGCAGCCTCTCTGATGCTCCAGGAAGGTTTGTAAGGTAGCTGATGTCTCTCTTGCATTCTGGTCATATATCACACATATTAGTGAGTCTACTAATGAATTTAATAAGGCACTCTACATTTTCAATTTTATTTGATATATATGATTATCCTTCAATTCACAGAAAAAAAAAAAAGCAAGAAGAGAGCACAGTCCAGTTAAACAGCATAGAGCCTCTAGCTTTGAAGCAGCAACCCATTGGGCTGCTTTATTACACCACAAGGGATAAAGTGAATCTTAATCCTATGGTCAGATGCAAGATAATGACCCTTATCACTTATGGAGAACCACATTCATTAGCACTCTGTGAGTGTGTGTGTGTGAGAGAGAGAGAGAGTCTGGACAAACAGTTTCTGTGGTACCAAAATAAAAGGCAAGGTAAATTATATGCTTCACTGCAGCCAGCCAAAGTCCCACATTGTGGAGATGAGGAATTCTAAACCAAATTTGGGAAACCAAACCAAACAGCTATGATATTATTGAACCAAATATTTCAGCAAGATAACAATGAGTCTGACTCATTATTGGAAGGTCTGCTCATTCAAATCCTTAGTGGCTTTGAACATCACAGCAAGAGAGAGATTGATAATCCAATAGAAGCCAAGCCTTTCAAGAAATGCTATGGTATTACATATGAGATCGCAAATAAGAAAAAAACAAGTACAAAATTACGTGGTCTAGCTCAAAAGCCTATGCGCATTGGCAAAAGTTCCATATCCACAATGAATATTTCAAAAAGTTCTCGAAACAAGAGCACAACTCCTACTGCGCCACAAATCTACAACATACCACCAAAAAACCAATAGATTGCTAATTGGGTCAGATTTCCAGAAACCCTATGGGTTAGCCCTAGGCTCCATGGACTAACCTTCCCATAACTTGAATGCCCACCTTAGCAACTCATGGAATATATCAACCGTTTTGGTCAATTGACTCAATTCTATTCTGCATAAGCATGTGGGTTAGTTTCAATAAGGGTATCTAAAATTGCTTCAAGACCCACTGATCAACAAGACTCTTAGGCTACTCATTTGTTTACACAACTATATTTATAGCTCTCATGAAAGAGATATGTTATATATATAATCGTTATCAACAAAAAAATGCTAATTTTTCTTTTCAAAAAGTAGATATTATTACCAGGGTCGAATCTAACTGTGGCGTTGACAGAGTAACCGAGCTCTAGTAGTCTCATGATCAGCCATGATCCTATGTACCCTGTTCCACCTGTTACACATACTGCTCCTCTCTCTCCTTCCATCTCTCTTCTATCTTCTCTCTTCTACACACACACACAATTAGCCACAGCAAGCACGGAAACTGGAGAAAAAGCTAAAAGAGAAGTTTCTGTTTTTTTTTTTGTAACTATAGAAATTTTTACATTACCCTTTTGGCTATTTAAATTATTTAACATTTCTCTAATCACAAATATTTGTTATTTTTCTGGACAGAAATTGCCAACTTGTCGGAGAAAGTGAAAAGTAAAAGTTAAAGGTTCAAAGTTAAAAAACATGATAATTAAGGGGGTTATTAAAAAAATCATAGTTGAGGGAGCCAAAGTGCAATTTGTCCAACTGTTTGTTTCGGTCGTTCATTTTTCTTGTCATTCTGGGTTAAATTTCACTCTGTACCCTAAAAAATTAAAAAAATTCTATTTTGTATTCATAAAGATTAATTTTTTTATATATAACCTTAATGTATCATAATTCTTGCAATGTGACCCTTCCTTTAGTTTTCTTTACTGATTTCATCAACTTCAATTGGATGGACTTTGACAGAATAACTAACAAAAGGTAATAAAAGAGTTACATTGTAATATTTTTTAAAGTGCAGGGTGAGATTTTGGGTGTCATTCATTTCTGCATACAGAGATAAATCTGGGTATTTTACGCCATCGCCCTGCTATCTTTTGCCAATTTGCAAATTATCCCCTCACTTTTCTGAAACTAAGGTCCCTCCCATTGAAGTTTAAAATAATTAGCAGATTCCTCCTCCTGANGTGGTTCATTGAGGTCTGCATTGAAAATATGGAGCTTCTCTGATGCTCCTGGTAGGTTTGTTAGGTAGTTGATGTCTTTCTTTCTTTCTGAACATACATCAAACAAAAATCATGAGGTTTTTGGAACAACTTTCATGGACAAAATTAACAAGCAGCCATGAAAGAATTGCTCAAAAACATGAGATTGTGCTTGTTCTCTTAAGATCTAATCAGCTTGATCGATAGGACCATTCGATGAATAAATCGACTGGAACTCATTTTTATACATGATATAAACGATAAATGATTATTTATGCCATAAACTTATTGTACACAATTACCGCAAATTGGGTATGAATTGAATAAATTTTGTGGCTACACAATTTAGATAAAGACAAGCCACTGTCTGCTATATAGTCCTAATATTTTTGCTACCACTTCATTTATATGCCATAACAAAGAAATTTCATTGGTTTTAGAAAAGGAAGAGCCTTACCTGGATCAAACCTAACAGTAGCATGGACAGAGTAACCATCCTGAAGGAGCCTCATTATCAACCATGATGCTATGTATCCTGTTCCTCCAGTCAGACAGGACCTTTATGCGCTCCCGTTCTCTCTCTCTCTCACAGAATTTGTGTTATTACAATGGGACAGGTAGCACTTATATATGCACTTAGGACGATATTTACAAGGTGATTTGACCCTTTTGTGTGTTCTTGTTATTGTTTTCTNAAAAAATTCTATTTTGTATTCATAAAGATTAATTTTTTTATATATAACCTTAATGTATCATAATTCTTGCAATGTGACCCTTCCTTTAGTTTTCTTTACTGATTTCATCAACTTCAATTGGATGGACTTTGACAGAATAACTAACAAAAGGTAATAAAAGAGTTACATTGTAATATTTTTTAAAGTGCAGGGTGAGATTTTGGGTGTCATTCATTTCTGCATACAGAGATAAATCTGGGTATTTTACGCCATCGCCCTGCTATCTTTTGCCAATTTGCAAATTATCCCCTCACTTTTCTGAAACTAAGGTCCCTCCCATTGAAGTTTAAAATAATTAGCAGATTCCTCCTCCTGATGCTAAACCTTTGCACTTCCTTCTTCATGGAGTGTTAAGTTCTTTAGTTCTTGTTTGTAGCTTGAAGAAAGCTTTCTAGGTCGATTATTTCTCCTCTATTGCCACAAATCACAGAGCATGAAATTAACATTATCGCATTTTCATCCGTCAATCATAATTAATTATTTTTGTCATATTTCGTTCTATTAAAAGAGATCGAAAATCTCATATCATTCAAGTGCAAGTATATGATGGACTATTTAAATCACACCCTTTATTAAGTACTCCTTTTTTGAGAAAAATGGAGAGACATGACCTCGCATATTCTAATGCATGATAAAACAAGAAAACTATTGCCTCATTCATAGACTCAAACCCACAATGTATCCGCTTGAATGAATGAGCTTTTGCCAGTCTACAAGCGTTAAAACCCGAACACCTCTTTTTATTGTACGAAAATATTGTCCATACACTATTAAAACAGGCCTTTTTCTCTGCAACTTTGAATAGCTCCATCATACATCTCATTGAGGCCATACTTAAATTTGAATTCAGAGTCCAAGAGCTTCCTTGATGAGAGGCTTGGTGTTATATGACCTTCAATTTTATTTAAGACACTGCAGAGAGAAGAAAATAAATTAGACATTGTGCAACTTATACTCCATCAAAAAGAAAGTTTGAATCGATTCTAAATGATGGGAATAATTCTAACATTATATGATCGATTCTAAATAAACTCATTAGATATCTTTTCTTTTCTTTTCTTTTTTTATAGCAACCCTACAACACTACACTACTGGGGGGAAAGGGGAGAGGATTGTACCTGACACACATAGTGCCACACGAAGGATCATTAACCAATTCGGATAGCCCGTAGGTCTGTAACCTCACTAGATTGAGTTGTACTATTATTTTTATGTTATAGTAAGTTTAGGTACAAAATGAAAAAGTAATTTTTCGTGACCTTAGGGAGAAAAATAAAGAGAGAGACAGATTAAGTAGACTTACTCTGCTGAAGGAATCTGAAAATTTGGGTATTTAGCAGAAAGAAATGCAGCCAATCCATGTATTGTGATTTCGTCTGATGAACAAATGTACCTCCCCTTTGCATTAGGACTCTCAAGAAGGAAGATGTGTGCACTGGCCACATCGTCTATATGCACTAATTTTGAATGGAGAAGAGCCTTATAATACTCCTGTTTACCTACATAGAGAGAGAGAGAGAGACCAAATCAATATTGACAATTTTCTACAGGGAGACAAAGTATACACCATCTCATATGCTGATATGCACTAGGATGTAACTATTTGGAAAGAAACTTTAGTGACCCATTGATCGATAATAATAAGTTTTACTATAGTTACAACTCACAAAAAAATCGATTACGTCACTGGGTTCGTTCGAGTCAGGGAACTAGCTTCTCAAAAATAAAGATAGGTCAAGAGTGTTTCTGGTTTAATTCGTGCTGACCTGTGATTGGAAGTGTGAAAATTTGGCACCAATGTAACATGTTACCATGAGAGATGGTACATACCTAAGATCAAAGCCAGTGCCAAGAACACAGTGCCAGGGAAATTGTTACATATGAAAGGTCCAAGAACTAAAGGAGGAACAACAGTAACAAGATCCAATCCATGTTCTTCAGCAAATTCCCAAGCCACCCTCTCAGTTTTTGTCTTAGCAATCACATAAGAATAACCACTGTTCAAAGACCTAAAGAAATCCAAACCAGTCCATGTACTCTCATCACTCATTCCCTGATCTTTGTGGTTGAACATCACAGTGGCTGCACTAGAAGTGTACACGACTCGCTTCACCGTCTTCGAATTCAAGCAAGCCTTTAGGATTCCTATGGTTCCTTCTACCGCTCTTTTGGTGACGACTTCCTCAGATTCTTTTCCGATGAGATCAACCGGGTGGGCGAGGTGAAATACTCCCGTGTACCCTTCAATGGCTGCATTGAAACTGTGTGGTTCATTGAGGTCTGCATTGAAAATATGGAGCTTCTCTGATGCTCCTGGTAGGTTTGTTAGGTAGTTGATGTCTTTCTTTCTTTCTGAACATACATCAAACAAAAATCATGAGGTTTTTGGAACAACTTTCATGGACAAAATTAACAAGCAGCCATGAAAGAATTGCTCAAAAACATGAGATTGTGTTTGTTCTCTTAAGATCTAATCAGCTTGATCGATAGGACCATTCGATGAATAAATCGACTGGAACTCATTTTTATACATGATATAAACGATAAATGATTATTTATGCCATAAACTTATTGTACACAATTACCGCAAATTGGGTATGAATTGAATAAATTTTGTGGCTACACAATTTAGATAAAGACAAGCCACTGTCTGCTATATAGTCCTAATATTTTTGCTACCACTTCATTTATATGCCATAACAAAGAAATTTCATTGGTTTTAGAAAAGGAAGAGCCTTACCTGGATCAAACCTAACAGTAGCATGGACAGAGTAACCATCCTGAAGGAGCCTCATTATCAACCATGATGCTATGTATCCTGTTCCTNGGAAGAGCCTTACCTGGATCAAACTTAACAGTAGCATGGACAGAGTAACCATCCTGAAGGAGCCTCATTATCAACCATGATGCTATGTATCCTGTTCCTCCAGTCAGACAGGACCTTTATGCGCTCCCGTTCTCTCTCTCTCTCACAGAATTTGTGTTATTACAATGGGACAGGTAGCACTTATATATGNGTTCTCTCTCTCTCTCTCTCTCTCACAGAATTTGTGTTATTACAATGGGACAGGTAGCACTTATATATGCACTTAGGACGATATTTACAAGGTGATTTGACCCTTTTGTGTGTTCTTGTTATTGTTTTCTTTTATCCAAGGATAAATTGCACCAATGATCTCTTAAATTTGCCATTCGTCTTAATTCAATCCTTAAAGTTTTAATTTCATCAATATCGTCTCCCAAGTTCAAACATTAGGTCAATATACTCTTTCACAATAACTGTCATTAGAAAAAAGTACCAGAAATATCCTTAAAAATCTGCACGTGACGGGCATATGATAGTTTTTGTCAATTTTTATATTAACATTTATTGTTAAGGACTATATTGGTTCAATGCTTAAACTNCTCTTTCACAATAACTGTCATTAGAAAAAAGTACCAGAAATGTCCTTAAAAATCTGCATGTGACGGGCATATGATAGTTTTTGTCAATTTTTATATTAACATTTATTGTTAAGGACTATATTGGTTCAATGCTTAAACTTTGTGAATGAAATTGATGAAATTAAAATTTTAAGGGCATTCCCAAGTCGTGTGTCAGTAAGGACATTCTGATCTTTTTGTTTCTAATCTGACACAATACGCTACATGCCCATTCCACTTTGGTTAAGTCTTCTGCTTTCTTGTGCCTCCTGACACCATTTGAGTAAGACAAAGTCATGATGGCTAGTCTAGCCTAGCCTAGCCTAGTAATCTGTTCATCAATAGCCCCTGCAGGAGCAGAAACGCCCATGTGGACGAATACACCTCAATGTCGAGGGACTAGCATGATTACGACCGATATATCCAAACTGCCGAGAAATACGTGTCGGTCCATGAGGAGTTGGGAAATCTTTAATCTCTGTGAATAGTATCCTCGAGGCATGGAGTTGGAAACTGACGAAGACGTGTCGGGATCAAAGTGGAGAGTCTCTATTAACGCCAAGTACACGTGTCATTATCTGAGAGTATCTGAAAATGTCCCATCAGTTAGGTTNAGAATTCTCAAGTCGTGTGTCAGTAAAGGCATTCTGATCTTTTTATCTCTGATCTGACACAATACGCCACATGCCCATTCCATTTTAGTTAAGTCTTCTGCTTTCTTGTGCTTCCTGACACCATTTGAGTAAGACAAAGTCATGATAGCTAACCTAGCCTAATAATCTGTCCATCAATAGCCCCTGCAGGAGCAGAAACACCCATGTGGACGGATACACCTCAGTGTCGAGGGACTAGCATGATTATGACCGATATATCCAAACTACCGAGAAATACGTGTCGGTCCATGAGGAGTTGGGAAATCTTTAATCTCTGTGAATAGTATCCTCGAGACATGGAGTTGGAAACTGACGAAGACGTGTCGGGATCAAAGTGGAGAGTCTCTATTAACGCCAAGTACACGTGTCATTATCTGGGAGTATCTGAAAATGTCCCATCAGTTAGGTTACAAGTAATTAATCCAAATCAATTTTTACAATTAAGTTGGGTCATGTTTATTTTTCTTCAAACTCTCGATCCGCTCTCGGTCATCGCTGTTCATGGGTCTCTTTTTATTTTATATTATTTTATTAATTTTATAATTAATAGATACAAAATAAACAATTATGGGTATTTTGTATTTTTCTCCTTAATTGATACATAATATACGTTANATTTTTCTTCAAACTCTCGTTCCGCTCTCGGTCATCGCTGTTCATGGGTCTCCTTTTATTTTATATTATTTTATTAATTTTATAATTAATAGATACAAAATAAACAATTATGGGTATTTTGTATTTTTCTCCTTAATTGATACATAATATACGTTAATGCTATAGATATATGAACAATTATTTTATACCTTAAGGTCATGAGTTTAAAATTTGTCTTTCCTCTCTGCTATAATAATGTTTGATCAAAAAATAAAAAATAAAAAATTTACTTTATACTAAGAGAAAAAAAGAGTTTATCTCTTGATATAAGAGTAATTTCAAAAAAAAAAAACTACCCATCAATTTAATATTGTCACTATCACACTAACTGTGGTATTGAGTAATCATTGGATATTAATATATCCGAGCAATTTTTTTTTTTTAATATGAACACACATATTTCATCGATAAATGTATTTTTAGGGAAAAAAATTGTAACCATTGAGTTGAACCGAATTATTTAAAAAAAAAAAGAAAAGGATTTTTGTTTTTTCGAATTATTTCATCCATCAAAGGATTTGTGTATTTTTTTTAAAGGATTTGATTACGATATCGAAAAGTAGATTTTTGGTATAATATCGAAATTTATTATATTTGTGAGTACTTTTATNTCCAATTATTTCATCCATCAAAGGATTTGTGTATTTTTTTTAAAGGATTTGATTACGATGCCGAAAAGTAGATTTTTGGTATAATATCGAAATTTATTATATTTGTGAGTACTTTTATTGTTGTTGTTGATATTTTTATAATTGTTGTCATACTCAAAAAAATAAAAAAATAATTACCATAATAGTGATAAAAATATTCATAAAAATAATAAAATTTTAAATTATAAAATGACTCATAAAAGTTATTAAAGGAGGTGTGCGTGTCTGTCTTGAGGTAGTGGCATATTGATAATATGAATATGCCTGAAAGATTATAATTTAAATGAATTATAATAACTTTTATTATAATTCTGTTCAACAACTCNCAAATTATAAAATGACTCATAAAAGTTATTAAAGGAGGTGTGCGTGTCTGCCTTGAGGTAGTCGCATATTGATAATATGAATATGCCTGGAAGATTATAATTTAAATGAATTATAATAACTTTTATTATAATTCTGTTCAACAACTCAATGACTTGGAGCACATCCTTTTCTTTCCACTCCACTGCATGAAGTGTTTTGTTACCAAATCTGATCAAAGAAATCTAAACCCCTAAAAAATATGTACCAAATCTGATCTGATCTTCAAGGCTNAACCACGAAAAAACACTTTTTTTAATTGGGAGGGAGAACGGGAACGGGAACAGGAACGGGAACGGAAACATTCAACCTCTCTTATGAATTAATATCGTAAATAAATAAATATTTAAACCCCCCTCCCTTACCTTCTTAGAACGGGGAAAAGACTCTCTTGGTATGCTTGTTTGTTTGTTTTGTTTCTTATAGTACTTTAGCAATGGAGACCTTTGGTTACTTTTAATATTTTAATTTAAAGGGTTAAATGCAAAAAAAATCTCCTCACCTTGCAAATATAGACGGACGTTGTTAATTTAACAGACGAAGTTAGACACGCGCTTAATTTTGCGTGTAGAGATAAAATATGTTAAAACTTATAACTTCTAATTCTTAAAATACCCTTGCCAACCCGGTCGTCTCTTTCTTTCTTTTTGTCACTCTCTCTCTCCAAACCTTCTCTTTTCCCCCACAGAATTGCAGTCCACTCCCACTGAAACCAATCCAGACCAAAGAAATCTAAACCCCTAAAAAATATGTACCAAATCTGATCTGATCTTCAAGGCTCTTCTCTTTCCTTCCTTCCAACCCAGATCAAATTCACTTCGTCAAGCCAAACCCATTTGAAATCATGTATTCAAACAATCCCAACCTTCCATATGCATACACNCTCTTCTCTTTCCTTCCTTCCAACCCAGATCAAATTCACTTCGTCAAGCCAAACCCATTTGAAATCATGTATTCAAACAATCCCAACCTTCCATATGCATACACTACGGACCTGAACTCAAACAAAGTGGGGTTTAAACCCTAACCTCTCATTTTTTCCATCAAATTCTCAGAATCACGAGGCAACCCAATTATGCAAAAATCGTTAACCTTCAGCTTATAGTAGAAGGTACATAATTCACGCTATTTAGACCCTATTTTGGAGATGGCTTTTGAAATTAGGGCTTCTACTTCATCTCATCTTTCTTTTTTATTTTTTTTTATACTTTTTAAATAGAAAATGCAGTTAGTTTAGTTTGAGGGATATGGAGGTGTGTGGGAAGATTAATGGTGGTGTTGTTGGGTTTGTGAAGATTGAGGTAGAAAAGTAGAGGGAGGAGAGAGAATTAGAATATATATAAATATAAGGGAACGACGTAGGAGAAGTGTATTGGAATGGAAATTAAATGGTCAATTGAGGATATTTTAATATTTGTATAAATTTTGTAACGCTCATCCACTGTTGCACTTTACAGGGGCGGCCCAAGGTCAAGTGGGCCTAGGCAAAAGTTTCACATGAGATNCATCCACTGTTGCACTTTACAGGGGCGGCCCAAGGTCAAGTGGGCCTAGGCAAAAGTTTCACATAAGATGTTCTGTATTGATATATTTTATTTTTAATTATTATAATTTTTTTATGTTTTAAAAAATCANCATAAGATGTTCTGTATTGATATATTTTATTTTTAATTATTATAATTTTTTTATGTTTTAAAAAATCATTTTTTATTTTTTTTAAAATTTAAAATATTGATCAAGTTTTATACTTAAGTTTTGACAATAATTTTTTTAATAGATAATATTGTTAACTCATTCACTTTTAGTTGATTGTAAATAAAATTTTATTAATTTAAATTTTTAAAAAATAATTTAATAATATAATATATGAATAAAGAATAATTTTAAGATAACAAAGAATCATTAATGTGCACACGTGAAATACAAAACTTTAATAACATAAACAATTTAAGTATAAATTATTTGGACTGAAAAATTTATATTAAAACAAAAAAAGAATTAATTTTATAAATTTTCAGCACAAAAAATAATGAATATAAATTTTCTATGTGAGTGAATGAAATACAATTATGAACACACCCAAAATATTTAGAAAAATTTAAACAAAGCTCACGTGAAGGAGTTATTTTGGACCCAAAAAAATTATGTATTGATTTGAACTATTAAAATTTGAGCCCTAAAAATTTGAATCATATCTAAAATACAAAAAATTAAAATTAAAATTAAAATGACTATTATACTAAAGTGATAAATTTTATAGAGGCCTCTAAAAATTGGACTTAATCAAGTAAAAAGTAATTTTGAATCTAATAAAATAAGAAACTGATTTGAACTAATAAAATTTGGGCCTTAAAATTTTAATCATATCTAAAATATAAAACAAAAAATAAAAAATTAAGTCTACTATACTAAAGGGATAAATATTATGGGACCCTCTAAAATTTAGAGCCTAAGCAAGCAACTTAGTTGACCGAGTTGGACTGGCCTTACACTTTATAGGGGTTCAATACAATATTTAAAATTACAAGGAGGTCAAGTACAAATGTACATTTAACCCTAATTTATATATTGTCAATTTTAGTTATAACTTATCTACATGAAATACAAATATAAGGAAAATAATAAGGATTGAGATTCCCTTTATTAAGTGAGTCATAGTATTAAATGCATTATACTATCAATCTAATAATTTTAATGTATTTATATTCTCAAATTATATCTCTAAATTATGTGTCAATATCATTGGTGATACATGAAAAGCAATTTTTTTTTTCTACAGGGTATTCAGACTTGTGCCGACTATTCCGTTAGACATTGTTGTTTGAGTTGAGTTAGAGCCTGATGTTAAAGAGAAAAAAAAATGACTAACTCTTAAAAGAATGTGAAAAAGCATTGAATCTGAGATCTTTGAGTTATCAAATACCACTCTGATCATGATAGGTAATTTAAGCTCGAGTAAAATGAGTGTTATGCGAATCTAATTCGAAGACCTAATTAAAGATCTAATTTACTGAAGTCGTTAGATTCGTTGTGAATTTTCTATAATCTAATGGCTACATTGAGTCTCCAATTTAGGTCTCGGGAGTATTTTTCGAGTAAAATTAAATAAAAAATATAATAATTAAAATTAGAATTTAAAAAAAAATATCTGGCTTAATGTACAATTAGATGTTTATTAGTTTTTCAAATTCAGAAATAATTAGTAATTAGTGTTTAATAGTAATACTGTAGTAGTGACATGCTGTCCATTAGAATTATTAATAATTAAAACTCAAATCAAACATTGTAATAATAGACGTACAAGTTACTACCTACGTATCGTATCTTTCCCTTCTTTCAGACCAAAAAATAAAAAAAATAACCAATCTCGATAATAATCTTGCTTTTCCCCATTTGACCCACATAATCAAATTATCTCTCTCTCTCTCTCTCTCATAGTTTCCAAACTCCCTCTCTGGAATCCAACAAGACCAGAAGAAACAAAAACCCTTTTGGGAAACCACTCTAAACGACAGTGTAGGATACATAAAAACTGCTATTTTCTGCTGTGTTTTTATTTTTTATTTTTGGGGAGTATGTACAGATCTGGAGCTGTGATGGCTTGGAATGTGTTCAAGTTCTGTACGGCCCTGAGGGGTTTGGGCTCGATCATGATATTGTTAGTCCTTGGTGTCGTCGGTGTCACCTATTACGCCGTCGTTATCACCAATTACGGCCCGGTATTGACCGACGGCGGCCTCGATTCTCTCGTTGCACTTGCCGTCTTGATATTGTTTCATTGTCTGGTAAGTTATATCGAATTTTTTTTGAGTAGAGTTTTGAAGTTGTTATATTGGTTTTGAATTATGTTCAATTTTGTGGTGAAATTACAGAGTATACTGTAACTATTATAAGAGTTATTTTTCGGTTTTAGCTAAAGGGATTGTAAGAAATGGGAAATTGTGATATTTTTATTTCTAATCGCTGTAACTAATTCGTTGATTTGCCGGGTTTTTGTCATGGTTTTTTATGTCTCAAGTCTTGTTCAGTTTTGTCAAGTAACCTTATTAATGTACACTTAGATTGCTCTAAGAGCCTTATTTGGCAAGTTTACTTGAGGAACCAGCTGTTTATTTTAGTTTCCTCTTCTTAAATTAGACAATTGAGATTTAGATAGCAAAATGGGCCTATAAATGTGGATTTGAATCTACTCTAAAACTGTGAATAACATAATCTTTTGATGTATTTTGAAAGTAAATGAAGCATTAAATTGAGTAATTGTAGTGATTGCAGTTGGTGATGCTGTTATGGAGTTATTTCTCTGTGGTTTTTACTGATCCGGGTACTGTGCCTCCAAATTGGAGGCCACTTAGTGATGAGGAGAGAGGGGACACTGATCCATTGACCGGTTCAGATATATCAGCCTTGCCAGTTGACCCAGCTCACCCAAGAATCCGATTTTGTCGGAAGTGTAACCAGATGAAGCCACCTCGGTGCCATCATTGTTCTGTTTGTGAGTTCTTTTTTCACACATTTTTGAATGATCCTGGTGGTGGTGTTTTTTTTCTTTCAGAGAAAAATGAGTTTTCATATTATCTATTTTAGGTGGGAGGTGTGTGCTAAAAATGGACCATCATTGTGTGTGGGTTGTCAACTGTGTTGGGGCACTTAACTACAAGTATTTTCTTCTTTTCCTGGTATGCTACCTCTGCTGCCTTGTTACAAGTACGCTTAATGATATTATTCATCTATTGATATGCATGCAACTTTCCATGTTGCAAAGCATGAAACTACTTTGGCAATGTCTACGAATTTGGATACTTTCTGCTTTCCAGTTATTCTGTTATCAAACTCATAATTTGCTTAAATGAGAAGGTCTGTTTCCTTAAGTATCGCAAGATGATATACTGGATTGCCAGATTCTTTATGGATGCCAATTCTCAATTGAACTCGGTGACATTAATCTCAGAATTCTTCCAAAATGCACATTGCCAAATGAGGTCACTGATGTGAAAGGGAAGCAAGAATATATAGTATCCATGTTTTCAACCTCTTTTGGTTGGCTGAATTAGGAGATGTTGCTAAGAAGGGAGTGTTGTTGCTTTTTGGCTGAGTGTTCGTAGAAAAAATTTGTATGAATCTCTAATGTTGGCTTCAGATATATTTCATAATTGCCTGCAAAACAGGGGATAAAACTATCTATTGCTCACGGTAAATTCCCAAATTAGGAGTTAATTGTTTGGGAGTTGTATGCTTCAATAGATGTAGCACTGAAAATAAGTAGTGGGGTAATTTTTCCTTTCACAAATCAGATTTAAATATTTAATAGTATATGTTCACGTCTCCCCAAATTCCAAGNCTTCAATAGATGTAGCACTGAAAATAAGTAGTGGGGTAATTTTTCCTTTCACAAATTAGATTTAAATATTTAATAGTATATGTTCACGTCTCCCCAAATTCCATGGGAACTCTTCATCTGTAGCCACTGGGTCAATAGTTAGTGTTCTTATTTGTTGTAGACACCTCATAGAGTCATAGATTATCAGAGTATCATACCATATTTTAGTTTGCTATTTGTATTGAATTCAAATATTATTTGACCTTTGTGCATCAGCATATTCAGGCACATTTGGTTTCAAAATATGTTATTTTTTAGTTGCCGGATATTATATGTCATAGAGCATTTATTTTGGTAAGATCTACAAAACCACTATTAGACCAGCATTGTTGTATGGAATAAAATAGAACACGCATGAAACAATATCTAGAAACTAAGTGTGGCGGAAATGCGAATGTTAATTTGATATGTGTTTAGACCGGNAGCATTTATTTTGGTAAGATCTACAAAACCACTATTAGACCAGCATTGTTGTATGGCTTCTGGAATAAAATAGAACACCTATGAAACAATATCTAGAAACTAAGTGTGGCGGAAATGCGAATGTTAATTTGATATGTGTTTAGATCAGAAAAGATAGAATTAGAAATAAATAAATCTGTTAAACTATAGAAATAGCATTAATAAGAGATAAATTANGAAAAGATAGAATTAGAAATAAATAAATCTGTTAAACTATAGAAATAGCATTAATAAGAGATAAATTAAAAGAGAATTGACTTACCTAGTTTGGGCATGTTTATAGAGAACTTAGATTGTGAAAAAGGATATGAATATAGATTATAGTTTAACAAAAAACATAACCTTTAATAGAACACAATAGAGAAACATAATTCATGTACCCGACCCTTGGTAGTTGGAATAACAACTTTGTTGAATTGAGTTGAGTATATGTGCATTAGCATACACCTTAGGGCATTGATGTGATATTTAATATATTTGTTTCGGGTGGGGGCTGATAATAGTTTATAACAGCTGAGAGCTTTAAGATTCTGTTGGTCGGACTAATACTCATGTTTTTTGGCATCCAATTTGCATAAATATCAGATAGCAAAGCTGATAAAGTTCTTTTGTTGCAGTTCTACACATTCCTTGTGACCACTCTTGTGTCTTTAGCATTATTGTCGCATTTTATTGCGTTCTTTAGCGATGGAGAGATACCTGGGACGCCAGGCAGCCTTGCAACCACTTTTCTTGCCTTTGGTAAGTTCTAAGGAGCCTATTTGTGGAACTTCATTCTCCTCCCCGCCCATAGTCCTTATCTTCTCTTATGTCCCTTGTGCTTGGCTCTGTATCTTTATGTCACTATCCTTATGGTATCCACAGTTTTGAACTTGGCATTTGCATTGAGTGTTTTGGGGTTTCTGATTATGCACATATCACTGGTGGCTGCAAATACGACAACTATCGAGGTATTGCCTTCTTGTTTGTTGTTGCCTCTATAGGACTGATTTTAGTCTTAATAACGATGGCCTTTGTCATGTCAACTTCTGTATCTTTGGGTACAAATGTTTTCATGCTGTTCTTATGCATGCCAAGGGGAATTTGGGCCTTATTGTGTATCTAGGGTTGGGAATGAACCTGAAAAATGTCTGTACCACACCCCTATCCCTTGAATAGGTCTAGTTAGGTATATAAACTGCCCCCAGAACTAATACCTCAGTTATTTGAAAGAAGGGGGACCTGGGTGTGATTGTCAGGTAAAAAGAAGGGCCTCCGATATTGTAATGGATGGAAAAATTGGTGACCAAAATTCTATCTCCAGTTTAATGATTCCACTAAAGTTCCCCCGCCCTGTCTCTCCTTCTCTTATCCCCTTTCTTCTTCTTTCCTTAGTACCACCTTTGTTCTAAGTGGGTTTACAGAAGCACATCTTCCTGGAGGAAGATGCAGCAGATGTCAATGAAATTGTTGATTTGTTTATTGTCTTCTGTTTAGGCATATGAGAAGATGCAAACTCCAAAGTGGCGATATGACCTTGGTCGAAAGAGGAACTTTGAACAGGTTGGTTGATTTTGTAAAAATTTCCATTATAATTTNATATGACCTTGGTCGAAAGAGGAACTTTGAACAGGTTGGTTGATTTTGTAAAAATTTCCATTATAATTTCTTCTTTTCTCATGGAAGTTTGTGTGAGATACAGCCAATAGAACAATTTTTTTTCCTTCTGACAAAAATTTTGTGATTCATCAACTTATCAGTTTAACCACTGTCAAAGAACGATCTAGANTTCTTCTTTTCTCATGGAAGTTTGTGTGAGATACAGCCAATAGAACAATTTTTTTTTCCTTCTGACAAAAATTTTGTGATTCATCAACTTATCAGTTTAACCACTGTCAAAGAACGATCTAGAGAGAGAGAGAGTTCTCATATGTATCAAAAAATGGTCTCAAATTCTGTGAGACTCCCTGGTGAAAAATGGCATGCGTCCCTACTGGATACTGCTCTCTTATTATTATGACAATTTACCAATCTCTAGCTTAAAGCATTGATTGATAGTTTGATACTAATCCTGTGGGAGGGCCCACCTACACCTAAGGGCTTAAAACGGTTGATTGGAAATAGAGGTAGCACTGATTTTGGTTCTGCCCTGGCTCTCATATTCCTATCCTTGAACGTGCCTTGTAGTGGGGAGACCCAAAGCCCCTTATTGAATAAGTAGGCACATAGTATCAAAAGATATCCACTGAAGATTTCTTTTGTCTTCATCACCAATCCACCAAAAGTTAGCAAACGTTTTTTGTCAAAANACCCAAAGCCCCTTATTGAATAAGTAGGCACATAGTATCAAAAGATATCCACTGAAATTTCTTTTGTCTTCATCACCAATCCACCAAAAGTTAGCAAACTTTTTTTGTCAAGAACTCCCTTTGGACCGGAATCCCTGCAAGAAGTACTTTGAAAACTCAAACCAGACTCATGCAGTCTATGGAACCTTAAATTGCGAGCATCTGATGAGTGTGCAGCACAGTCTATCTTGCAATTTAGCTCTATCTGGGGCTATATCTGTATATTGTAAAATCATGGGAGTTTGACCCAGGTCTCTAATGATTTGCCTGTCTTTTCTTAGAGAATTACCTACTTGAGTAAATTAATTCCCAAGTAATGTAGCAATTGACCAAATTGGGTTGGATTGTTGGTAACTTTGCAATGATGACCAACCTGGCTGGAAGGGCCACGCCTGTTTCGAAATTAAACAACCTGGATCGCTTGAAATTTGATTCTTTTGATAGTTTAGGGAAACCTTTCCCTTGATGATATAATATGAGTTTGATTGGGTGCTTCAGCATGAGGGTAAAAAAATGTACGATCCATGGGTTGGATTGATGGTTACTTTGCAATGATGTGCAACCTGGCTGGAAGGGCAAAGCCTGTTTTGAAATAATACAACCTCGATTCACTAGAAATTTGACTCTTTTGATAGATTAGGGAAACTTATACGTTGATGATATAATCTGGGTTTGATTAGTTGCTTCGGCAGGAGGTTGAGAAAATATCAGACCTATAACCGGGGAAGGGATGATTTCTGCTACTTTGAAGCAATCATTAAGGGAGCTATAGGAAGATGTTGGCCTATGGAATTGGATTCATCTGTATATATTTTCAACTGACGAGAGTGAATGATATATGATTATTGAGTGAAGATATTAATTTAATAAATTGTAATATGAGAAATAATGGAAAAATAAGCAAATAAATTGCTGGGAATGAGTAGGGATTTATGAAGGTATATGTGTACTGCAATAAGCAAAGATGTTGGTTTGGAAACATATAACAATTGATGAGGAGACAAAGTAGCAACTTGTTCAGAATTAAGGTGACCGAAAAATAAAGGGGAATGTTAAAAAAGAAAGTAGGATGATTTTGGAAGAAAGGACATGATTGCCTGGATTACAATTCTGGACTTTGGCTTTACATGGAATAAACTGGAGTATTTGTGGTTCGGAATTATAGCTTATTGAGTTATTCTTCATGCTACAGAGTTGAGAATGGATAAAAATATACTGCCTACCTTGTTGCACAAATTCTTTTGAAGTGTTGTTTATTGTGCTGAACCTCTATTGTGTTGAGCAGTACCTTTTTTTATCCTTTACAAGGAACCTCAATAAGGCAGGGTGCAAGAACCCACTCCCAGAAAGAATTCTTGACTGCATATCATTGACGAACTTCTCTGGTCATTCCAGCACAAGCTTCACAAAAAGTGATACTGATTAATAGCAGTCAAAGCATTACCACCCAAATTACAGTCTACTCTAAAAATTCTAACTGATGTTCACTCAAGATTTCTGAATTTTGTCTGTGAATGAGTATATGTTTAACATGGTTTCTCCTAATCTGCCAGCCGCATTGTGCATGGTAGGTTATTCTTGTTCATCACGTAGTCTGACGCTAATTTGGAAGGATATTCGTCTGATCTGAGTTGCAAGACAAGGACATTACTTGCTTGGTCTTGTTATGTTTTCTGGGTCATTTTGTTGATCTCTTGTAAGTTTGCGGGTTTATAATGTAGGTCTNCTAATTTGGAAGGATATTCGTCTGATCTGAGTTGCAAGACAAGGACATTACTTGCTCGGTCTTGTTATGTTTTCTGGGTCATTTTGTTGATCTCTTGTAAGTTTGCGGGTTTATAATGTAGGTCTTTCTCAACTAGAATGTTGGTGTACCTGTATCAGGTGTTTGGGATGGATAGGCGATACTGGTTCATCCCAGCTTACTCTGAAGAAGATTTGCGGCGGATGCCTGCCCTTCAGGGTCTTGAATATCCTTCAAAGCCTGATTTGGATGCCCAGGAGTTCTGAGGATCATTAACTTCACATTCAGATTTCGGTCTTCTTTTATTTAACAGTTATTCTGAAAACCCCCCAAGAGTGTGTGGTTACGCCTCATTTGGGCTCGGGATTATCTATTCCCATGACACCCTGCAGAATAACGTTCAGTCAGAGGGAGNTTTGGATGCCCAGGAGTTCTGAGGATCATTAACTTCACATTCAGATTTCGGTCTTCTTTTATTTAACAGTTATTCTGAAAAACCCCCAAGAGTGTGCGGTTACGCCTCGTTTGGGCTCGGGATTATCTATTCCCATGACACCCTGCAGAATAACGTTCAGTCAGAGGGAGAAATTGATGCATACAGCAGGCCAGGAAGAAGAATTTGGATTGCAGGAATGTGGGGATGGCTTGGTGGGCTGGTGTTTATTTCATGTTCTGGTTATCAATTTGGGAAATATGGGTCTTGTAAGATACGAAATGCCGATACTTCATAAGGTGGCTTGCAAATGTAGATTGATCTTGGTACATCTTGCCACGTAACAATGGTGTATGTTTGTGATATATTTCTATGAAATTTGATTCATACAGGCTAAATGCTTCTCAGAATGGTGTCATATGACTCTAGGATTATCCTGGCCAGTATCTTTTTAGCAGTTTTCCAGGTGCACAGTGGGCTTGTAAGTCATCATCCTGTTTCTGAAGTAGTGATGTTAAGAATCAAAGCTTCTTGTTCAATGGGTTTGATCAAGTATGCTTAAAGATGGTTTTTGCAGATGACTATGGGCAATTACACTGGCACCTTCTGAGCTTTCTCTAAATTACATTTTGTCCGTAGCGATTTAGAAAACTATTAGAGTTTGGCTGGTGATGAGATTAAAAGTTTATTAAAAGTAGTTGATTTTATTATCTTATCCTTTTTTATTTACAATATTGTCATGTTTCTTTTGATCAAAATAGAGTGAATTCCCTCTAACCCAATACCTCTCCACTCTTCCCTCCCCACCCGTCCAGTCCATCCTAACCCACCCCCTAGTCCTCCTCTCATACGCAATGACCTCATACACCCCCCCCCCCTTTGCAAGAGAGAGGATGACCCGTAGGAAATAACTCCTTAGGGTGTGATCATGAAGGTAAATGTTTGGTTTGAACCATAATTATTAATTTCACTAAGAAATGTCTGGTTTGAACCATAATTATTAATTAGAAACGACAGTTTGTCATCATAACATTACCAAAATCAAATAGAAAGTCGCGTTACTTTCGTGAATAGATTTTTGTTTGATAATCACATGAGAGTGAAAGACAATCCTAAATAGATATGACTTACCACTAGATCACCAGTTCGGGTGGTGATTTCGTGAGATGTTCCTCTTTCCTGTATAATTATGATAATGGTTTGACAACCAAAAACATTAGTCAAAATAAATTTGTTATTTCATTCATAAATAAAGTCAAAATCTTTGCTAGTCTCAAGAACTCGATTGATTATAGGCTTAAAGCAAGGATGGTATTTAGGTCTTTAATTGAAATTCTTGATGCAAAATACACTCAATTATCCCCTCTTTTTCATCTCTCAAATTTCCCCCCAATCGTTAAAAAAAAAATATTAGAAAAACAGATGGAAAAGCTAGCCATATGATCCACTTTCTACCCCCATCAAATTCATTAATTAGTTTTTTTTTTACTTTCTTTTTCATTATTTTATGCAAATTACACACGGACATCTCAAACTTTTACGCTCATTTGCTACCACCGAAATAACCCAAAAAATTCCATCATCTAGTTCATCTCATTATACACAATTCTTAATCCTTTTACTCCTTATTAGAATGGATGAACAATTTGTCTGGTTTGCTCAAAATACAAAACAATATATTTGGTGTTTTTCTAAGAAAATTTATAATTTAAAACAGGGCAGGTTTCAATAAATTCATCTGACAATTTCAAATAGACTCATCTAACGGGCACCAACATTCATTTCAAAACTATTCAACTAGGCATATTAATACTAGGCATACTATTCAACTATTCAACATTCATTTCAAAACTAATCTTATTAATTAATCACTCCTTATTTAATTTTTTTTAAAAAAATTTAATTTTAATTTTTTATAAATTTTAATAATTTTTGAAATACCTATGTTATGAGATGGAAAAAAAGAGGTCAGAATAGAGAAGAAATGAGCCGGAGAGTAATACAAATTATAAATTTCGTACAACACACTGTACGACTGTTAATGCCACAATAAAATATTCGGGGTAAATAAAATAGAGTTAATTGTAAATTGTACCTCGAAAGATAGTTCAAATCTTATTTTTTATCCTCAAAGATAAAAAATTTTAATTTATACCCTCAAAGATAGAAATTTTTATCAATGTACACCTAAAACTAACTGCTGTCAATTTACTGCCTGAAAACTAAATTGATAAATTATACATAAATTTCTTTATACTTGTCACTTAATCATTTAAATCCTTCATAAAATAAAAGGTGANTAACTGCTGTCAATTTACTGCCTGAAAACTAAATTGATAAATTATACATAAATTTCTTTATACTTGTCACTTAATCATTTAAATCCTTCACAAAATAAAAGGTGATATGAAATTATAATTATGTTTTAAGTAATATATTGCATTGGATATAAAAAATAATATATAAATACATATTTTTTATTGGACATTTAAATGGTAAATTTGATTTTGAACTTTAAATTATATCAAACCTACAAAATAAAGGGTAGTATGAAATTATAATTTTTTATTAGAATAAAATCATATTTTTTAACGGTTATATTAACAGATATCAACTAAAAAGAGTTACGTGTTACACGTGCACAGACGTCATGAGATGTAGGAGTAATATTTTAAATGTGAAAAAGTTCAAATGATTACGTGATAAGCACGAGGGATTTAGGTATAATTTATTAATTTAATTTTAGGCAAACTGATGACGGTTAGTTTTAGGTCCATATTGATACAAATTTTTATCTTTGAGGGTGTAAATTGATATTTTTAATCTTTGGGGATGCATATTGATATAAATTTTTATATTTGAAGGTATAAATTGAGATTTTTTATCTTTTGGGGTGTACATTGATATAAATTTATATTTTTGAGGTATAAATTAAATTTTTTTATCTTTAAGGTTATAAATTAAGATTCGAATAATTTTTTGAGCTATAATTTACGATTACCTCAATAAAATATTTAACGAGAACAATCTAGAGTTCTAGGCTCAAACTTAACACGTGTCACGTATCAACTCATATTTAAATCAATTCTTAGTTGTTTTCTCGCACCTTCTCAAGCCCTCTCCTCGTGGAAATTCGAAGCCCACTCTTTCTTTAAAGGTATCTCTCTCCCTCTCTCTCTCTCTCTTGAACGTCTTGGGTTCAGAATTATCGATATATTTATGCGTAGCTTACAATCTGTAGTTGCTTCGATGTGTGTGATGATGATCGTACGTTTTTACACATAATTATTCATTCTAAAGAATTTCGGTAATTCTCGGAAAGGTGAAAATTCTTATTAATTTTTTTTTTATTTTTTATTTTTCAGTTGTTTTAGATTGATTGATTGGAATACGATTGCTTCTTCTGATTTAGTCTAGTAGTGGAGGATAGGATTATGTCGTTTTTGAGGCAATTTTACTCGTGCTCTAATGTATAGGCTTCTTACGTGAAACTATATCATGTGTGCTGTGGAAGCTACGTGTTTTGAATCTTATTCCCATATATTTATTTCACTTATTTGTATCACTTCACTCATTTAGTCATTTTTATCACAAATTGAATTATTTAATTTTATTAATTCGTGGCTCAATACAATTTTTATTTTAGATATTCTTCATATGATAGTATATACATGTTAACATTTTTTTAGGTCATGTATTTTGAGAAAATTTTATCAATTTTTTTAAAAAATAATGGGTAAAAATTAATTTGAAATTATGTAATTTAAAAAAAGGGAAGGAAAGAAAAATTATTATTTGAGATATCGATTTTTTGGATGCTTGCATGGGTCATAGCTAGTACATGAATATAGTAGGTGTATAAATTATGCGTGTGTGGGAGTTTATGCATAGCTGCCTACATCAATGAATTCATATATTTAGCTTTATACATATATGAGTTTATATGCATTGTATGGTTCTTTTATCTATCCATTGTCGTCGAAGGCAAGCATCCAAGTTAGTAATTTAGATTACACGAGTGTTTTTGGGAACAACCACATAAGTTTCTGTCGCTCTACATTTTTATAACTTTCATAGAATCATAGTTTTATATTTGCTATCTTTGAATTTTTTAGGAGTTAGTACAAAGAAAATGCAGAGGGAAAGAGAAGGCAGAGAAATTCCCATCCATTTCGGCAGCTCGTTTGATATTTTTGGGGATATTGGTGGTTTTAGACCACATAGGAGTATGTTTTCCAGCATTTTTGGGGGAAGGGATCCATTTGATGATCCATTTTTCACTCGTCCATTCAATAGTGTATTTGAGCCCAGTATGATTGGTTCAAGTGCTTCTGCCAGTGAGTCTCCAAGGGTTCGTAAATCAAAGGGACCAGTTATTGAGGAGCTTAACACCGATGATGAGGGAGAAGGGGAGGAAGAAGGAGGTGATACTGATGCTGGGGAGAAAAGTGATAGAGCTAGAAAGAATTCTGGTGCAAATGAAAATCCCCTTGTTGAGCACCCGGATGACCAAATTGATGGTTTGTGGGTTTTAGTTACTAGTACATTCCTGGAAGATACTAGAAGAAAGTTTAGTAAACTTGCGATTGCTTGTAGTAGTGGAAGTTAATTGTTATGGTTTCTTTGGCAGAGAGGAAGAGCAAGGATGTGTCTTATAGGGCCCAACATAAAACGATGGAAAGGCCACTAACTCATACTCGGAATGTCAGTTACCAGAGAGTCACATATGGTGGTATAAATGGTGCTTACTATACTGCTACATCGTCTCGGAGGACCGGCAGCGATGGAGTAAGTAGCTTTTATTTGTTTTTTTTGAGAAATGTGTTTGTTTCTGGGTGTATCCTGTTCTCATATTGTGTTTGCTTGGGAATCAGGTCGTGCTGGAGGAAAGCAAACAAGCCGATAGAACAACTGGTCAAGCAACACATAGGATCTCTAGAGGAATACATGACAAGGTATATCATTCGGTTGGTGCCTTTTTGCAGTTTGTTAGAAAAAATTTATCAAGCCAACAAAACTTGCTCCATTGGTTAGAATGCTTTAAGACNATACATGACAAGGTATATCATTCGGTTGGTGCCTTTTTGCAGTTTGTTAGAAAAAAATTTATCAAGCCAACAAAACTTGCTCCATTGGTTAGAATGCTTTAAGGCCAAGTTTAAGGGCATGAGTTTGGCTTTGATTATGAAGATAATCTCAACAAGAATCTTTAAAGGGAGGTTTTGGAAAGAGAAATCAGTGCACTTCTTAAATTCAAAGTTGTCAAGTTCTCACAAAACATTAAACACATGTTACACATATGAAAAAGTGCAGTTTTGTGTTAGTATATTTATTTAACAATGTTGGCTTTATTCATTTAAATTCTTTTATCTCCCGTGGTATACTTGGAAACTGTGGTCATTAATTGAATGAAATTGAAGTCTTGAACTTCTTTATATGCTCAACAGTCGCCCTTTTTGTAAGAAAATGACACTGGTCTTGCATGATGGCTTTTCATAAGTTCATGGACAATTTTTTCTGCTTCAGTTAAATGTTGGCTTATGTGCGCCTTTTGTAAGTTGAACAAGATATGGTCTTCTCTACATAAGTTTCAAAGGAACATATAACAAACTTGAAAATTTTCTGCAGAATTGGACAATTAAAATGAAAGCTGTTAAATAACAGCGTGCTAAGAAGACTTGGACGCATTTTTAGCAGCTTTAGTACTTCATAATATATGAACAAATAACAATCTTTTTCATAGAATAACTGCACGAGATGTTCAGCCGGAGGTTAAGGCATGACTAAAATATCGAATATTAGGACATTATAGTTTTTAGTCTCTGAATTTGATATGATCTTAATATTTAGTGGAGTTTCCTGTTTCCTGTTTCCTGTTTCCTGTTTTCTGCATTTTCTTTTTTCTTTCTGCAGTGTAGAATGTTTGTTTATGTTCTCAATCTTTGTGTTTTCGAGGTCTTTTCTTGCTTACTAGCTTGTAATATGAAAAAAAAGGGGAAGTAGAATGGATGAGAAGATACATTATGGCTGTTTATGTGGAAGTATAAGAATGCCATGAATGCAACTTTTGTGGTGAAGTAAATGTTTTGTCGTCGTATGTGGAGTAGGGCAGTTCAACGAACATTTAGGGTCAGAAGAGACTACTTTCGCTGGCCGAACTGAAACTACTCAAAAGTTGAAAAGACAAACCAAACCGAACCGATTTACAAGACCAGTCGAACTGATAACCGACCTTTAATGTCGGTTGGTTTACGGTTTGGTTATTGGGTGGGCTTAAATTCTATTTTAGACCTAAAATTGCTTTGGCCAAGCCTAGTTAATTTGCCGAACATGTCTATAAACTTAAATTAGATCTAAAACATCATTTTCAAGCCCAAGACCATTTCATATGTTATGCATCATTTGAGGCCCAAACCAATTTGGTATTTTGTGTTATTGTGCCATGAATTATTTTACAATTTGCAACTCAATCAAATAAGAGCAGACAAACAACAACATTAAAATGAAAATCAAGAGTGTAGGTTACAGCAACTATGCAAGTGTGCTTCAAAAGTAGTTTATAGCCACAACAATCAAAACTGGTAAACCATTTACTCTGCCAAAATCAGTAGTCTAAATACAAAAATCAGTATACTTCAAAAATCTGCAGTGCACCATTCCAAGAATATGGTTCACTATTCCAAAAATTAGGAATCTCAATAGTCAGTCAGTCTCAACAGTCATATAAGTAGTGAAACAGAGATTTACAAACACAATCATGATTCTTAACAAAATACTTACGATTAATAGCATAAAGGACATACTAAATTGATTAAAAACATACCAAAAAGTAGAATGTTTTTTAGTCAAAGCAGTAGCCTAAATACAATCATCAATAACAGTTGNAGCATAAAGGACATACTAAATTGATTAAAAACATACCAAAAAGTAGAATGTTTTTTTGTCAATGCAGTAGCCTAAATACAATCATCAATAACAGTTGCATGTGTTACACTCCCATCCAGTTCCAAGATAAAACATTAAAAAAAATTGATTACATTTAGAGAACTAACATTCTACAATAAAGAATAATAACAAGTTGAAATAATGAAACAAATATATGTTACTGGAATCAAGTTCAATGCTTTCCATGTAATCCATTGCATCTTGGCCATCAAAAGGATTTGGATTTTTTAACCAATTTTGTGCACAGACAATGACCTTAACTATTTTTGGAGATAATGAACTTCGAAATGGATCTAGTACACGTCCCCTTCTCTAACAATTTGAAATGACTTCACACTTGTGACTTGCCTGTTTTTTTATTATGGGATTTCTCATTCTCATTAGTCTCCATAGGGTCATCAATCACTGGTGTAGCATCAGCCAAAGTTGTATTTCCCTCCATGTAAATAACAAAATTTAAATTGAACAAATTAAACATGAAAGCTTAGATATAAAAAAAAATCAGGTTCAACGAATACAAATAGGCATGAATCAGATAAACACAAAAAGAGAACATACAGAAATAATTTGTATCATACAAATATTAGGTTGAATAATTTATGGTTTGATATCCAAAAAATTAGATAGAATAATTTATGGTCAGATTCAACCTATAGTCATGAATGTTTATGGTCAGGAAAATGAAAGAATTTTGGGTAGGTACTGGTACTGCATTTAAGAGGAGGAGAAAAATGAAAGAATTTGGCTGCTTTCAAGCAGTGAGTGTCAAAACCACCAAAAATATATATATATATACCTGTCAAAGAAGGGTCGAAATCTACTTGATAGGATTGAGATATGCTTTTACTCGATAGTTGATGACATCTTGTGGTCGACTGGTGGATCCATGGATGTAGAACAGTAGAAGAGGAAGTTTAGGGTTTTTCATTTGCAAGAGGGAGAAGAAAAGGGGCGAAAGAGGTAGGGGTGTTCTTAGAAGTGAAAGTTTAGGGTTCGACTGCTTATATATATATATATATTTTTTTTTTTAAAGGACAAACCCAGAGTATAATCAGTTGACATTATATATATATTTTTATATTATTAATAAATACTATTTGGGCGATTCGGTTAATTCGGTTTTGGTCTTGAACTTACCTGTCAATTGTTTTTTAATTCTGAAACCGGACTGGGATCCATATTAACAGCCAGGTTTGTATTCGGAAGGGTCGGTTTTGTTTGGTTTGTCTGGTACTCGGGTATTTTGCACAACCTTAATTTGGAGAGGCATTAGTATAGTTTTGAAATGTTTTATGGTTTTTGTAGGGACATTCGCTTGTGAGGAAGCTCAATTCAGATGGCAAGGTGGATACAAAGCAGGCTCTTCATAATTTGCATGAAGGTTTGTTCTTTGCTCAATTGTGATGACTTAGTAGTCCCATGTTTTAATTATCTATGTCTAGGAGAACTGATATATTGGTTTGTATCAGATGAGCTTGCCGGTTTTGAACAAGCTTGGAATGGTAATGCTGATAAGCATTTGCCCGGTTGGAATGATGGATTTGATTTCCATGAGAATGCAGGTAAGGCAGGGTTTATGTTCCTTTATTTATTTGTTCAACACTGTGCGCGTGTGTCCCCTATTTATTTGTTCAATGTGTTTTCTGTGGAGTTGTAAGTATTCCACCTATTTGTTGTGGTTAATGTTTCCAGTTCTTATTGGATGCTGTCATGTATGTGAGAATAGCTGTTACTGAATCACACTTGCAGGTGACAAGTCGAAGCTCAAATAAATTTAAATGAACAGAAATCCCTTAAGCATACACTTAGTGTATATGGCATGTGTCCAATAGACCATCATTATCATTTTGTTATATATTTGCCTTTGTTGTTAAAGTAGCGATCAATTCTTTTGTAAAATATTGTGCACTGGGTACAATTTTTTTTTTTAAATTCTGCATTATATGAGTGAAGCAAGGATCTCGCTGATGGTCTTTGACACACTCCTTATAGGATCGCTGTTGTGCTAAGGCTTGAAGAAATGGTCTTTAATATGGAAATTGATTTGTATTAAGCTTGTAGTGGTTTGATTTCACATGAAGCATGTAATGGTTATGCAGGGGCTAGTGGCAGCGAGCGGAAAAGGCAATCAAGTTGGGGTGGTTGGGCTCTGCCATTCACAGAGCCCCTTGGAAGAGCTGGAGGAGTGGCAGATCGTAGTGAATCCAATACTACGTCGGGCAGAAGATCCAAAAAGGTTGTCACGATTAATGTAGATTAAGTCGACCCCAGGTTTAGCTGTTGGAGTATAGGGCATTTACTTATAATAGTGTGAGCTCTTACTGTTATCATCCTGCATGTCTGGGATATTGTCTTCAACTCGTATTTCTTGGTGTTTTAGCCTTGGTGTGGCAGTCCATTTGTCTAACGCAAACTGTAGTGTGTGTGTGTGTGTGTGGAATTGTCGTATTAGTCATGTTGTATTTGGTTTTGTATGCATGGTCCCGAAGAGTTTTTGTTGGTGACCTATTTCACTTCTTTTAATTAGGAGGCATCCGCTCATTTCTAAGCACGCATGATAATTCTCTGGCACATGCAGTTTCCTCATTCCATATGTACCATCTAGTCACGGGGATAGGTGGGATGGTATCAACCCCAAGAGATAAATATAAATATTTTGAGTTTAAATTTTAATAATCTTTTGGAGCCAGAGCATCGAGTGATTTATTATTCATGAATGCATTACTCTTGGTGTTGATGACTTGTTTTTGACCNACGCATGATAATTCTCTGGCACATGCAGTTTCCTCATTCCATATGTACCATCTAGTTACGGGGATAGGTGGGATGGTATCAACCCCAAGAGATAAATATAAATATTTTGAGTTTAAATTTTAATAATCTTTTGGAGCCAGAACATTGAGTGATTTATTATTCATGAATGCATTACTCTTGGTGTTGATGACTTGTTTTTGATCAAGTCAAAGTACGTTTAAGTTGACATGGACATTTATGACTGTTGAACAAAAAAAAAAAAATTAGATGGGATGGTATCACGTTGAAATTCCAGCAGTAGATAACTTCATTGCGCAAATGTTCTAATTATATCATGGAGAACGTGGGGCAATGGGTTTATTGCAAATCTTCTACCAATTCCAGCATACCAGACTAGTCATGAGTTCGATTATACACAATATGTCTACAACATTAACCAGAATGCCCTAGCTCGACTTGTGACAAATACTACAATTAAAATCAGACGTGGATTGAATATATGTAGAGGATGTTATTGCATTACACGATTTAAACACTCCATCTTCATCCTCATGTCTGTCTTCCCCATAATTCCCTCTTTCTCAATCTCCCCTCCCATGGGGCATTGATTTGAAGAACATCACAGCTTTCTGGTAGCTCGGATTATGCCAAAAAATGCCACTTGGGGAAATCAATGGCCAAGTTTCAAACTAAACTGAGCCATCATTGAGACGGATCCGAGCCATTGATTTCCCCAAGTGCCCTCTTCTCAGCTCGGACCTGTCTCAATGATGGCTCACGTTGAATACTTGCAAGCCTTGATCTATTCAAACGTGGCCCATTGAGGAGAGAAGCTTGTTTGTTTGTTTGTTCTTTTTTTTTTTTTTTTTAAATTGGAGGGTAAACAACGCATCATTCTCCAATAATTAGTGGGCAATACATGATTTTTCCATTTACTGAGAAAAAACTTTCCAAGTGANTTAAATTGGAGGGTAAACAACGCATCATTCTCCAATAATTAGTGGGCAATACATGACTTTTCCATTTACTGAGAAAAAACAACCCCAAAAAGAGGGTGATAATAGATCGGATTTTATTAAAATTTAATCCAGATTCAAATCAGTGGAATGACATTTTTTTAGTAATAATTTGCATTTGAATCCAAAACTGAATTTTTTGGATATGAATATATNCGGATTTTATTAAAATTTAATCCAGATTCAAATCAGTGGAATGACATTTTTTTAGTGATAATTTGCATTTGAATCCAAAACTGAATTTTTTGGATATGAATATATCAATATCTTATGTGATTGAGATTCGATTTAAATGATATTGTATGTATATAATTTTTTAAAATTCTATTGAGTAATTAAGATGGAATTAGTTTTTTTTTTAATTTTTAAAGGCCTACGATATGAAACAGATTCAAATGCGAGTCGACTTAAATTTGAGCCAAATCCCATTCATTAACAGGCATATTCACAAGCATTGCCAAATATGTGCAGGTATTGCCTTTCATCCTCCCTACGCAATCTTGAGTATTTCTACGGGCAAAGCAGAGTCATGCAAGGGTACAAAACAAATCTGGACATAATCTTCTGGGTGCAATCTAAAATCCCCGCAGTGTGCANTCATTAACAGGCATATTCACAAGCATTGCCAAATATGTGCAGGTATTGCCTTTCATTCTCCCTACGCAATCTTGAGTATTTCTACGGGCAAAGCAGAGTCATGCAAGGGTACAAAACAAATCTGGACATATTCTTCTGGGTGCAATCTAACATCCCCGCAGTGTGCATATATATATATATACAGAGAGAGAGAGAGAGAGAGAGAGAGAGAGAGAGAGAGATGGAAGGAGAAAACAAGGGAATTGTTTGTGTCACAGGAGGAACAGGGTACGTAGCATCATGGTTGATCATGAGGCTTCTTCAACATGGTTATTCTGTCCATACTACAATTAGGCCTGATCCAGGCTAGTTACCAGTTGCCTATCTTCTCCAAAATAAAAACAAGTTCATGAATTTGCAGTGATCATATAATCTAATCAACATGCGTATGACCTTAAAACACAAACATGGTCTTCATATTTTAGGCTATCAAAGTATGTAAAAAGTGTTGTGAAACAATATTCTTTGGGTCTTCAGACTTAGACAAAGGTCTTATCTAGTTAATTTTAGCCCAAAATTACCAAGAAAATAATATTCATTTCAAACTTTTATTCATCAAGCTTTTGGTCATTTCAAACTTTTATTATCAGTTACCAACTACTTGTATTGCACTTTTATGCTTAAACTCAAGTATGTAATCAGTAAATAATAGGAGTGTGTATTGCCAGAAAAGGAAGAAAGACAATAGCTTCCTCACAAACTTATCAGCCGCATCAGAAAAACTCAAGATTTTCAATGCAGATCTCGATATTCCAGAGAGTTTTGATGCAGCAATTGCAGGATGCATCGGAGTGTTTCATCTTGCCCACCCCATAGATTTGGAGGACAAAGAAACAATGATCAACCGATCCATCTATGGGACCCTAAGCATTTTAAAGGCATGCCTCGAGTCAAAGACAGTGAAACGAGTGGTATACACCTCCAGTGCAGCAAGTGTTGTATTTAGCAACATGGGATTAGATGTACTGGATGAAAGCACATGGACTGATGTAGGTTTGATTAGAGCTGCAAAACCATTTGGAGCTTCATACTTGCTTACCAAGACATTAACTGAAAAAGCAGCCTTAGATTTTGCAGAAGAACATGGATTGGACCTCGTGACTGTCATTCCATTTTATCCATGGCCCCTTCATCTGTCCTCGTTTGCCCGCTCAGTGCAGAAGACAATGGCCATGATTTTGGGTATGTTATGTTTCTCATGTCAAACAATTATGCTGGTTTTTAGTTGCATTTTTCTAGCCTTTTCAGATGAATCAAATAGGGCCTTTAAATCTTAGTCTAAATTGCCATTCAGAATCATACCTTTAGTCCTCTCTTTACTATAGTTCTAACTTGTGCAGGTGATAAGGACCAATATAAGTATCTTACTAGTACACCTCTCGTGCACGTAGATGTGGCCACTGCACATAGTTTCCTTCTTGAATATCAGATCGCAAAAGGAAGGTATATTTGTTCAGCAGTCGAAATAACAATTGATGAAATGGCTGAATTTCTTTCGTCTTGATACCCTGAATACCAAATACCAACTGCTGAGTATGTATCAAGATCTATTCTTCTCGTCTTCATTGTTGGAAAAATGTTGAAGTCCCTGCATTTTTTAAATTACAGTTCGTTCAAGGAGATCAAAGGGAGTAAACTTTTGAGCCTCTCATCAAAAAAACTCTTGGATACTGGTTTCCAGTACAAGTATGTGGTTGAGGATATGTACGATGAAGCAATTCAATGCTGCAAACAAAAGGGTTTTCTCTAAGTTGCGAATACTTAAAAATCTGTATCGTTTATTATTGAAACTACTTTTATTCTATATATTGTCTCTTAGTTTCCTATGAGGAAAAGTGCATCAGAAAAACATGGGTGTAAGTGTTTGCATGTTTGAACAAAGCAAGTTGTATGTGTGGTTGGATATGCTTCTATTTCTTGATCATCGACTTAATTCAGAGGTTTCTTTCATTTATTATTTTTTTCCGAGAACAAAATGATTATGAATCGTGATTTGAGGGTGGAGCAAGAGATTTTTGTTACTTTAAAGAATTTTGTCTAAATACACCAAGGATAACATTTTCAGAAGCTTCACTTTGGTGAGTTTTTGAGCCTTAATAATCTGATTACAGACTTCAGTGTATTGGTTCCAAATCAACATTTGAAGCCATTCTAAGGTTGGACATGGCAGGGAAACATTTGTTGGTCAATTCCTATGATCCTATGTTTTTAAGGCTTGATGTTTTGTGAGGAGTGTATTGTTTGCAGTAGCTAAACAAGAGAAGGATGCTAACATTATTGAAACTGTTTCAGAAATTCAGCAAGTTTCTTGGAGAATTTGAGGAAATCCTGTGATAGGAATTCTCAAGTATGGCATTATTAAAACTTATAAGGTATTACATACACTTAACAAAACAATACGAGACAAGTACATGAATTTGGTACCTTCATAATCTGGTTATCTAATGTTGATTCTGAATCTGACTAAATTCTTATATTGAAATCACATTCTTCTAAAAGAAATCTTCTTNATTACATACACTTAACAAAACAATACGAGACAAGTACATGAATTTGGTACCTTCATGATCTGGTTATCTAATGTTGATTCTGAATCTGACTAAATTCTTATATTGAAATCACATTCTTCTAAAAGAAATCTTCCTCAAAAAGGAATTCTATTGAGAGGCAATCATCGCTACTTTCTCCTAAGAACATGATCTCAAAGAAAAGAATGTATTTTTGTCAATTTCGTTTACGTTGTATAACATTATTGATTTTAAACTAAATTTACACAACTTTAAAACGTGTTATATAATGAAGATTTAAAACTCACATTTATAAAATATTTTACATATAATTCATTAAGCGATACAGGTAATTATATTATTGAGTAGAGAGAGAAAATAGTAAATTCACCATTTAAATTCCAAAATGCCATGGAAGTTGGATAGCTCATCACTTACTAGTAGATAGCATGGAGTGGGCATGACCACAGACTTGGTTTAAAGAACAAAATTTTAGAATTTCCCCAAAAAATTCTCACTGCTTAACCACTGTGTAACTGAAATTCAGATACTCCCTCAAACCTCACAAAGATTGATACTCCATTTTTGATACCAACCCTTCTTCAAGCTGATGCTTGTCTGTGCAAATTCAAACCAACCATGGAACTCACCACTCCCCACACTCTCTCTCCTGCCAAAATGCAAGACCCAAATAGACGTAAACCAAATTCACTCTCGGCTCATCACAACTGGCTTCATCAAGAACTCTTTTTTAACCACCAAACTCATCCTTAGTTTTTGTTCTTCACCATATACACCTCTCATTCAATTCGCTCGCTACTTATTTTTCTCACAGCAATTTGTTCAAAACAAACGAAACCAAGAAGATCCATTTCTTTGGAATACAATTATCAAGTCATTTTCCCATGGAGATGACCCAAAACAAGCTGTTTTGATATTTTGTTCAATGCTTGAAAATGGGGTTTGTGTTGATAAATATTCGTTTTCTTTGGTGTTGAAAGCGTGTTCTAGAATGGGTTTCATTGAACAAGGAATGCAGATTCATGGATTGATGAGGAAGTTTGAATTGGGTTCTGATGTGTTTTTGCATAACTGTTTAATTTGTATGTACATGAGACACAGACGTATTGAATTTGCGCGTCAAGTGTTTGATAGAATGCGTTGTAGGGACTCGGTTTCATATAATTTGATGATTGATGGGTATGTGAAATGTAGGATGGTAAATATGGCACGTGAATTGTTTGATTCTATGCCGGTGGAGATGAGGAATTTGATTTCCTGGAATTCTATGATCAGTGGTTATTCACAATTGGAAGATGGGCTCAAGGTTGCGTGGAAGTTGTTAGAGAAAATGCCTGAGAGAGACTTGGTTTCTTGGAATTCAATGATTGATTGCTGTGTGAAGTGTGGGAAGATGGATATGGCGCGTGCTTTGTTTGATAGTATGCCAGAGAGGGATGTTGTCAGCTGGGGTATTATGATAGATGGGTATGCAAAAATAGGCAATCTTCATGTCGCTAGGGGTTTGTTTGATGGCATACCCGATAGGGATGTAATTTCTTGCAATGCTATGATGGCTGGTTATGTTCGGAATGGGTGTTGCACGGAAGCATTGAAAGTTTTTCATGATTTGTTAAGCCAGAGCAGTTTGTCTCCTGATAATGCCACTTTGTCGATTGCTCTTTCTGCAATTGCACAATTAGGACTTGTTGATGAAGGGGTTCATATACATCGCTATATAGAGGATAATGGGTTTATTATGGGTGGAAACCTTGGTGTTGCCCTGGTAGCCATGTATGCAAAGTGTGGCAGAATAGAGAATGCTGTGCTAGTGTTTGAGGACATAGAGGAGAAGAGTGTTGATCATTGGAATGCAATGATTGGTGGGTTGGCCTTTCATGGATTGGGTGAATTGGCCTTCGATTTATTTTTGGAAATGGAGAGGCTTTCTGTGAAACCAGATGATATTACCTTCATTGGAGTGTTAAGTGCATGCAGCCATGCTGGATTGCTGAAGGAAGGTCAAATGTGCTTCGAGATCATGAGAAGAGTTTACAAATTAGAGCCGAAACTCCAACACTACGGGTGCATGGTTGACATCCTTGGCCGGGCAGGTCATGTAGAACAGGCCACAAAATTTGTAGAGGAAATGCCCATTGAGCCAAATGATGTAGTTTGGAGGACTTTGCTTGGTGCTTGTAAGAATTATGAGTATCTCGGCATCGGAGAGCCAGTAGCTAATCATCTAATGGGGATAGATTCTTATAATTCAAGCTCCTATGTGCTCCTATCTAACATGTATGCCCACTGTGGTTTGTGGGAATATGTTAAGAGGGTCAGGACAATGATGAAAGGAAGGAACCTGAAGAAAATTGCTGGTTGCAGTTGGATTGAACTAGAGGGAACTGTTCATGAGTTCTTTGTGGGGGATACATCTCATCATCAAGTTAGGGAGATATATTCCATGTTGGACAGATCATTGACACTAAACTCAGAGGTCACCCCTTACAAGCTCTGTGTTGGAAACCAAATGTAAGTAGCTAGATTTTGTCAAATTACAATCAAACGATCTTGATATATATATTTACCTCAGCTGCCTTCTAAAGAAATGATCTTGGCATAAATAAGCTATCATACTTGCATCTCGATCAGATAGATTTTGGGGTGCCTTATTTTCAGGTTCCCACTTTGTCCAGCCTCTAATAGACCACTTCTCTGGCTAGTAGGCTTATCAATCGTATCGGATGAGGCGGGTTCGTTTTAAAAAATATTTCACTCATACCCGATTCGTTTATTAATACGTGTTTAATGAGTCTTGTCATATCAGGTTTATGTCGTATATGAACTGTGTATAACTGGTATATAAACGAATCGCGTCGTATATTTATTTTCATTGATACTTAAAGAAAACTNCGTGTTTAATGAGTCTTGTCATATCAGGTTTATGTCGTATATGAACTGTGTATAACTGGTATATAAACGAATCGCGTCGTATATTTATTTTCATTGATTGTATTCATACCCGATTCGTTTGTTAATCGAGTCGTGTCAGATCTACTCATATATGAAACAAGTGACTTAAAGAAAAATNTCACTCATACCCGATTCGTTTATTAATACGTGTTTAATGAGTCTTGTCATATCAGGTTTATGTCGTATATGAACTGTGTATAACTGGTATATAAACGAATCGCGTCGTATATTTATTTTCATTGATACTTAAAGAAAACTCAAACACTCTAATTTCGTGTCGTGTTAATAAGATATGTCATATTTTGATACCATTACTTCTGGCTATTGAATATTTTATCACAACACAAAATCACATGTTAGGACCGCAGCTATTTGGATTTTGGTGTGTGCTAGCTCCTTAGACTAATATACCCTGATAGTTAGTATGATATTCTAAAAGATTAATGGCACCCAAGGATCAAAATTTTGTTTTAGTGCATTACGGTCACCTAGGAGACAGAAACGTTTTAACGTGTTTCAGAAATGTTTCGACGTATTTCGGAAACGTTTTGACCCGTTTCGAAAAAATAAAANTCTAAAAGATTAATGGCACCCAAGGATCAAAATTTTGTTTTAGTGCATTACGGTCACCTAGGAAACAGAAACATTTTAACGTATTTCAGAAACGTTTCGACGTATTTCGGAAACGTTTTGACCCGTTTCGAAAAAATAATAAAAAAATTAAAAAAATTAAGAATTATTTTTTAAAAATATTGGTCAAAATATACCAAAATATCTTGATATATCTTAAAATATTTCGAAATAAATGTGCAAATGCATTAAAATATAACAAAATATTTCAAAATATTATGGAATATCTCGAAGTATTAAAATTTTGATTTCATTACTAATTTATTTCATTCTNATCTTAAAATATTTCGAAATAAATGTGCAAATGCATTAAAATATAACAAAATATTTTGAAATATTATGGAATATCTCGAAGTATTAAAATTTTGATTTCATTACTAATTTATTTCATTTTCCTTTAAAACGAAAATGTTTCGGATGTTTCAATTATTTTGAAACGATATTTTGACCATTGATGGCACCCCAAAGAACGACTAAGGTAACTAGTTTCAAGTAAATTGAAAGAAAAATAATGACTTAGAATTAAATATTTAAAACGTTATAACTCGTTTATTAGGCGGGTTAAATATTCATTGGTAATGGATTACACCCGACCCAACTAGTTATTTGTTGACCCGCCAACAACCTGTCCAACCCACCCGTTTACCACTACTAGTTTGCGGTAATTATGCAATCAAATCTTGCCACTATAAATCATCAACCAAGTTGTATTCATACAAGAAGGAAAAAGATTGGAGCCTTCTTTAGATTACAGTATACTTCATTCTATTTCTTTTTCTCGCAAGTAGCTTGTCAATGGAACAGATTTTTATTCGAATCCATGTTCATTTAACTGGATTAATATTTTAATTTTTTTATCCTAATTTGATTAAATTTTCTTAAACAGATTTAAATTTAAATATATTTAAATTCAATCCAAGAAGAATTTGATCCGGTACACATACATATTTAATTGANGTATACTTCATTCTATTTCTTTTTCTCGCAAGTAGCTTGTCAATGGAACAGATTTTAATTCGAATCCATGTTCATTTAACTGGATTAATATTTTAATTTTTTTATCCTAATTTGATTAAATTTTCTTAAACAGGTTTAAATTTAAATATATTTAAATTCAATCCAAGAAGAATTTGATCCGGTACACATACATATTTAATTGAAAATTTTTATTGTATATACGTATATACTTAGTTAGATTATTAATGAAATTGACATGAAACTAAATAGAAACTATTGAATTGAATGATTAGTTGATTAAATTAGGTTGAAAATTATTTTAAATTTAATAAAATTATTTATTTAAAAAAAAAACAATTATTGGGATTCAAAATTTTAGATTAGATCGAATATCCGATTATTAACGGATACAGATATGAATTGANTTAGTTAGATTATTAATGAAATTGACATGAAACTAAATAGAAACTATTGAATTGAATGATTAGTTGATTAAATTAGGTTGAAAATTATTTTAAATTTAATAAAATTATTATTTTAAAAAAACAATTATTGGGATTCAAAATTTTAGATTAGATCGAATATCCGATTATTAACGGATACGGATATGAATTAAAATTTTAAAATTTGTCAAGTAAATAGATTGGATTCAAGACTCAAATATTTTTTCGAATTTAGATCTTGACAGATCAAGATCCAATCGGGTGATAATCCAAGTTGCAATGATAACAGAACACACATATTCAAATAATCCAACTTGCAAGGATAACAGAATTAGGGCCGTTAGTTGAACGGGTTCGAGTCGAGTTTAAAATACTTGTTTCTTAATCGAGTTAAAAAAATTATTCAGAGCCTGAACAAACTAAATACAAATTGAATCCAAATATTTACATAAAAAACGAGTTGAATATATTGAGTTTGAACTGAGCTTCTATGACCTGAACAAACCGAACCCGAATTGAACTTAAGTGAAGTTCGAGTAAGTCCGTTTGATTAACGGACNTGCAAGGATAACAGAATTAGGGCCGTTAGTTGAACGGGTTCGAGTCGAGTTTAAAAAACTTGTTTCTTAATCGAGTCTAAAAAATTATTCATAGCCTAAACAAACTAAAAATAAATTAAACCCAAATATTTACACATAAACGAGTCGAGTCTATTGAATTTGAACCGAGCTTCTATGGCCTGAACAAACCGCACCTAAATTGAACTTAAGTGAAGTTCGAGTAAGTCCGTTTGATTAACGGACCTAATAGAACACAGCTGTTAACACGTGGCTAGCAGACCAGCCACTGTATACGTGGAGAGCCTGACTATCAGAATCACATGCTGTGGATTATTTTATTAATAAAATCCAGGTACAGGTTTGAATAGAATGAGAATCTGCAGATGGGTGGATGAATTTGCACCAATTCAAGTTCGGTTTCGGATNTAACGGACCTAATAGAACACAGCTGTTAACACGTGGCTAGCAGACCAGCCACTGTATACGTGGAGAGCCTGACTATCAGAATCACATGCTGTGGATTATTTTATTAATAAAATCCAGGTACAGTTTTGAATAGAATGAGAATCTGCAGATGGGTGGATGAATTTGCACCAATTCAAGTTCGGTTTCGGTTTCGGTTTCGGTTTCGGTTTCGAGTTCTAATTCTCTTTTCTGGGTGAAGCTGATAGTTTTAGATGCATAGGCTTTCATAAAAAGCTTGTTTCAGGAAAAAAGAAAAGGAAAGAAAACCATATGCTTGGTTAATTGGCATCTCATTGATTTAGCAATTTACAAAGTTTCAAACATCCAACAGAACATGACGTCAGTGATGAAACACATTACGAAATAAGTTATCAGTAACGTTTCCGGTGTTCTAATCATCAATAAATTACAAATCACAACTCTAATGAGCTCAGTCTTGTGAGCAGGGGAAACCCGAGTAAAACCCCAAGTTCAATCTAACTGGATCGGCCCAATAAATTAATATCAGTTAAAAAGTATGCCAAATCCAATTCACCAAATCGACCTAGCCTAAGGTCCAAAGAATTCAAGAAGATCAAAACACGTGAAGAACAATTATCGAAATATTCACTCTCGAAAATTAATACAACTTTTAATTATACTAACTTTTTATAACTACCTGAAAAATTAGTACTTTTACCCTCACGTCACCCCTTAACTTAAAACTGTGTCTATAAATTGTAAGTTCTTTTTACATGAAAGGACATTTATCTCTACACCTCTCTACACAGCTTTTCTCTCCCTGTTATATTCTTTTCAGAGCTAACTATTACTCTCTCTCTCGTCGACTTACTTAAAAATCCCCCAACCATCGTTGTCATTTCTCAGAATAGAGTAAGCTATTTACATCTACACTGAATCACTATATATCTGTGTGTTGATTTAATATTTACATTATTGTCATTAATTATTCTATTAATTGTCTAATAATTATACTTTATCACACATTTGACTGTTGATCTTGCACGAAATTATTTTGTGCATTATTAATAATAAAAACAAGTTGTAAGCTCAGATGTCCTAAGTTTAATTCTTAACAACCCCTTAGAGCCNTGACGTCAGTGATGAAACACATTACGAAATAAGTTATCAGTAACGTTTCCGGTGTTATAATCATCAATAAATTACAAATCACAACTCTAATGAGCTCAGTCTTGTGAGTAGGGGAAACCCGAGTAAAACCCCAAGTTCAATCTAATTGGATCAGGGCCAATAAATTAATATCAATTAAAAAGTATGTCAAATCCAATTCACCAAATCGACCTTGTCTAAGGTCCAAAGAATCCAAGAAGATTAAAACACGTGAAGAACAATTATCAGAATATTCACTCTCGAAGATCAATACAACTTTTAATTATACTAACTTTTTATAACTACCCGAAAAATTAGTACTTTTACCCTTACGTCACCCCTTAACTTAAAACTGTGTCTATAAATTGTAAGTTCTTTTTACATGAAAGAACATTTATCTCTACACCTCTCTACACACTCTACACATAGCTTTTCTCTCCCTGTTATATTCTTTTCAGAGCTAACTATTACTCTCTCTCTCTGGTCGACTTACTTAAAAATCCCCCAACCATCGTTGTCATTTCTCGGAATAGAGTAAGTCATCTACACTAAACCACTATATATCTGTATGTTAATTCGATATTTACATTATTGTCATTAATTATTCTATTAATTGTCTAATAATTATACTTTATCACACATTTAACTGTTGATTTTGCACGAAATTATTTTGTGCATCATCAATAATAAAAACAAGTTGTAAGCTCAGATGTCCTAAGTTTAATTCTTAACAACCCCTTAGAGACAAGTCATAAAATTTTTCCCTCATAAATACCCTATTCCTAACGTGAATAACCTATTTTTAACCATACCGTAAAACAGATTAGTCGAAGTACACGTAAACTGATCCGAACACCTTTGACCATTAAACCAACAAAAAGGAAACCCTGTGTGNTAGTCGAAGTACACGTAAACTGATCCGAACACCTTTGACCATTAAACCAACAAAAAAAAAACCCCGTGAGGCACATGGCTACAATTTCGATTAATACAGCAATAATGCACAATCATCTCCCAAGGTATTTAATTTGAGTCGTCTTCCTACAAACTACAACAAAACAAGCCAAGCTTATGTTCACAAATGCTATCTCCAAGATGACATAGCATGAGAAAATTGGCCACCTAAAGCTTCAGAATTAGTCCTAAGTTAGTAGCAGATCCAAACTTACCTAGCGTGTCATTTGAAAAATGGGGCAAGAACCGTCTATAGAGATCAAGAACGATAAATGGTGTCGTTCAGTTGTTGAATCACAGTTTCAATGGATGGCCTGTGGTTAGGATATTCATGGGTGCAGAGCAGAGCAATTTTCCCCAGTTTAGCTGCTTCAGATTCAGAGAAGTTCCCCTCAAGACTAGCATCTATGAAGTCTTCAAATCTGCAAGACTCGGCCCCTTGACGAGTCAACTGGGTGATTCTACATTTCCCAGAGAGCAACTGAAGTATAATCACGCCGAATGCATATACATCACTCTTATCAGTGAACCGGCCCGTGGTAGTGTACTCGGGAGCAAGGTATCCCATTGCAGCACTGGACTTCAGTGTTGAGAAGACGATGTCATCCGCGAGGAGATTGTGCAGGCCGGAATCTGAGAGCAATGGGTTGTACCATTGATCAATGAGCACTTTCTCAGCTGATATGTTTTGGTGAACTAGAGCTGGTTTGTTTCCCTTGCTTACATGCAAATATCCAATACCTGATTACAAAAGACATCACATTTGAGAACAAAAAATTAAATTAGCCAATGATGCAATTATTTTTATTTCTCAGTTAAAAACATCATGGATCTGGTTTTATAGCAAAACAAACTGCGAACACAAGATAGCACTTCGACATTGTTCAAGTGCAAGAAAAGTTGTAGCTTGCCTTCCAACCCTTAGAACCGACTCATTTCAACATTTTTTCAGTAAATCCATTAGCAATAGTTCCCATCGGGAATTACAAGCCATAAGGCGCCATCTAGCATGCTGTAACAGTCTATTGGTGGAGGCAGAAGAAACGTAGAATTGAATACTCCATTGGAGTTCAGGGCATCAATGCGTGGGGGAGTGCTACCCCCATTTTTCTCTCAAGATTATTTACAAACACACCAAAAAATCCCGATAGTATGTTAAGCTTGAAAATCTTAGGTGTAAGATGGGTTTGTAATTGTGAAGTGTTAGCAGGTTATTATCAGCATCCCACTAGCATACCAAACAAAGAGGAATGACACAAGAAGATAAGCAAGAAGTTTAAGATGGACTGACCTGTGGCAATGCCTTTGATGATAGAAATTCTAATAGGCCAATCAAGAGCCTTTCCTTTATCCTTCACATCAAGATACTGCAACAAGCTTCCATTCGGGACAAATTCATAGATTAGGAAGCACTCTCCTCTGCCTTTTGAACAGCAAAAGCCTCTGAACCTAAGAAGATTTTCGTGTTTTAACGAGGTCAATAATTTTAATCCCTTCAGGAACTCAACTTCATCAGATTTACAGCTAGTCTGGGAAATGCACTTAATAGCAGCACTTGACCCATCCCTCAAAATTCCCCTATAGATAGACGAAAAACTACTCTTGCTCAACAAATTGACATCTGAGAAGTGCTGAGTTGCAGACTCCACATCATCCAGATTAAACACAAAGGTCTCGAAAACTTCCTGAGAGAAACTACTTCCACTTTGACTTTTGCCCAAAGGGTCCCAACCATTGGAATACTCCAGACTGATGAGTGGAGAGGCACTCTTTCTATTAACTTCCTTGACCTGATCAGTACTAAGTCGACTATCGGAGGAATCAAATGCACTTCCAATTTTCTGTTTTCGTCGGCGGTACCATGAGAATGCAAATAGCCCAGAAACTACTAATGAAACAATTACTATGACTCCAAATATAACAGCGATTTGTGAGTTCTTTGAATGACTTGAACAATGGGCTCGGGTGCAATTTGGTTTGAAATTTGCAGACTCGGGGATATCTCTTGAAGCAAGACCATTCGAGCCTGGCCCAAATGGCTCTGGCTTGTTTGGGTTTGCTGAATCAGAAGCAGTACAAATTTTCAAAGAGGAAAAACCAACTCCACATAAACCTGGGTTGTTTTCATACTGGAATCCTTCATTCAATCTCTTAAAGGCTACATTTTCATATATACAGAAAAACAAAAATTAGATTCAGTTCTCTCGGTAAATCAAAAATAAAAGTCTGCAAATGAAAGTGAAAAAGAAAAATCGAATTACCTGGAGGAACATTGCCAGAGAGAGTATTATTTTGGACATCTAAAACTTCTAGCAGCGGTGGGTTGGCCAATTTTACAGGGATCGAGCCAAAAAGGTGATTAAAGCTCACATCTAACCTTGTTAACAATGCCAACTCCCCCAAACTTGCAGGAATTGCACCACTAATTTGATTGTATTGCAGAGCAAGAACGCTAAGCTTTTTCAGAGACCCAATCTGAGTAGGTATACTTCCAGACAATTTGTTATAGCAGAGTTGCAAAACTACAATCAAAGAAAACCCACATTGAATCTCTGTTAGTTTGGTTATTTGATTTGGACTTATACATATACATATATATATACACACACACAACCCCCTTGAAATATGATGCAAGCTAAATCATCTAAATTTCAGAAACCCACAATTCTGTAAACAAGATTGAAGCTTTTTTTGTGCAATATTTCATCTAATAAGCTCCTTTACACTAAATGCAGCTCTGTTAATCAAGCCTGACATTTGTTTCTGGATCTTGATTGGGACAATGTCACTAAATGTGAATAAACTTCACAAAAAAAAACTCAAAAAATTGTAAATAGGATTTGAAGCTTTTTTGCAGTTTTATTATGTTCATCATTTAAAATAGGTCACCTATTTTCCCAAAACATATGAACCAAAATGCAATATGGACCAGAAAATGCAAAACAAAAATGAAGCTTTTTTCGAGATTGACCCCCAATAAACAAAACACCCCATCAGCTTTAAGAGCAATGACCAAAGGAAACCCATTTACCCAGAATAAGAAGACCCAGATGAAATTTAGAAACATTGGTCATTGAACAGATGCCAAGCTCAAGAAAAATAAAATAAAATGTTGCTAGCAACATAAGAGCTTCTTTCCCTATTCAGACTTAAAATATATTTACTATTACATAAGGTTATATAAGTGTATCTACATGTAAACACAGATCTAGTGGCCAAGATCTCAACTTGTTTCAAATACAAACACAAAAACTAACCTTGAAGGTTAGACATACTCCCAATCTCAGGTGGTATCTCTCCAGATAGATTGTTCACATTGAGGTACAAATCAGAGAGCTCACTCAAGTTGGCTATTTCCTTAGGTACAACCCCATGTAGCTCATTGAAATGCAAGTACAACCCGGACAAGCTCTTGAGCTGACCAATCTCCGGCGGTATTGTTCCGGCGAGACCTTTACCTTGCAGAGAAATGTTGACCACTTGGCCAAGCTCATTGCAAGCAATGCCTTCGAAAGAGTCATTACATGGGTTGGTTGCATTAGGGGACCAAGAAGAGAGAACAACGTTTTGTGGGTCTAAGGAAGCTTTGATGGTCATGAGAAGAGAGAGGTCTGTGGTGGGTTGTGAGAGGAAGGGTAGTGGGTATGTGAGGACTAGTGCCAAGAAGAACACGAGGTGGAGAGAAAACAAACTCATGTTTGGTTTGCAAGTAAAGGGTTGGGAAAGTTTCTGGCTTTTTTGGTGGGTAGAGTTGAAAGTTTATGGGTTTTTTTGGTTCAAAATGGAGAGAGAGAGAGAGAGAGACTGCAGAGTGAAGTATTGGGGTGTGTGCTACCTGAGACTTGAGACTTGGGTATTTTTGGGTTTTTGAGGAACTGAGAATTCGAATTTGACTGACCGGCGGTAACGGTAGCCGGTGAGACACACATGCAAACACAGAACCCAAAGTGAATAAAGTAATCTCAGGCATAAAACCTTTCTGTAACTCGTAAAACAAGTTAAGCAGAATTTGGGAAAGTGTTCAATAATTGGAATTTTGTTTGGAGAAGGTTTTTGGAACCACTGTTAAGTTGTTAATCATTGGAATCACATAAGTTGTTAATACTGTTAAGGGTTTGTTTGGATGAATTTTAGGGAGGAGTTTGTTTGGATTGACTTCTCTAATTTTTTTTAAGGAAAATACTGTTTGGATCTAAAAATTTGACATAATTTGTTGACTTAATAACGTGGCTTCATTGGAGTTATTGAATTAACACCAAATTTTAATGTTTGATGGAACCCACAGTCAATCTAAAGGTCATAGTGAATTAAAACAGCAAATTATGTCAGTAAATTAGGTCTCAATAACATTGCTCTTTTTTTAAACTCAAATCCCTATTTGTAAAAATAAGATTTAACATTTAATTTAGTTCATACCTATATTTGGTATGCAAGGCATACATATGTAAAATTTACACATATATCATAATTATTAATAATTATTTATCATATAAATGACTATTTTACCCTTTATTAATCTAATTCATACCTATGTTAAGAGGTATAATTATTTTTTGGATTTTTAATCCTTTACTCATCTTTCCAAATTCAACTCTTCCTTAAGTTTGACGAAACTCATGATCATGGGTTTAGCCTTCGAGTCAGCTCCGAACTAGGGACTGATTTTTTCATACAAACATGAGATTTGGGGGAACTTTTGATTATTTTTTTCAAACTCATATTGCCAAGCCCCGATACCCCCTTACTAACACAGACCCCAAGAGTTTAAGTCTCGAAAGAACCGACTTATACACCAGATTAAAGATAATAATGTACATTAAAATGACTTTTATTATTGTCAAAAGGAGGATAAGAATTTTTAAATTTCATGCTCCAAGCCGATGAATTGTAGAAGATTATTTCTTTGGCCGACTATATCCGATTGAGAGTAATGTATCGTACCGAATTCCGTCCAAAAAATGGGGTTGGAAGGTTGGATAAAAATGTGAAATGCCTTAAACTCTAAGTTAATCATTGTTGAGTTATTTTAAGAACTCATCAATTACCAAATTTGGGGGCTATATTTACAACTAAATTTTTAAAAATAATATAAAAATATGNTAATTTTTTTTAAGGAAAATACTGTTTGGATCTAAAAATTTGACATAATTTGTTGATCTAATAACGTGGCTTCATTGGAGCCATTGAATTAACACCAAATTTCAATGTTTGATGGAACCACAGTCAATCTAAAGGTCATAATGAATTAAAACAGTAAATTATGTCAGTAAATTAGGTCTTAATAACATTGCTTTTTTTTTAAACTCAAATCCCTATTTGTAAAAATAAGATTTAACATTTAATTTAGTTCATATCTATATTTGGTATGCAAGGCATACATATGTAAAATTTACACATATATCATAATTATTAATAATTATTTATCATATAAATGACTATTTTACCCTTTATTAATCTAATTCATACCTATGTTAAGAGGTATAATTATTTTTTGGATTTTTAATCCTTTACTCATCTTTTCAAATTCAACTCTTCTTTAAGTTGACGAAACTCATGATCATGGGTTTAGCTTTTGAGTCAGCTTCGAATCGAATTTGAAAACTGGAGACTGATTTTTTCATACAAACATGAGATTTGGGGGAATTTTTGATTATTTTTTTCAAACTCATATTGCCAAGCCTCGATACCCCCTTACTAACACAGACCCCAAGAGTTTAAGTCTCGGAAGAATCGACTTATACACCGGATTAAAGATAATAATATACATTAAAATGGCTTTTATTATTGTCGAAAGGAGGATAAGAATTTTTAAATTTCATGTTCTTTGTAGACGATGAATTGTAGAAGATTATTTCTTTGGCCGACTATGTCCGATTGAGAGTAATGTATCGAATCGAATTCCGTCCAAAAAATCGGGTTGGAAGGTCGGATAAAAATGTTAAATGCCTTAAACTCTAAGTTAATCATTGTTGAGTTATTTTAACAACTCATCAATTACCAAATTTGGGGGCTATATTTACAACTAAAATTTTAAAAATAATATAAAAATAAGTAAACCAACACAATAAACTAAAAAAACTAAAAAAAACACAATAAATCTAATTAATATGTTCTCTAATAGTTTAAAACACAATCACAAGTCATATGTTTCCTACACGACGTTATTTTATGACAAAGTTTTATAACACATATTTTTTTTTTAAATCATATAGGTCAGGTGGGAATACAAATTTTTTTTGCCTATTTTACATTCATGCCCAATATTTGTTAAATACTAAAAAAATTCTTCCATTAGCCGACCAGAAAACTGTGNTACCTATGTTAAGAGGTATAATTATTTTTTGGATTTTTAATCCTTTACTCATCTTTTCAAATTCAACTCTTCTTTAAGTTGACGAAACTCATGATCATGGGTTTAGCTTTTGAGTCAGCTTCGAATCGAATTTGAAAACTGGAGACTGATTTTTTCATACAAACATGAGATTTGGGGGAATTTTTGATTATTTTTTTCAAACTCATATTGCCAAGCCTCGATACCCCCTTACTAACACAGACCCCAAGAGTTTAAGTCTCGGAAGAATCGACTTATACACCGGATTAAAGATAATAATATACATTAAAATGGCTTTTATTATTGTCGAAAGGAGGATAAGAATTTTTAAATTTCATGTTCTTTGTAGACGATGAATTGTAGAAGATTATTTCTTTGGCCGACTATGTCCGATTGAGAGTAATGTATCGAATCGAATTCCGTCCAAAAAATCGGGTTGGAAGGTCGGATAAAAATGTTAAATGCCTTAAACTCTAAGTTAATCATTGTTGAGTTATTTTAACAACTCATCAATTACCAAATTTGGGGGCTATATTTACAACTAAAATTTTAAAAATAATATAAAAATAAGTAAACCAACACAATAAACTAAAAAAACTAAAAAAAACACAATAAATCTAATTAATATGTTCTCTAATAGTTTAAAACACAATCACAAGTCATATGTTTCCTACACGACGTTATTTTATGACAAAGTTTTATAACACATATTTTTTTTTTAAATCATATAGGTCAGGTGGGAATACAAAAATTTTATGCCTATTTTACATTCATGCCCAATATTTGTTAAATACTAAAAAAATTCTTCCATTAGCCGACCAGAAAACTGTGAAAAACGAATTATTGGGACGGGAGGATCAAAATATTACGAAAATGTGAAAATTGAATTTATCGGGTCAAATGAAGTAAGAATATTGCGAAATGGTTCGGGTGGGCAGAATTTTGAACACCCCTATGTATAGACATAATATTAAGTCAGTTTAAAAGTCCATGGGATAGGAAGGATTATTGGTGATGGTGATAAAAGGATTTGAGTTAGGAGATAGTCGTTATCATATGGAAACTTGGATGCACTTCTTTGAAATGTGATAATGGAGATCTTTTCCATACCCAACTTTATAAGAAAGGATGAGGAGGTAAAAGGGTAGACTGGCCCCATAGTGTGAAGATGATGGAGTTGGATTCACAAGGGTCTCTATCAATATGGAAATGTCAATTGCCCAGTAAGTGAATAAATTCATGTTGCCTCTGCCATTCCCACTAGTCCTCTGTTTTCTGCCATTTATTTCAAAACATGTAAAAGAATTTTTGAATCTGGTCAGTAGGTGCCTAACTTTATGAATAGGAGACCCCTTTGGTTCTGGCCACCCACTTCACTGTATAGAGCAGCAGTACTCAAAACTTCAAATGTAATCCACCAATTTACTCTTTTGCTTACATGGAGTGGAATGTTTGAATGAGTTATAAGATTGGTATATATATATATATATATATATATATATATGTGTGTGTGTGTGTGTATGTTTTTTCAACGGTCAGCGGTGTTTGAACCAATAATTCTTTTCTTGATTCGGTTAAAGTTAGGTCATTCAAATCGGGACTAGAATATTCATTAGAAATAAATCTCTCATGACCTGACTCCAATAAATTATCAAAATTCAAATTTAAGATATCTGAATTTATAATTTATTTTTATTACCACTTAGACAATCTTACGAGCGTCCTAAAACGAAGTTTTTCTCTATTTTTGGTTGTCTTGATTTACCCCCAAAACTTGCCCTTTTAGGCCCTATGGTCAATAAAGGGACCCATTTTTCATGTTGAATACGCCCCCTCCCCCGTCCCCCCTCTTCCCCTTCTTTCTCTCTCTCACACATATAGACATGAACTTTTGATAACGTACTATAAGTTATAATCCCATCAACTCAGGTTGAGCTTCTAATAGACCCAGTTCGAACTCACTTAAATCAAATTCATTAAGTCATAATTGTTGTTTAGGCACAAAACCTAAAAAGGAGCTATTGTAAATTTTCTCAATGTGTATAGGATGATAAAAAAAAAACCATTATAATCACAGACTCTTTGGGCTCGTGATTAGAATACAAACTCTAAGATGCATAATCATCGACAATCTATGTACATTATTGCGTAAAAGAGGAATCTCTTTGAAAAATTAAACACGAGATCCCAATAAGATACTATTTACGAGTTTTTTTTTTCACATGAATTATTACTTCGGATTGGTGCAGAGGCATTCATATCTAACGATAATTGTGGACTTCAATAGAGCAGCTAGCGTACTAATTTGTATGTATGTATGTTCCTTTCTGGGGTGAGAGTATTAAAGTCATGTCCNCGATAATTGTGGACTTCAATAGAGCAGCTAGCGTACTAATTTGTATGTATGTATGTATGTTCCTTTCTGGGGTGAGAGTATTAAAGTCATGTGCTTAGCTAAGTTGGCTATGATCTACATTTGGAAAAGGAAGTGTTCAATGTCGTTATTATTGTCCTCACCCACCACAGAGAACAACTCGTGATTGCCTCTCTCTCTCTCTCTCTGTGAGATTCATTCACCTGTGACTGTCATCCATGATTGTGCATTTGAACTTGTGAATTCCTCTTTATGTGGGTGTGGGATGGCAGTCATGACCTTTTTCTTTCTGATTATTTTCACTTGTCACTTTTCAGAATTGTACCGATAATGAGTGGAGGATCTGTCTACTCTTTTGTATGAAGCAACTCAGCTGGAGTTTCATATCCTTGCTGGTTAGCAAAAACAGTACTCTCTCTCTCTCTCTCTTAAANAGTCATGACCTTTTTCTTTCTGATTATTTTCACTTGTCACTTTTCAGAATTGTACCGATAATGAGTGGAGGATCTGTCTACTCTTTTGTATGAAGCAACTCAACTGGAGTTTCATATCCTTGCTGGTTAGCAAAAACAGTACTCTCTCTCTCTTAAAGAGATTAATGAAAAATTTAGCATAAAATTGATCAAACCCAACTAAATGCATAGAAACTTGCTAAATACGAGTAAAATATACTATACAAATCTAATAGAATACTAATGCGACTATACACAATTCTAAATAAATTGGTTATAAATTAATCAAAACCGCATCCCCCCAACACACATCCACCCACCTACCACTCAAAATCTATGCATCCATTCACAAAAAGAGTACAAATTTGATTCTCTTACAGGAACAATCCATTTGAGTGAGACAGAATGCTGTGTGTATGCTTGTTTGATAAGGATACTTCTCCAAAGTCCAAACAATCCACCTGGGGGAAACCAAATACTGTTGGACAAGACACCATTAAAGTTCACTTTTCATTAGCCAAAACCTATGCTTAGCATCTCTACTAAAGTTGAAGTGTATGGACCATCTCACAATTATTGTTTTATTAGCGGCCAGAACACCACTAGCTGGCAATTTTGGTAAAGGTTACAGGGTCATCTAATTTTTTTTTTTTTTTGACAGTAGGGTCATCTAGCTTAAAACCTCTCTACTTCTTTTTATTTTTTGGGTATTATCGCAATAAGTGCTCAATTAATTTACGCACATCTTAATTAATTTTTTTCTTTTATCTGTTTAGAAATAAGCTATCCACGTCGAGACTAAAATATGACATAAAATAAGTTGTAAAGTTTTAAATTCAAAATATCTGAATTTACAATTCATCCTGATTTTCACTAAAATTTTANTTGATGATAAGTCCATATTTTTTGGATTTGATCCGAAAATATATATGTGTGTGTGTGTAGATATTTTTATGCTAATTTCTTGGTATTACCAGGACGATAAGGCTGACGTGATCCTCAAGTACATGCCCGATNAAAAAAAACACTCATCAATTCAACATGCGTGCGTTCCATGCAATTAGAATGAATTGAGTTTAGGATGTACAACTTTACATCTCATTCTTTATTCAACCATTAAATCAATCCATGCGGGTTTTAATGGGTCATGGACTTCACTTTTGCTGCTTCAAAAAACGACTGTTGCTAGGAGCAAGGGTTGCGTAGTACTTGGGTTCGATTTTCACTCAATCAAGTAGTGTTTTTAGAAATAAGGTCAGGTTAGGGGTTGTAAATGAATTAAGCTATTCGGATTCTCGATTTCAGGTTGTTTTGAACTCGACACGAGGTTGTTTATTTAAAAAATAAGTCGAGTTTAAACATATTCCAGACTTGTAACAAGTCTTATAAATTCGTAAAATTTGACTTGTTCGTTCAGCTTGTTTACCACCCGTAGTCGGGGTTTCATTCACAAAAGCACTGGGCCATTCAAATGATGGAAGCTCCATTAAGTCAAAAGACCAAGTTTGACTGAGGCTTGATCCAAAAACTATTGGGCCACGGAATTCATAGGTCCAATGACCAATGTGCCCTTATTTCACACAAAAATCGAAATCAAGCAAGTAATATCAAACAGATTGCTAATCTAAGGTTAGGGTTAGGGTTTTCTGATCTTAATCCAAAACATGCCGAAGAACAAAGGAAAGGGAGGGAAGAACAGGAAGAGAGGGAAGAACGAGGCCGATGACGAGAAGAGAGAGTTGGTTTTCAAGGAGGACGGCCAAGAATACGCTCAGGTGCTTCGCATGCTCGGCAATGGACGTTGTGAAGCCACATGTATCGACGGCACCAAAAGACTCTGCCATATCCGTGGAAAGATGCATAAGAAAGTCTGGATCGCAGCCGGCGATATCATCCTCGTCGGACTCCGTGATTATCAGGCACGCAAGAAATTTCAACTTCTAGCTCGATTTGTCTCTCGCTATGTCCATATTTTTTGGATTTTATCAGAAACAAAACCTTATATGTGTGTGGTGTTGTTGATGATAAGTCCATATTTTTTGGATTTGATCCGAAAATATATATGTGTGTGTGTAGATATTTTTATGCTAATTTCTTGGTATTACCAGGACGATAAGGCTGACGTGATCCTCAAGTACATGCCCGATGAGGCTAGGCTCTTGAAGGCATATGGGGAGTTGCCGGATAGCACTAGACTCAACGAGGGTATTGCTGGAGGTCTTGACGAGGAGGATGATGGTGCTGGTGATGACTACATCGAGTTTGAGGATGAGGACATTGATAAAATCTAGTGCTGGATTGTGAAATTCAATTTCAACTCTGGCTTAGATTGTCCTTTATTTTCTTTGGGTTTAATTGTGGTATGAATAGATACATAATTGTTCTATGTAATGTTTGATGTGATATGAAAGGTTCTCCGTTGGTTGGCTATTTATGTATAAATAAATTACTTATGCTTTGTGATGGAATAGATTGAACTACCTTTTCATACTTCTTGCTAGCCAAATGATAGGAGACTTGTTGCTTGGTTAGAAAGAAGCTCTATGATCTTCATGGTATTCCGGTGTTTAATTCAAATNGTTGGTTGGCTATTTATGTATAAATAAATTACTTATGCTTTGTGATGGAATAGATTGAACTACCTTTTCATACTTCTTGCTAGCCAAATGATAGGAGACTTGTTGCTTGGTTAGAAAGAAGCTCTATGATCTTCATGGTATCTGTTGTTCCGGTGTTTAATTCAAATTAGTACTCTTTTCATTTAATTACTATTATGTTGGACTTGGACTGGGGATGAATTGAGGATTTATGTTGTACTGGGTGCTTTTGGTGTCATGGGAAATGTTGAAGAGGGCTGGCTTGAGAAACTGGTGTAGAATGTTGATTACTACGTATTTGGCTTCTCTTGACTATCTCCAAGGTATCGAGGGTCCGGTTTATTTTTCAAAATTGTTGAAACGTAAAGATGAGAATGAATTCTCCTCCCTCTGGTGGGTTGGTCTCATCCATGTGTTGATTCCATTTATTTGAAGGGTTTGACAGTGTTCCCTTGTGGTCAAGTCACTTGATCCCTTTCATGGTATTTGATCTTGTGTATGTGTATTGCATGATGTGGCTCTAGTTAGAGTTGAATGGTCTTAAGGGTTCATATAGCTGACAACACGTAATAAGGGAATTGGAATTGTTTGTTTGAATTGTGCCTATTTATGTTAAATGAACTTTTCCAGACGTGGTGTTTGAGATAGGCAGGTGAGCTATAATGATAGGTGACGGTACTCTATTTGCATGCAGTTTAATTGGTCGTAGTTTTATGAAGAAAGGTGTTCTTCTATTTCTCTTTCCCTGTTTTTCTATATTGCTGAAAACCTTGGGCTGATATCAAATAGTCATGGGCATCAACATGATGTCATTTTTGCTCTATTTGTCCGTCACTGGAATGGGTAGGCATTCTCAGTCGATGCATTCATGGATATGAGGGTATGCTGTTATGCTTTTAGAATTATACAGATGCCTTAGGGAGATAAAAAAAAAAAACCCCCGAAAAAGAGCTCAATAGGATCCCAAGAAGGGAAAATGAGAAATCAATGTTTGCATTTAGCAAGGATTGACATGCTATGATCATGATGAAGGTTGCATTGCACAAGTGATAAGAGGTCCTCAACATAACTTGTGATCGCAAGGTCTGTCATGTATACTATATGAGTGCAAATCAACCGAACCAAGTAGAGACTCAGACTATTCAATTCGTTGGTTCATAGTGTGTTCAGATTGGTTCCACTGCACAAGAAATAAAAGGTCCTCAACACAACTTATGACTGCAGGGCATCTCATCTAACCATAGGGGGTTGGTCACATATGAACATGCCACGCTTGCCGACTCAGTGATACATTCCAGCATATGTAAGCAATTTTTAATTTTACAGCAGCCAACATAAGCTGCAGTTTATAAACTCCAGCTCAGTGAGTAATTATTCGATCATACTATCTGATAAAAGTTCATTTTTACCAAACATTTATGGTAAACCAAATAGGCATATTTGATTTCATCAGACAGTAAACTAATTCACCAAAAACCCTAATGTACCAAAATAGTACATAAACTAGTAACAGTTAAATATCTGCCTGAACTAACAAATTAATCAGCAACAGGCCTATAATTCTTCCAGATTTCGTTATTCTTATCCAGCAGCCGCTCCTCATCATTTGTCTTCGGAACATAAATATTGCTTCAGTACTCAGCAACCACCATTAGTCGAACCTTTCACGCTCTTGCCTTGGAAAATTTTCATCTGCCACACAGAAATAAGCAAGAAACTTCAATTTTTTTTACATAGGAAACACTAAATTTTATTAATAAACAAACAATAAGAAAAGTGACAAGCCCTATCAAATGTGTACAAGTAGTCCTACCCAATGATAGGTGAAAACAAACAACATAAAATCACAACAATGGAAATTGACCATACTACACTCCACATGAACTGCCCAGCTCGCATTAATACAAAAATAGGAATATTCACAAACTCCTTACTCCTTATACACCAAGGCCAAGAAATGCAACTGGTCTCATAATCCTTCAATCTTCTGGCTTTTTTATTCTCAAAGATTCTTGCATTCCCTTTCAACCAAATGACCCAAATAGTAGCAAAAAAAGTATAACACCAAAGGATCTTCATCTTTCTATCTCCTCCTCAACCCATAACATCCAAACAAATCATAGATGACATGGACTTTGGCATCACCCAACAAAGTCCCCCAAAATTAAACAAAATTATCCACACTCTCATCGTCATCTCTACACAGGACACATCATTGTAGAAGAAACTTCAATCATTAAAGAATGGAAGATTAAAGAAAAAACACGNAACAAAGTCCCCCAAAATTAAACAAAATTATCCACACTCTCATCGTCATCTCTACATAGGACACATCATTGTAGAAGAAACTTCAATCATTAAAGAATGGAAGATTAAAGAAAAAACACATGTGATATCAATGAATAACATATCAATCTTTAGTGGGTAAAGACCTTAGGTAACAATTGACACAATGGGATTCAATGTAAAACTCCGTCTTGGTAGATTCTAAGTGATCAAACGTTAGTAGGGTGGGATTATAAAAGGCACAAAAAACCAAAAACTACCAAGAATGAAAGTCATCACAATGACAACAAAATTTCAGGTTTGTGTTTGTTCTCCAATATCTAACAAACATCATATTTCACTGGGGTTGGGACAGTTAAGCAGGACGACTAAATCTGCAGTGCTCATCCACATCGCAAGTATGGTTGAGGAAAAGTTTTAAGGATAAAAGAAAATCAGATGGGCCAAAAGAGTGAGTATAAACAAGTGAAACGGGCTCCATACACCTACATGAAAGGGCATTCTGTTCTCAAAATTTATCAACACATTAGAGGTGTGTACTATCAACTGTTTCTGCGGTAATGAAGTGATCATTTACATGCTCTAACAACTGTTTGTCCCATGGATAGAAGACGAACATGTTTTCATCCACTATTGATCAGAAAATACACTTTCATTGTCCATAAAGACATCGCCAGAACAGAACTTCTAGAGTTGCACTTTGATCTTCCTTTTCTCACAAAATAATGTGGATTGTGGATTGACGAAGTCTGTATGTGACACATCTACAATCACAAGTTTCTTGACCGAATAAAGTGGCAAACAGTTTTTAATGTAATCTGGTCATCCTAGTTTGTATTCTGCAGGGGCGAAAAACAAGTAAATTAACACACGACTTAAGAGAAAACAGACCAATATAGATAATGTTGCTAATGAGAAGGTACAAGAAAAGATAAGGTGCTATGAATAATAAGACTCCAAAATCATGAAAATTAAGCAGACATCAGTAGGCTTAGTCAATCACACAAGTTAACCACTCTAGTTTAGCATTTAACCAAACCAAGGTTTAGGTAACCAAGTTGACAGGCAACTTGCTATATCTATAGCAATTTTCAGCTCATTTTGTTCAGCTTCATTTTCAGTTTGTTGTAGGTATTAGACAAACTAGTTGGGCACTCCATTGGACTATCCAATAATTTGCACAATTATGTCGTTCAGAGGCAGAAGACTTGGCAAACTATAGGTGAAGGGGATAAAAATCATCACAAATTTCCTAGAGTGAATTGCTCAAAGAGTCGTGTGCATATCGTAACTAATAGATGATAATTAACTGTTTTTCTCAATAACTTCACTAATCAAAGCATACATTTTTTCACTCATCACTTTAAACATATGTTAGAATCCATGAATGTGCTTTTCGGGAATACAATTGTTACATAAAAATTTAGCTGTTACACATTCGAATGAGCAATAATTTAAACAAATGGTAAACTCCACACAAACCAATCATATCCAACAAGAGTATTTATTGAAGGGTAAGGTAAAATCCCTAACCTCTGATCATCTGAGCTTCTCCTTGACAGCGCTCTTCTTCGCCGCCTCCTTAATCTTCTCAATGTAACCTTCAATTGGTGGCGTCAAAGTTGCCATGAACCGATTTGCTGGGAATGGAGCCAAATCTGGAACCAATGCTGCTGCTTTCAAATGCTCAGGCAGTGCCTCAATTGCCTCTTTCTTCAACGTCAACAAAGTAGTCTCTGCTTTCTGTCTTACCCGGTGCTTTCTAATCAAAACCCTACTATACTCCTTCGCAAGCCTCCGACCATCTTCAACAGTCAATTCATATTTCGGAATCATATCAGCATCAACCAAACCTAATGTGATCAAATCTAAACCTGGAGTTCCAATGATCATCGGTGAATCAAACTGTGATTTCACTTTCTTCTTAAAATTTTCCTTCTCCTTTTGGCGGGCTTCACTAATGAGACCCATCTTCTCTCTCTTAGCTTCCCTTTCTCTCTCCTTAGGCTTCAAGAATCTGACCGGTGCTGTTGCAGTCAAGCAGGCCTTTTCCATCTTCTCTCCTTCAGTTTCCCTTTGATTTTCACCTTTAGTACTGGTCTCTGTTCCTGTGGATTTCTTCGTAGTGACCTTCGATCGCTTCAATGGCTGCCCTGTTTTGATTTTGCCTTTACCTTTTGCTGTCCCACTGACAGAGCAGCGTTGAAGAAATTGGTGGCTTAAGCACTCCATAGACCAACTCAGAGGCTTCAATCTCCTAATTTCAGTTATTCGCATCATCTTTCACAACACCACCTGGCAGAAATTTGAAGAAGAGAGAGAGCCCCACAGCGTTTCACTCAAAGCTGGAGAATGGGAAGGTTAAGAGCAATGTTATCAGTCATCGAGGGACTGGATCATTGGTTCACCGGTTTAATCAACTGGTCGGACCAGTTATATAATAAAAATATATATATAATAATTAAAATACATCATAATTTAGCTAAAAAATATAAAATAGGTCTAAAATGCATACAATTTGTCACAAATTAATGAAATTTATCTCTGTAAAACCCCAAACCACAACCAAATTCCAAGTCCAAACCCCAAACCCAAGTCCAAACCACAACCAAATTCCATTAAGATTAATCACTCCAAGTCCNTAAAACCCCAAACCACAACCAAATTCCAAGTCCAAACCCCAAACCCAAGTCCAAACAACAACCAAATTCCATTAAGATTAATCACTCCAAGTCCAAACCGCAAACCGCAAACCGCAAACCGCAAACCACAACCAAATTCTCTCTGTAGTTACACAACCAAATTGCTTGATAAAAATGAGATTGCACGAGAGGGTATTTGATCTAGCCCAGGATGCATATATAATATATTAGTTTTAGGAATTTTTTACCTTAATGTTAGTCTGATCTGATAGAAGCAGGAAAAGGGAGGAGATGACAGCAGATCGATGGTCGCAGTCGCCTCGCCTGAGTTCCTCGCTGGTAGCCTGGTCGCTGGTTGCTGCTCGTTGGTCGCCTGGGAGTGGAGTGGACGAGTGGTGGCTTCTGCGATTTAGGGCAAAAGAATGGCCCAAATAAAAACAATTGGAATGTAAGTCCCCTATAATTTTTCATTTGTTTTCGAACCGGTTTGGTTTTTATAATAGCTGCGGTTCACGAATTTTTATAAAAAAAATTTATAAAAAAACGGTTGATTTTACGGTTTTTAGTAGATTTTTTTTTATGCGGTATAATTAAACAATCAGACTGGTTATAGTCTTGGTCACAATTAAACTGTCCGATTCAATTCTAATAATACTAATCAAGAGTTTGGAGTTGAGGAGGTTGCGCCACCGCCACCGATGACCACCGAGAGAGAGAGAGATAGGGAGGCGTGAGGAGTTTGAGTGAGCGTAGGGTTACAAAACCAGTGGGGGTAAATATGACGAGTNTCTGCGATTTAGGGCAAAAGAATGGCCCAAATAAAAACAATTGGAATGTAAGTCCTCTATAATTTTTCATTTGTTTTCGAACCGTTTGGTTTTTATAAAAGCTGTGGTTCACGAATTTTTATAAAAAAAATTTATAAAAAAACGGTTGATTTTACGGTTTTTAGTAGATTTTTTTTTTATGTGGTATAATTAAACAATCGGACTGGTTATAGCCTTGGTCACAATTAAACTGTCCGATTCAATTCTAATAATACTGGTCAAGAGTTTGGAGTTGAGGAGGTTGCGCCACCGCCATCGAGAGAGAGAGAGAGAGAGAGAGAGAGAGAGATAGGGAGGCATGAGGAGTTTGAGTGAGCGTAGGGTTACAAAACCAGTGGGGGTAAATATGACGAGTTTAAAAGAAACAGACAAACCGGGTTGACCCCGATTTGGCTCAAATTCAACCCATATATTGACATTGACAGTATTTGGCCAAGCATTTTATATTTCTAGTTTAATAAACCACAGGAATAATCTCTTTAAGGGTGTGTTTGGATAACGGGGTTAGATAGAATAGAATATCTTTTTTTATATCTTAATCCATCTAAGTCTAACTCACTCATCCACTTTAAAATCCTAACCTTTAAATATATCCAATCCTACCCTTTTGTTTGAGAAACAAATGTGTAATTCAATGAGCCCTGTAAATTCCACAAGTAATTTTGTAGTAGTTTACCATTCTACTCATAACTCTATCCATTCCAATCCTAACCTATGTTTAGATTGATNATAATTCAATGAGCCCTATAAATTCCACAAGTAATTTTGTAGTAATTTACCATTCTACTCATAACTCTATCCATTCCAATCCTAACCTATGTTTAGATTGATAGATTATCCTAATAAAATTATACATTTTTCACGTATACATAAAAATATATAAAAATAAAATAATAATTTTTATTTGTTAGAAAAGTTAATAATTTTTTTTTTGTATTTTTTTTTCCAAATAAATCATCACTTTATTTCATTTCTAAAAAATTAATTACAATGGAGAAAGGCAAACAACCTTGCCTTAAAACAATAGTATGATAAAGCAACCAAAACAATGAAAATATAAAAGCAATCTCCAAGACTTGACTTTTTCTCAACATAATCCTTGCTCTCAAGCTCTTGATTCGAATTCAACCCAACTGAAGCTTGATCTTCGATCGTTTTTTTTTTCCCAAACAAATCAACACTTTATTCCATGTTTCAAAAAATTAAAAGAAGCAAACCAACACTTATCAATCATATGGAAATACAAAGAATCAAAGAATGACTATTTTTTTCGTAAGCACTCTGGTTCCTTGCTGGTTATGCAACAGCAGCATCTTCGCCTGTAGAGGAATGCACAAATCCTAGGAGAAATCAGTAGAGAAGCCATTCTGCATAGCCAAGTTTGCAAAAAAGTTTGCCAAACCATTCGGCTCTTTATAAACATGAACCAAACAACAGTTCATTTTGCCAAGCAACTCTAAAATTTGCTTCAAAAGCTCCCAGAATTTCCAAGCCCTTAGATACCCCTTAAGCACCATGANTTACCCAAATACACCCTAAATTTATAACTAGTTAAATTTTATTTTTGAGACTTTTAATTTTAGAATTTCGCCCTCAAAGTTTATAAGTTAGACCAATGTGGTCTCTCACTTTAACTGTCATTTAATTATGTAATAAAAAATAATACGTGTTCACACAAAAGATGTGAAAATTTTTGTATGGCATGGTTGTATTATTTTTTCATTTTTCGTAGTCTATTTATATGACAATTATAATNATGCACCATGACCACAGAATCAGCTTCTATTGAAGCTGATAACCTGTTAAGTCAATTCACCTACAGAGCTCTAACCTGGACCTTGCAACAATACTCCACACCCAAAGCCATCAGAACTGCCTATCCCTTTTCATTCTTAGGAACTCTTGGCTTGAAACACTTTACATGTAACCTCAAAACAAAACAAATTTTCAAGAAAACTAAGTGAGCAGAGAAATGGCTTTATGGACATATTCAATCCAAGCATATGTTTGGATTTCATATATTAACTAATCCCCACAGCAAATTTATACATAAAATACACATTAATGTATGCTATTATTGTAATATATTCCCCAAATTGTGAATAAAAAAAATAAAATTCAATACTAAACCCAAGATTTTGACGAAACCCACCCCAAACTAGGGCATGTTCTTCCTCACTCTCTCTGCCACTCTCTCTTTCTCCATTCTTCAATACTTTCTAAATTGATTGCAATAAATGTATATTTAGACACACTAAAACTATAAAATAGATTGAGAAAAGAATATTCAAGGTCGGATAGATATATATATGATCACTGATCACACACACATGCGCATATATACACTGATGTTGTAACATCTAACTAACATTCATCACAAGAAACAAAATCAAACAGAGGAGAGTAAAGATACTGAAAAAAAACCCAACATTTTGATAAATTAATGAAATTTATTAAAACCCAGTAACCTTCACAAACAGAGGAGAGTCCAGATCAACATCTAATTATCTCCTACACTCCAAAGCATTTCCTGGAGTCCATTTGTATAGCTTCGGAACTCGCCAAAGACGAACGAAGGCAGAAGTTCTACAAAGACGGGATGGGACGATGCAAATCTGGGTGTACCTCATCAACCAGATCTGCTCGTCGTTCGCTCCACACACACACACACACACACAGAGAAGCTTACCTCGAGTCAGTAGATCGTCGCCTGTGAACGTCTTCACCACCCAGCAATTCGTCTGCTTTGACGAGTTGTTCGACGAAAGGGACGATCGGGTTCCTTGGGTAGGGTGTGTAGGAACGTTATCTACAAAAAGAAAACGAGGGGTAAACATGTCTTTCTGCCTAGTTAATCTGCTGGGAAGGATTATAACCCACGGGAAAGGTGGGTTACATTAAACCCGTGTGCCTTGGATAAAAAAAACTGTAACATCCGGGTCAAGGTTTGACCCGGGATTATATCCTCCCTCAATTTTTATTTGCCAAACATCAAATATATGGGACCCACAGCATTGAAAATCTATTCTTATGGGTGTTAACCCATTTTAACCCATTACCCAAATACACCCTAAATTTATAACTAGTTAAATTTTATTTTTGAGACTTTTAATTTTAGAATTTCGCCCTCAAAGTTTATAAGTTAGACCAATGTGGTCTCTCACTTTAACTGTCATTTAATTATGTAATAAAAAATAATACGTGTTCACACAAAAGATGTGAAAATTTTTGTATGGCATGGTTGTATTATTTTTTCATTTTTCGTAGTCTATTTATATGACAATTATAATTACACATCCCATTAATTTAATTAATAATAAATTTTTGCTTAAAATTATTTTATAATTTTAAAAACTAAACATTAATCGTATATATAAAATTAAAATTAAATTGAACAAATAAGAAATAAAAGAGATGCTGGTGAAAGGGAAGAGAAAGATATGTGTGGATTAATGAAATTTTTTGACATTAAAGAGTGTGAGTTGAGTTGTCTAATATTGAGGAATAATTATTGTCTGTACCCGAAGTCACAAAGTAATAAAAAATGATAAATAATAAACATATTTATATTCATATTTAAAATTAAAATCACAAACATAGAGAAGAGATAAAAGAATTTAAGTATCGATTTGTAGTGAGAGTGAGAGATGGTAAGTGGCAGTGGTGGTGGTAGGAGACGGTAATAGTTGTGGTTGGTAACAATGACTGTGGTGGTAGTGAAGGTAACGATAATGGCGGTGGTGGTGATGGGTGTGGCAATGATGGTGGCGGTGGTGGTGGTGGTGATGGTGGCGACGGTGGTTATGGGGGTGGTGACGACGATGGTGGTGGTGATAGTGGTGGTGATGGCAGTGAAGGTGGGGGTGGTTTCAAATATAATTTTTTTTATTAAGTATTTTTGAGAAATAATTTATAAAAATACTTTTAAAAAGTCACTCAAAATATATATTTAGGATCCTATTTTTTCTATTAAATTTAAGGTGTTAATATTAACCGTTAGATTAACTTTAAAATAAAATTTAAAGTGATCTTAACCGCAAATAACAAAAATAATTTGTTTATCTTTTTAGATTTAAANCGGATAGATATATATATATGATCACTGATCACACACACATGCGCATATATACACTGATGTTGTAACATCTAACTAACATTCATCACAAGAAACAAAATCAAACAGAGGAGAGTAAAGATACTGAAAAAAAACCCAACATTTTGATAAATTAATGAAATTTATTAAAACCCAGTAACCTTCACAAACAGAGGAGAGTCCAGATCAACATCTAATTATCTCCTACACTCCAAAGCATTTCCTGGAGTCCATTTGTATAGCTTCGGAACTCGCCAAAGACGAACGAAGGCAGAATTTCTACAAAGACGGGATGGGACGATGCAAATCTGGGTGTACCTCATCAACCAGATCTGCTCGTCGTTCGCTCCACACACACACACACACACACACACACAGAGGAGCTTACCTCGAGTCAGTTGATCGTCGCCTGTGAACGTCTTCACCACCCAGCAATTCGTCTGCTTTGACGAGTTGTTCGACGAAAGGGACGATCGGGTTCCTTGGGTAAGGTGTGTAGGAACGTTATCTACAAAAAGAAAACGAGGGGTAAACATGTCTTTCTGCCTAGTTAATCTGCTGGGAAGGATTATAACCCACGGGAAAGGTGGGTTACATTAAACCCGTGTGCCTTGGATAAAAAAAACTGTAACATCCGGGTCAAGGTTTGACCCGGGATTATATCCTCCCTCAATTTTTATTTGCCAAACATCAAATATATGGGACCCACAGCATTGAAAATCTATTCTTATGGGTGTTAACCCATTTTAACCCATTACCCAAATACACCCTAAATTTATAACTAGTTAAATTTTATTTTTGAGACTTTTAATTTTAGAATTTCGCCCTCAAAGTTTATAAGTTAGACCAATGTGGTCTCTCACTTTAACTGTCATTTAATTATGTAATAAAAAATAATACGTGTTCACACAAAAGATGTGAAAATTTTTGTATGGCATGGTTGTATTATTTTTTCATTTTTCGTAGTCTATTTATATGACAATTATAATTACACATCCCATTAATTTAATTAATAATAAATTTTTGCTTAAAATTATTTTATAATTTTAAAAACTAAACATTAATCGTATATATAAAATTAAAATTAAATTGAACAAATAAGAAATAAAAGAGATGCTGGTGAAAGGGAAGAGAAAGATATGTGTGGATTAATGAAATTTTTTGACATTAAAGAGTGTGAGTTGAGTTGTCTAATATTGAGGAATAATTATTGTCTGTACCCGAAGTCACAAAGTAATAAAAAATGATAAATAATAAACATATTTATATTCATATTTAAAATTAAAATCACAAACATAGAGAAGAGATAAAAGAATTTAAGTATCGATTTGTAGTGAGAGTGAGAGATGGTAAGTGGCAGTGGTGGTGGTAGGAGACGGTAATAGTTGTGGTTGGTAACAATGACTGTGGTGGTAGTGAAGGTAACGATAATGGCGGTGGTGGTGATGGGTGTGGCAATGATGGTGGCGGTGGTGGTGGTGGTGATGGTGGCGACGGTGGTTATGGGGGTGGTGACGACGATGGTGGTGGTGATAGTGGTGGCGATGGCAGTGAAGGTGGGGGTGGTCTCAAATATAATTTTTTTTATTAAGTATTTTTGAGAAATAATTTATAAAAATACTTTCAAAAAGTCACTCAAAATATATATTTAGGACCCTATTTTTTCTATTAAATTTAAGGTGTTAATATTAACCGTTAGATTAACTTTAAAATAAAATTTAAAGTGATCTTAACCGCAAATAACAAAAATAATTTGTTTATCTTTTTAGATTTAAATTATAAATTACTTTACTATATATATTAGAGAATATGATATTTTTTTGCTAAAATAAATTTTATACTATTAGATAAAAATAGATGAAAATTAAATTAATTTTAACGTTATTATATTTTTATAAATTAAAATTTAACTTTTTAACTATAATATTATATAAATATATAAATTTTTAGGATTAAATTGATGATCTAGTGTAAGCTTTAATGACCATCGGTTATTATTCAAAATCCTAACTTAAACCCAAACACAAATTCAAATTCAAATTCAAATCCGGTGCGTTTGGATAATCGACAAGAATAAAAATGGATTGAATTTTTTGTATCCTAATCCATCCCACCCAAACTCATTCAGATACTTAATTAGTTGAGTTATCTATACTATCCGACTCAAACCATTGTTTGGCAAAGAACAAAACTTCACTTGACTTTTGTAAGTATTTACCGTTGTACNGAGGAGCTTACCTCGAGTCAGTAGATCGTCGCCTGTGAACGTCTTCACCACCCAGCAATTCGTCTGCTTTGACGAGTTGTTCGACGAAAGGGACGATCGGGTTCCTTGGGTAGGGTGTGTAGGAACGTTATCTACAAAAAGAAAACGAGGGGTAAACATGTCTTTCTGCCTAGTTAATCTGCTGGGAAGGATTATAACCCACGGGAAAGGTGGGTTACATTAAACCCGTGTGCCTTGGATAAAAAAAACTGTAACATCCGGGTCAAGGTTTGACCCGGGATTATATCCTCCCTCAATTTTTATTTGCCAAACATCAAATATATGGGACCCACAGCATTGAAAATCTATTCTTATGGGTGTTAACCCATTTTAACCCACTACCCAAATACACCCTAAATTTATAACTAGTTAAACTTTATTTTTTAGACTTTTAATTTTAGAATTTCGCCCTCAAAGTTTATAAGTTAGACCAATGTGGTCTCTCACTTTAACTGTCATTTAAATATGTAATAAAAAATAATACGTGTTCACACAAAAGATGTGAAAATTTTTGTATGGCATGGTTGTATTATTTTTTCATTTTTCGTAGTCTATTTATATGACAATTATAATTACACATCCCATTAATTTAATTAATAATAACTTTTTGCTTAAAATTATTTTATAATTTTAAAAACTAAACATTAATCGTATATATAAAATTAAAATTAAATTGAACAAATAAGAAATAAAAGAGATGCTGGTGAAAGGGAAGAGAAAGATATGTGTGGATTAATGAAATTTTTTGACATTAAAGAGTGTGAGTTGAGTTGTCTAATATTGAGGAATAATTATTGTCTGTACCCGAAGTCACAAAGTAATAAAAAATGATAAATAATAAACATATTTATATTCATATTTAAAATTAAAATCACAAACATAGAGAAGAGATAAAAGAATTTAAGTATCGATTTGTAGTGAGAGTGAGAGATGGTAAGTGGCAGTGGTGGTGGTAGGAGACGGTAATAGTTGTGGTTGGTAACAATGACTGTGGTGGTAGTGAAGGTAACGATAATGGCGGTGGTGGTGATGGGTGTGGCAATGATGGTGGCGGTGGTGGTGGTGGTGATGGTGGCGACGGTGGTTATGGGGGTGGTGACGACGATGGTGGTGGTGATAGTGGTGGCGATGGCAGTGAAGGTGGGGGTGGTCTCAAATATAATTTTTTTTATTAAGTATTTTTGAGAAATAATTTATAAAAATACTTTCAAAAAGTCACTCAAAATATATATTTAGGACCCTATTTTTTCTATTAAATTTAAGGTGTTAATATTAACCGTTAGATTAACTTTAAAATAAAATTTAAAGTGATCTTAACCGCAAATAACAAAAATAATTTGTTTATCTTTTTAGATTTAAATTATAAATTACTTTACTATATATATTAGAGAATATGATATTTTTTTGCTAAAATAAATTTTATACTATTAGATAAAAATAGATGAAAATTAAATTAATTTTAATGTTATTATATTTTTATAAATTAAAATTTAACTTTTTAACTATAATATTATATAAATATATAAATTTTTAGGATTAAATTGATGATCTAGTGTAAGCTTTAATGACCATCGGTTATTATTCAAAATCCTAACTTAAACCCAAACACAAATTCAAATTCAAATTCAAATCCGGTGCGTTTGGATAATCGACAAGAATAAAAATGGATTGAATTTTTTGTATCCTAATCCATCCCACCCAAACTCATTCAGATACGTAATTAGTTGAGTTATCTATACTATCCAACTCAAATCATTGTTTGGCAAAGAACAAAACTTCACTTGACTTTTGTAAGTATTTACCGTTGTACCCATCGATGAACCAGACCTGTACAGAAGTCACCACCACCGCCGCCACTACAGAAACGCCACCACCCCCACAACAGATTCTACAACTCCATCTCTAACAGATTCTTACAGTGAGGAACTTATTACTGGTGTAACAGATGTGCATACAGGTCTTCCCAACAGCTCCATCTCCAACTGCACGCATTTGATGAACTTTGAAGCACTCATCTTCTCAAATTTCAGATTCTACAGAATGCTCGTAGCTACAGGACTTGTATGTCAAAGTCTACAAAGATTGAGTTAAAAGTAAAAAGTGGCTTCAAAGAAAAAGTTGAAGAGATGAAAGAGGAAGAAGATGAAGAAAAGTATCTTAAAATGGTGAAGAGACAATAAGAAAGAGTTAGATTTAGGTACAGAAGTCCATCTCAAAGGCTTGTAGATTCAAAATCATCCACCATCGTGGTGGATGATTTTGACTGTGAACGCCAAAGGTCTGGAGAGAGAGAGCTCACAAGAGAGGAAGGGGAGTAAATATGTCATTACCTTTTGTAACCTGTCGGCTGGAATTGAAACCCAGGTAGAGGTGGGTTAATTTTAACCCATGTAACAAGGTTAAAAATTATTGTAACATCCGGGTCAAGGATAGACCCGAACTCAATTTTGACTTCTCAAACAAAGATTTTGTAGGATCTTTACCTTATTAACCTATCCTTATAGAGGTTAACTTACCTTAACCCACTATCCAAACACACCGTATACGCTTATCTGACCTCCCCTGGTGCCACGGTAACTGTTTGGTCTCTTAGATCATAACTTCTCTCACCCTCTGAAAGCTTTTACGCCAAGGTAAGCGACTTCCTCCAAATTATTCTCTGTTTTTCTCTTTAGATTTCACATTACTCTTTCTATTTCTAAAACTGTTGTCTCTTGATAAGACTTTTCTGAAATGCTCCATGATGAAGACACGTGTTTTTGGTATTACCAAAACACTGTTGCTAAGATCAAGTACCATCGGCGCACAAGGTCCTCGCCCCCNCGTTATTATATTTTTATAAATTAAAATTTAACTTTTTAACTATATTATTATATAAATATATAAATTTTTAAGATTAAATTGATGATCTAGTGTAAGCTTTAATGACCATCGGTTATTATTCAAAATCCAAACTTAAACCCAAACATAAATTCAAATTCAAATCCGGTGCGTTTGGATAATCGACAAGAATAAAAATGGATTGAATTTTTTGTATCCTAATCCATCCCACCCAAACTCATTCAGATACGTANTTCGGTCGGTATCCCTCCCTCGGTTCCGAGATGAGCCTTTCTTCGGTGCCGAGGTGTACCCCGTCCTGGACGCCTCTTCTACTCCAGGATAAGCTATTGACGTACAGGTCATTAGTCTAGGCTAGTCTAGGCTANGTAATTAGTTGAGTTATCTATACTATCCAACTCAAATCATTGTTTGGCAAAGAACAAAACTTCACTTGACTTTTGTAAGTATTTACCGTTGTACCCATCGATGAACCAGACCTGTACAGAAGTCACCACCACCGCCGCCACTACAGAAACGCCACCACCGCCACAACAGATTCTACAACTCCATCTCTAACAGATTCTTACAGTGAGGAACTTATTACTGGTGTAACAGATGTGCATACAGGTCTTCCCAACAGCTCCATCTCCAACTGCACGCATTTGATGNTACAAACGATTAATTGCACCACTCCCTTGATGAGACTGCATTCAATGCGGTAAGACTCGAAAATGAAAGGCAATAAATGCTCCTAATACAGAGCATTTATTGCATCCTCCCCGAGAGGAGTACATTGTACCGTCGGCATCCCGATGACCCAGCATTGATTGCTCGGGACCCCGAGCAGTTAAGAAGAGAAGACATNACATTTAATTACACCATTCCCTTGATGAGACCGCATTCAATGCGGTAAGGCTCGGAATTGAAAGACAATAAATGTCTCTAAGGCTGAGCATTTATTGCATCATCCCCGAGTGGAGCTCATTCTACAGTCGGCAGCCCGATGACACAGCATTGATTGCTCGGGACTCCGAGCAGTTAAAGAAGAGAAGACATTCTTCATCAAAATCAGTGCGCACACTGCCTGTACCTAATGATCACTTACTGACTATACTGACAGCAATCATGAGCTTTTGAGGTATAAATACTCCTTGCAAAAGGCAAGACGGGTATGCAACAAAAAACTCTTTACTACAATACACACTCAGTGTTTTCTCCTTCCTCTCTCTTTCTCNAGAGATGAAAGAGGAAGAAGATGAAGAAAAGTATCTTAAAATGGTGAAGAGACAATAAGAAAGAGTTAGATTTAGGTACAGAAGTCCATCTCAAAGGCTTGTAGATTCAAAATCATCCACCATCGTGGTGGATGATTTTGACTGTGAACGCCAAAGGTCTGGAGAGAGAGAGCTCACAAGAGAGGAAGGGGGGTAAATATGTCATTACCTTTTGTAACCTGTCGGCTGGAATTGAAACCCAGGGTAGAGGTGGGTTAATTTTAACCCATGTAACAAGGTTAAAAATTATTGAAACATCCGGGTCAAGGATAGACCCGAACTCAATTTTGACTTCTCAAACAAAGATTTTGTAGGATCTTTACCTTATTATCCTATCCTTATAGAGGTTAACTTACCTTAACCCACTACCCAAACACACCGTATACGCTTATCTGACCTCCTCTGGTGCCACGGTAACTGTTTGGTCTCTTAGATCACAACTTCTCTCACCCTCTGAAAGCTTTTACGCCAAGGTAAGCGACTTCCTCCAAATTATTCTCTGTTTTTCTCTTTAGATTTCACATTTCTCTTTCTATTTCTAAAACTGTTGTCTCTGTTTAGGTTTACCGTTTTTGTCTCTGTAATGATTCAACATAATGAATTCAATATTGTTGAGAATATATATTNTCTCTGTTTAGATTTACCCTTTTTGTCTCTGTAATGATTCAACATAATGAATTCAATATTGTTGAGAATATATATTATATTATATATGGTTTCCATTATTGTGCTTTGCAATCACTTGTTCAACTTAGTTTATATGGTTTACTTTCTGGGTATGTTTTTGATCATTAAATTCCGTTATATTCTCCTTATTACACATTGTTGGAGTTAAAGATACCCACTTCTTTTAAAAGTTCTGTTACATTCTTTTCATAGATCGCGTTCTGTACTTGATGCCTAAGTATAAATACTAATGAATTCAAGAATTAGTCAGCCATGGAATGAAGTGAGAACTTTAAGAGCCACACTCCACCTAATGAAGATACCCCCCTTCTTTTTTTTTGGTTCATGCGTGTCCGAGTCAGCTGAGGTGTACCAGTTTGTATTGGGTTGAACCAATACACCCCCTTTTGTGATTCTTTATGTGTTGTTGGTGCATGCAGTATAGGCGTTCCTGCAGATTTTGTTGCTTGTATTTGTTTTCTTTGATTTGTCTGATCTCATCTTTGATGAATGTATTTTACTGTGGTTATTGCTGTTCTTCAAGATAATTTTTCCGACTTTTCAGGGTAAAGGTGATTAAATCCTTGACGACTTCTTCATACAAAGATTTTACAGGAATGAGAGTATGCAATGGATGGCATCGATTTCTTTTATGTATTCCTCTCTTATTATTCTTTGCTCATATGTTGTCAGGTAATGATAGTTTACTATCTTGTTCTGCTTACTATACCATGTTTAAATTTTTCGGTACAACTGACAAGGAAAATTTTCCCCTTTTTACCAAGTTTTAGAGTTGCACCAAAACCCATCTGCACAAGAGCTGCACAGAAAACAACCCAAAAAATTTGGTCATCTGGTTCTTGGACCTGCTGCTGGTGAAGGTTTGCATGACCGTCTGCAATGCCAAGGTTTTTTCTCATTAAATCTTCTTTAAGACAAACAAATTTTGTCTTGATCATATTCTTTTGAATTTCCATTGTTACACATTCTACACTGTGGTTTACATTCCCTGCTATTTATATTTTGTCATAGGACTTTTAATCTATTGGTTTTTTCAATTGTGATTGTGCTTCCTCCAACTCTTTGATGCTAAGTTTTGATGGATCTATCTTTTGAAGTATCATAAATGGGACTTTATTATGCTTGCCATTTACAACAGTATCAGCTTATGTGTAATGCTCAACAAAAAGCAAAAAGACAAAAGAATATACTTCTTATAAAACTGGTATTATTACTTATGCAGACTTCAGTCATGTCATTTACCAAGCTCACAGTTGTTTGCTTTATGGTCAAATGTTTTCTGAATAGCTGCAGTGAATAATGGCATAAATGCATAACTATTTTTTTCTGAGAAAACCAATTATTTTTGCTCGAATTGAATATTGTATTGAACTCATGTTCACCTATTCTAACCTACCTGCATACTTATATATTTTGAGTCTGATGGATCTTGTAACATTCAGATANATTCTGAGAAAACCAATTATTTTTGCTCTAATTGAATATTGTATTGAACTCATATTCACCTATTTTAACCTACCTGCATACTTATATATTTTGAGTCTGATGGATCTTGTAACATTCAGATATATATGGTGCAAATACCTTTTTTTATCTGAATTTCTTGTCCTTTTGTCACGGGATTATTTTATAAACATTAATCACTGCTTGTGTACGTTATGTTTTGATTTGTTGCAGGTGTCAAAGCTCTTAACAACACTCACTTTTCCTCTTACAATTCCAACTTTGGGAGCCACATTGCCTTCGTCACTGTATTTGCCACCTTTAACCCCACTGTTGACAGGCAGGTCAATGGTAGATCAAGTGACTTGCTTACCGTTGGGAACACTTCATACAACAAGCTGGAGAGGTCAATGGCAATTTTGAACGTCTTCATTAATTTCATTCAGGTAAATTGCTCTGTAGATACCCATACAGCAGCAAAGGATAATCATACCTTTTCATTTATCAAGAAAGTTGGGTTCTGGTTGTTAAACACGCATTAGTGGAAATGTTGACAAGAAACTACCCCAAGTTCTTTTCATGCTTGCCTTAAGTCCTAGTATTCAAGACTTGTCTCATGGCTTTGACAAGTAAACAGCGTACAAACTAATGCCAAAGGTTATGTATATACCGATTCCATCTTTCTCACAGGCTCAACTAATGGGAACCAAACTGGGTAATCAGTTTTTCGCCATTGTCTCTTGTAGTAATAAATGCTTCAGCTAACAATTGTGAGATTGTGGGTTCAATTGACTGCAGCTTCTTGTGCAGATAGTGCCAAGATTAGCTTTGTACCCAGTTTATCCCTCGATGTCTCTCGTCAAAGGGGACCTGTAATTATCTTTTTTTCAAATACCTTGAGAGGTGGGAATAAGGGTGCCTAATTGACATTTTTTTCCCCTACTTTTTTTTTTTTTGGGGTGGGGGGGATGCGGTTGTCTTGAGAATGTGGGCATAGTTTAGGGAATTTCTCTTGGTTGTATAGATAATGAAGTGTGTGCCTCATCATTGGAAAACTTTCATGGGACTAAAATTTGTTTCCAGTTTTAATGCTATTTTTCCTTCTTTCTTAAATTGGATGAGAATGGTTTCTTTTCGTTTTACTTTCAGGAAAAAAAAAATGAGAATGCATTCCGGCTTTCTCCCTTTAATAAGTTTACAAAACTTTCATTTTCTAAGTTTTATTTTTGATCTCTCTCTCTCTCTCTCTTGCACACACACATGCATGCACCAGGCACTCAAAACATCGGCTTGGATAAAGCATCATATATCCATTATGGACCTTTTTTTGATCATTAAATCTACAATACACGAATGTTAAGTTTTTCACCTGAAGATTACGTAAGAAGATCTGTTTTGATTGAGGTGAGATGAATCCCAAGTTCAGCTTCTTTTTACACATTAATCCGACTATCATCAGCTTGGATAAAACATCCTATATCCATTATAAACCTGTTTTTGATACTTAAATCTAAAATGAATGTTAAACTGTTCACCTGAAGATTACAAAAGAGAAGTTGAAAATAATTTCAGATCAAGCTCCTATGCTTTCATGAGTTCTGATTTGTTTGTTTTTGGGAAAGTGAGTTCTGGTTGGTTACTACTAACTAGTGATACACTCTTCAAAAATATAGCAACCACATGTCAAGACTCATAATTTAAAAAGAAAGAAGGGAAAAAGACGGTCCATGACTCGTGTGTGCGTTGCTACGTATTAAGATTTGTCAAGAATTTCTAGCAAAAAAAACTTTTAATCTGGGTGTGTCAAGCTGGCAATGGTTCGATTTTGCAGCACTGGGCTAGCTCCATGATTAAACTTGGGTGAACTTTGTCAACTGATTCAACTCTATCTGGATGACTATCGCTTAGCCACCTGATCCACTGCTTTAGAGAGATCATCCATGAAAATAATGCCCTTAGTTTCATTTGTAAAATAGATATTAGGGTGGTGTTTATTTTCCTTCAGAAGAAGCTCATACTTATACATTTTTGTTTCAGTACTTGGAAACAGCCCAAAGTTACATCAATTCAAAAAATCAAGTGTAGTATGCATAAGGGCCATTCAAGATTTGTTTAATAGGACCATGAAACTATTTTTTGTTGCAATTTTTATCTTAATCAGCTGTCTAGTTTGTGCTGATATAAAATATTTGCAGGTAACAATGCCCCAAAGCAACATTATCATTCTTACTGATCCAGCATCTGGGCTTCCGGTGCACAGAGATAGGGTAACTTTATATCCCATTCAAGGTGAATATTCACGAGAAAAATTGATGCTTCAAAGAATCAGGTCTTACATTGTAAGAGCACATTTCTGTTGTTGGTTATTGCCACTTTACTGCAGCTTTGTTACATATGTTGTTTCTCATGCACTGTATAGAAAAGAATGCCCCCCCCTCTCTCTCTCTACAAACATGCATATGTTTCCAAAGGTTAATTTTGGACATTTTCCCCTTGTGTTTTGTATTTTTTATGGGGGGTGGGCGTTTGTGGTGAATTATGTGTGTGCTGTGTGTTTTTGTTGCTCTATAATTGATACTTGATCATATGAGGTACATCTTATTTGTGGTATTTTCATGTGTTAAGTAGTGTAAGGATCAAATCATCTGATTGCTTATTATTTGAAAGAGTTTTGTGAATAGCAGTAAGTTGCAGTACTAAGATGACTGCAATTATGTATTGTTTTACAATTTGTTGTACAGTGTTCATGTGTGCCTTCTCTGTCTATGTAGGCCTTTCTAGAAACAAGGCCTGAGGAGCATTCTCAGTGGCAGGGGCAAGTTTATCATTCCATCTTTACTGATTCAGACATTGCCGTGGTTGATGATCTGGGACAAATATTCTCTTACTACCCAAATTTTGATGTGGCGCTGACCTTCCGCAACAACAAAGAACAACCACTGAATTCAGGATTTATAGCAGTGAGGGGCACCCCTGATGGAATTCTAAGGTGTGTTTTGCTTAGTCTGGTTATAGTTACTTAAAGATTGAATCAGCTGCAACATAAACAGATCAAAAGAAAGTATGTATGCTTACATGCTTAGCTTGTTGGTTTATAATAACAGAAAACTCAAAACTAGACCTCATACATTTTGTTGGGTCACAGCCCAAAACTTTGTTTCTTAGAATTCTGCTTTAGTGAAGCCTGGAGTCAGCCATCAAGAGAGAAAATTTGAGGAGTCACCTCCCTTTAGAGAGATCGGTCACTTTTTGGCACAACCTGCTGCCTCCAGGCTCATCACCATGGCACTACCACCTTCCATTCGCATATGGTTCTTCACCTTTTGTACCTGTGCCATTGCATTTAATACCTTCTTATAGAGTGATGGAACAGGGAGGATTCTTGGGGTATGGACACAGACATGGACAAGAGAGAACATAGACACGAGGCAAGCCAGGCAACTCACTCCATGAAACTAAAGAAAGGGAGAGAGACACAACTAGCCATAACAGTGAAATATTGTATCGGGAGGAACAGCACCTAATGATTAGCAAATCTAACAAGTTATTGTAAAATCGTAACTTGTGTGTTACAATAAACAATTCCCACCTGTGTTGCATAATGTAATCATGGGTACGTGTCTCATGACCTGCTCATAAACATGAGGAGGGATCCTTGTAGTAATTGACTAATTGTCTAGGCCACTATTGAGCAAATCCACTATGAGTGTCCACCTCAAAGGCGAACACATACCCAACCAAGACAAAGTTGGCTAGGAGGTATTTATGATGTCACATACATTCATCACTCATGGATCTTACCTGGCAGGCCTCAACGGGCAGGGAAAACGTTTCCTTTTCTCGACCAATTCAGTTGTGTATAAACTGGTAGTTTCTTTGTTGAAATCATCTATTTGTCCACTACAAATCAGAATCAGACATAAGTCTAAAATGTCCAAGAAGTGTAAGAATCTAACACAGACATGGCACCTTAAAAGTTTCTNTCTGGCAGGCCTCAACGGGCAGGGAAAACGTTTCCTTTTCTCGACCAATTCAGTTGTGTATAAACTGGTATTTTCTTTGTTGAAATCATCTATTTGTCCACTACAAATCAGAATCAGACATAAGCCTAAAATGTCCAAGAAGTGTAAGAATCTAACACAGACATGGCACCTTAAAAGTTTCTTTGCTTGTTGGAGGTGCAAGCAAATTATAGGGGCCAGAATCCGAAAACAAGGGACTATGCGCTCTCTTTGCCATTCAGATGGAGATAAATTGTCCTTCTTTATCTACTTTTTGTTCTTTATGGTCTTGGAACAATCAGCAATGCTTCCAAATATTGACTTTGTTCTGAAGTGATCATGACTAAATGGCTGCAGGGCAAAGGTTTTCTTAGAGGAAGTACTGAAGATTTACAGTTCAAAATACATGAAAGCTTCCAGAATGCTTGGAGATCAATTAGCACTTGTCTGGGTTGTGAAATCTCACCCTTCATTTGATGCAAAAAGGTTTACTAGACGGCAAGCTTTTCTAGACGATGTTGCTGGTGCCTCTGTGCTCTTCTTACCATGTTTGATGTACAACTGGACACCACCAGAAGGTGCAGGGCAATTTCATGGGATGCCGTTGGATGTTAAGGTACACACCAATAATTAAATAACCTTCTCACGACGATTTTACTCAGTACCCATTATTTCTTTGGTTCGTTCCATTGTAGTTTGAAAGAGATAATTGAATTCTCAATTTTGGCTTTATTACTACATCCAGGTTGTTCATTTCAAGGGATCAAGGAAACGTCTCATGGTCGAGTCTTGGAACTTCTTGAGTTCCTCCTCCTCTTTTGACATTTCGGATATGTTATGCCTCATTTTAAAGAGTGGAAGAACAAAGTATGATTTTTAAATTCAACTTCGTGTTCGTCCGGGCTTAGCCTCTGGATCATCCTCTCTAATTCCTGTCGGGAACAACTCAATTCATCAGAACGTATGGTGGCAGTTTTTCTAGCCAATGTGGTGGATAAATTCTGTCGTAGCCTTGATCGGTTGTTGGATACTTGGCTCAATTCATGAGTTTGGCACTGCTGGTNAACTCAATTCATCAGAACGTATGGTGGCAGTTTTTCTAGCCAATGTGGTGGATAAATTCTGTGGTAGCCTTGATCGGTTGTTGGATACTTGGCTCAATTCATGAGTTTGGCACTGCTGGTAGCAGATGGTTTTTGACTTAAGAGACTACAGGAGAAATGATAATTGGTAAAGATGTGAGCTTAGCTGCTGCAAATATGTCATTATAGTTCGTTTAAATTCGTCATCTTTGATCAAAGTTAGCTCTTATTTTACATCTCTCATGCAATTTTAATTTTTTTGATAGAATTTTTATCCTTATTTTCTAGTTAGTACACAACACTCGTTTATGAAAAACGAGTAACTTACTTTACTAACAAGCGTGAGAGCAATGTGCTTTGCCTTTTGGTTTTGAACTTCTTAGAGCTTTTAAGTCNATTTTTTTGATAGAATTTTTATCCTTATTTTCTAGTTAGTACACAACACTCGTTTATGAAAAACGAGTTACTTACTTTACTAACAAGCGTGAGAGCAATGTGCTTTGCCTTTTGGTTTTGAACTTCTTAGAGCTTTTAAGTCCCCTTTTGGGGGAAGCACCATAAATCTCCATTTCTTTTCTCATCAAAGTTAGACTTGTTTTCTTATTTTTCCGAAATTATTTACCTTGTCATTAAGACGTTTGATATGGGAAATGTAAGTTGAATCCTTGATCCCTTGAAATGAACAACCTGGATGTTAATTAATCATGCGAAAAAAGCATGATTAATATGAATATAAGATTAGAAATGCAAGTTTTCCTTGTAAATGATGGACCAAGAAGTTCATATTCTGTGCATTTATAATAATTCCCCAATGCAAAAGATTGTGTTTTGTGCACAAGATAAAGTGCACCCTGGTGGCTTGCTTGTGGTTAAAGCTGATAATCGAGTCGAGTTTTGTGAGTTCAAGTCGAGTCTGTTAAGTTTATTTTTTAAAATGAGCTTTAAAAATTATTTAAGGTCGGTCAGTTTAAAAAGCAAGTTGAGTTTAAGTAGTTCAATTATTGTATATATAAACGAGTCGAGCTTTTGAAGCTTGAGCTGAGTTTTTTTAAGCTTGCTTTTTTAAACGTTCCTTATACAAGTTGGATTCTAGCTGACANTAAGTTTATTTTTTAAAATGAGCTTAAAAAATTATTTAAGGTCGGTTAGTTTAAAAAGCAAGTAAGTAAGTTGAGTTTAAGTAGTTCAATTATTGTATATATAAACGAGTCGAGCTTTTGAAGCTTGAGCCGAGTTTTTTTAAGCTTGCTTTTTTAAACGTTCCTTATACAAGTTGGATTCTAGCTGACATCAAGTAGCTTTTCTTGACTATCAGCCTTACTTACGTTAACAGTTTGTACACAAAAAGGGTTGTAACCCAGATGCTCTTACTCCTTATGCAATAACAATCCAGCCATTCCCACAAACAGGAAAACCTATATTGGATTCTAAGCTAAAATCAAGGAGACTTGATTCATAAAATCATGAAGGCCTATCCATGAAAAATACCTATTCAAAGTGTTNGGGTTGTGACCCAGATGCTCTTACTCCTTATGCAATAACAATCCAGCCATTCCCACAAATAGGAAAACCTATATTGGATTCTAAGCTAAAATCAAGGAGACTTGATTCATAAAATCATGAAGGCCTATCCATGAAAAATACCTATTCAAAGTGTTTCAACATTTAGGACCATAAATTTACAGAAGCTAGACCTCAGAAGGCACCATGTTAAACCCACACTACTCGAAGGTCATTGACACTCAAATCCTCCAATGCTAACTCCCCCTCCTCTCTTTTTCTTTTAAAAAAAAAGGCAAATTCGAGTGCATTTTTTCAGAACAAATTTAAGTTCTGAAAAAGGAAAAGGAGAACATGTGTGTATATGGTTCAAAAGACAACACACCACATGGATAATGAGCTCAAAATTAGATAAGAGATATGAGAATCATAGCCTTTAAAGATTGAACAGTGTAATGAAAACTATAAAAGCAATAGNACCACATGGATAATGAGCTCAAAATTAGATAAGAGAGATGAGAATCATAGCCTTTAAAGATTGAACAGTGTAATGAAAACTATAAAAGCAATAGTAAAATGATGTAGAATAATATGCACTCCCCCCTTTGCACACAACAAAGGAAAAACTGTCAAAGCAAGCTTGCTGGGGTTGTCTGGTCTACTAGACTTTCGACAAGTCCAAGAATCTCGATTTAGGAAGCTAAATTAAGGACAATAAGGAGTTATCATCCATTCTGCCAAAAAAAAAAAAAAGAATTACCATTGATAATGAAAAGGTGGATCTTCCCGGGGTCCTAATCAATGAAAGATCTTAGACCTAAAAATGAGATGGTACACACAGTGATTTTATTGTACCGAAAAAAGCTCATAATTTCTTTTCTCCAACTCGGTAGCTGATGCAGTATGGAATAGCAATGGACCTTTTCCAATGAGCTTTTATGAGTTTCAAGAACTGTAAGTCTCCATAGTCAGAGGTGGGTTTCAATAAAGACAGACCTAGTTCCTATGTAGCAATTAGTTGTATCTATGTATAGAGCTTGTATGGGAATAGGGGAGGGGAGAGTTTTGACTGCTGAAAATTGTCATTGTGAGAAGGCTTGTGTCATTCAAGGGTAGAGTGATTTCTCCCTACTTGGATGAATGGTTCCCCAACTATTTTTCCTTGTTTGTACGATTTTATGCAGTCAATCCTCTTCTAAAATGATTCAAGTTTTGTACTTGCGCCTTTGAGTCTTTTTATTAAGTTTGGCCTGGATCACTACCAAATGCTGGAGGAACCAGTTCAAGCTATTTAATACTAACAACCCCTTTGNCTTTCCTTGTTTGTACGATTTTTATGCAATCAATCCTCTTCTAAAATGATTCAAGTTTTGTACTTGCGTCTTTGAGTCTTTTTATTAAGTTTGGCCTGGATCACTACCAAATGCTGGAGGAACCAGTTCAAGCTATTTAATACTAACAACCCCTTTGCTATTGCATCTCCACGAGGCACTCTGCTCCAACCCACCCCCCGGGAGAGAGACTGTAAGTGAGCTAATTTTCCTCCTCCTTTACACCCCAGAGCAGCAAAGATAGATCATTCTCCTTTAAAATTCATAGCTCAGAAATATTTCAATTTTCAATCAACCTCAAGTGAATGCAAATGTTCTAAGTGAAACCACCCAACAAGGGACAGACTGTAAGTGAGCTACACTCATTTTGCATAGGCTAGTGAATGACANGTAGCTCAGAAATATTTCAATTTTCAATCAACCTCAAGTGAATGCAAATGTTCTAAGTGAACCACCAAACAAGGGACAGACTGTAAGTGAGCTACACTCATTTTGCATAGGCTAGTGAATGACATGGAGCATAGGCCAACATTAACCGTGCCAACAACATAAACAAAACTAAACCTGCAAAAGATACTGAAGCTGAAATTACATAAATTTGGAGAACTCGAGAAATAGCTAATATCGATGACCAGTCTATAGAGTTGCATAAAACCAACCTATACACATTCTCGATCTCCTTAATGGTGAACTCACCTTGCTTATTCATAAGGACTTAATCTAACTATTATGCTCAGCCAAACAAATCTTAGTAGGTTTCCCACATCAAAACAACTAAATGTACTAGTGGAAGTATCATTTCTCATTACACTCCAAAAAAAAAACCACCTTACATAGAGATAAGGTTCCAGTCACTAAAAGAAACTATTGAATTCCCTACCAAAAATAGGTTATGCAGAATTTTAGGTGGTCCAACACTTGGGGCTAAGAAGAGGTTGCTAAGGAATGAAAAACAGCTAAAATATTTTCAAAACCAAGAGTTGACCTACAATAGCATCAACCAAGACTGCTGGAATTTTAAATACTTCAACAAGGTTAAACTAAAGGCAGTGTACCTATTCATTCATTGACCACCACTTAATCGTATCCTCTATATCACGATGGCGGATGGCTCTAATGGTTTATTTATAAATAAATATCCCCTGGGCGAATAAAACTGAGGAAACTTTACCAGACTATTGGTTTTGAGATTCATATTTCGCCACGATTTAGCAACTCGTTCCATTTTATACAAGATATCCACTAAATGGATCTAAACATCAGAAAAGGAAAGAGCATAAACAAGTGAGTAGGTTAGTGTAAAAGGTCAAGAAGCAATATGAAAGAGTCACCACATAACAGCACTGTTAATTAAAACATGAACATCATAAACACCACAAATTTTACAGCAGAAAATAATTATGAAATAAATAGCAAGTCACATGTTATTAAATGAATCTATGAAGGGAATATAATAGCTGAATTATCGTGTGCTACTTTATTTGAATTACAAAATGATGATACAGGTCCACCGATCAGCAAATTGCTCTGTCAGTCATGAATTCTACAATGATGAAACTACAACAATTACATTCCCAATAGTTCTATAAAAACATGGTTCTGGATTGCCTTTGATACAGATCGGATCAGAATGCACAGCAAACAATTAGAACCAGCCACAAAAACTTCTTCATCGTGGGATGCAAATTTCCTCCTTTTATGACATCATTAAGATATATGAAAACGAGATAATCGGGCAAAGAACAGATATATGCNTGGATCAGAATGCACAGCAAACAATTAGAACCAGCCACAAAAACTTCTTCATCGTGGGATGCAAATTTCCTCCTTATATGACATCATTAAGATATATGAAAACGAGATAATCGGGCAAAGAACAGATATATGCTGAAAACAATCATAAGAATCGAAATGAACAAGAATCCGAATGATCCTACCACACAATTGAAAGAATGTATCACTGCACACTCTTCTTTCCATTTCCATAGTAACTGAGATACCAATGAACAAATTTCTTCAAACCTGTGGGCAGATCTGTCGTGGGCTTATACCCAAGCTCCCTATGAGCCAAACTTATATTGGCATGGGTGAATTGCACATCTCCATTTCGTGGCAACTTCATTATTGACCTCTTCGCTTTCACTTTCAATAGCCTCTCCAAAATGCTCACAAGATCCGAAACTGGCACAGGAGAAGTGTTACCCAAATTGTACACCCTCAATTGAGCCGGCCCTTTCTTCTTCCCACCACTACCAGTACTCTTCTGTGCAGTGTCCAATGCACCCAAACAACCCTTTACAATATCATCAATGTAGGTGAAATCCCTAGCAACAGTACCATGATTAGGGGCTTCAAAGATGGGTATTGACTTCCCCTTCAATATATCCCTAGTAAAGAAAAAATAAGCCATATCTGGCCTACCCCAAGGTCCATAAACTGTGAAAAACCTCAACCCAGTAAGTGAAAGTCCATATATATGATTATAAGTATGTGCAATCTCTTCACCAGCCTTTTTAGTTGCAGCATACAAACTAGCAGGCTGATCTGTTCTGTCTCTCTCCGAAAACGGAACCTTGGTATTCAATCCATAAACAGAACTTGACGATGCCCACACAATTGCAGGCTGTGGATTGGCACTTTTACAAACCTCAAGAACACTCACAAGCCCAGCAATGTTGCTATGAACATAAGAGCCTGGATTTTCCATTGCATACCTCACACCGGCCTGTGCGGCCAAATGCATTACATGGGTAAATGCTACAATATCAAAAAGCTTCTTGAGGAGAGAGACATCATTGATATCACCCTCCACAATGTAGACCCCAGACCGCTCTAAGAGAGCTTGACGAGCTCGTTTCAATGACGGATCATAATAGTCATTGAAATTATCAAGGCCCAGAACACCGTCCCCACGGCGTTTCAGGGCGGCGGAGACGTGGGTTCCGACAAACCCGGCTGCTCCGGTGACAAGCACAGAGATCCCATTATTGGATCGGACTCGAGCCGAGGACCGGACGCGTTTTTCCCAGGCGGGTCCGCCATAGGAATTAGTTCGAAGCGATCGGCGAGAGAGATCTGAGGGTGTCGGTGAAGATGAAGATGGTGATCTGTAGAAGAAGATGAAGATCAAGCCCGAGAACACTAGGGACCAGAAGGTAAGCTTGGCCAAAGAAGAATGCCACCGCAATCTGTGTATATGTGGAGATTTTTCCATCTTGAACTTTCCTGGGGTTGATGAGATATTGTCAATGTGCTTCATTTGGGACATCACCTGCAAAATCTTCGAGTTTTGAAGAAGACCCTTGTTTGGATTTTCTTGTTTTGCGGGCAATTTTCTTGGGTTTTCTCGGAATGTGGGAAGAAATTTCAGGGGTTGAGTTTGGGAAAGTTCTTTTCTTTGCTTCAATTGTTGAAGATAAGAAAAAGAAAGAAAAGGGTGTGGTGATGGTGTTGGTGGTGATGGTGTTGGAACCTTTTTTTTTCGCTTTCTTTATACGAATCTTCTGGTTTCTTGGAGAAACTGACTGTTGTAGTTGGATTTACTTTGTGGGTTTTCTGGTTTTACATATGAAAGGTTGACATTTTGATAATCGATTAAGCAAACAGGAAGAGAGAGAGACAGAGGGAGAGAGAGAATGTGACCGGGGGTGGACTTCTATTAGAGACGGAGAGGAATAGGAATGTGTGGAAGGATTTACAGTGGACTAATGGAGATTAAGAGGAGTCAAAATAGATATGTAATTAATGAGAAGTGTTAATCCCAACAAGTTTAAGCTATAAATTAGGGGTTTGATTCATCATTAGCCATCACAAAAATCATATCTTCAGCTGAATTAATGAATGGATAAATATGACAAACAAAAGCTTTTAGTCAATTGGGTTTTACTTCGATTGGTTGAGGAAGCCATGAAATTTAGGCCTCCATCTTCAACTCCTTTATTTAACCAATTCTATTTGGGGAGGAGTGATGAAGTTTTTGGAGATTTGAAGGGTGGGGTTAAAGGGTTTGTTGGAGATGGTGTGGATGAGATTTTGAGGCTAATTACGATTCTAAAATTTCACACCATTGAAAGGTGTGAGAGATTTATTGGGGATTTGGGACTTTTTATTCTTAAATTAATTTTTGCACCAAAATTTATTTAAGCATTGTCTGATTAAAAGTTATATTTTATTTTGAATAATATTATTCGGACTTAAAAAACTCACCTATCATCTTAACATAATAATATAACATGCAATATGATCCCATCAAAATGTGCACATGTCACGTCACGACTATGTCAAAAAAACGGATAGAAATTAGAAAAAAGGACTAAATCGTCACAAATTACATATTTTAAGGATTAAATTGATAAAATTAAAATTTGAGGGACTNTTGTGTCAAAAAAATGGATAGAAATTAGAAAAAAGGACTAAATCGTCACAAATTACATATTTTAAGGATTAANCTATGTCAAAAAAACGGATAGAAATTAGAAAAAAGGACTAAATCGTCACAAATTACATATTTTAAGGATTAAATTGATAAAATTAAAATTTGAGGGACTAAATTGACAAAGACCATATGTTTTAGGGACCAAAATTGTCAAAAAGGAAAACCCTTTTTTTCTTTCAAAGAATGTTAGAAAGTTAATTAATTGGGAAGGGGAATAAAAAAATAAATAAAATAAACCTACTCTAAACTTGCTAGGTTACACAAATTTTAAAAAAATAGATAGAAATGTTGTGTCTTTGCTACTTGCGGATGATATTGATACGTAACTAAACCTATCGTTTATGGGCTTTATTTTGACTTTCGGCTATTTTGTTTTTGAGTTGATATGAGAGGTGTCTAAATAGTAAATCCTTTTTTGAGTTCATATTTTGCCGATATTTGACCCTCACATATTCTAGAAGCCTATATACGTTGAAGCACAAATCCTTTTCTATTTTGAGTTGCCAAATTGTGTTAATTTAAAAAATGGGCATGTGTAATGTTATTTGTGCCAAATTTTTTATTTTTAGGTTTAATGAGGGATGTTCAGACTAACTTACGTGCATCTCGATTAATCATTTTTCTGATATTGTCAAATATAGGTCAACTACAACAAGTATTCATGAGAGATAAATTTATTGTGATTTAGCCCTAAGGGGTTGTTAAGATTCCAATTCAAAACGTTTACAACTCGTCTTTATTATCACTTGAATTATTCTTTGAAATTTATGTGCACCCAGTTTCTTGCTTCAAATGATGTGGCAACATCACATTCATTGGATGTATAATAAGTGTCAATGGATCCCATAAATCTAACAACTCACATTATTTGGTGCAAATATTTTTTTTTTGCTACGTGGTGTTTAGACTTATACCGATTATTATCTCGAGTTCAGCAGCTAACCACTGTGACTTAAGCTGGTCTAGAGCATATTTTCAAAAAGATAAGAGTGACTAATCTTTAAGGGGCGTGAGAAGGAATTGAACTTTAGACCTCTTAATTAGAATAAGCACATATTGTTATGTCAAGCCATCCTAACTAGCATGTCACATGAGATTCATCAAGACTCAAGAGAGGTTTAAGTTGATCAAGACATTCATAATTGTCGAGGAAAGACTATTTCAAAAACATTAAATACACATCCAACAACTCACATCATTTGGTGAACATATCGTTATGACAAAGTCATCTTAACTAGCATGTCACATGAGGTTCATCAAGAATCAAGAGAGGTGTGAATTGACCAAGACATTCACAATAGTCAATAAGATTAGGAAGACTACATCAAAATATTAAGGAAAACATAATTGGCCGAAATTAATGTATGTAGTAGGTAAAATTTTTGAATCTAGAAGAAAAAAAGTGCTATATTTACAATTTACTTATTTGTAGGCGAGGTTAAAAGATCAACACATAAATACCAAAATAATGAGTGATGGGTCTGGCCCAAGGCCCAACTCCGATAGTGAGCCCAACTCAGGCACGACCCAACTTGGATAGTGGGTCTGGTCCAGACGACACTCAATGGATCCAACCCAAAAGAGACCTAAATCAAGTCAGACTTTTCAAAGCCCCGACAATCACACCATCCTAGAATGAAGGAGTCAGTGACATCATCCTAGAGCCTCATCCATGTCATCCTAGAATGAGGAGGTTTGTCACGCCATCCTAGAACCTGGTCTTGAAGAAATCTTCACGCCTGCTCAGCAATTACCTTACCTATTACAAGGATGGCGCCCACTCCATCAAATCAGTTTTTCTGTTACTTATAAAGGCACCTCAATCTATTAAGAAACGCTTAAAAATTGTAAGTCCCGCCTACACATGGGGGGTATCGCTCACATCTCGTATTTTGCCTATTACTTACACTGGAGCACCCAACACTCTTTGAAGTAATAAAACACCTAGGTCATCCTAATCTTTCACAGTAGAATAGATTAATTTGACCGAACCACTTAAATTGTATTTTGCTTGTGTTGACTCTCTCCTTATTTATTTACTGTATTAATTACTTGACAAGTGGTGTATAAAATTAATTTGTGCATCATCAATTAGTACTTGGATCACTTCTAATATATTTATCTTTAATTTTTCTCAATTAATTCACTATTTTAAGTCAGCATCAATAAAACATGCGATGAGTAAAAAGTGTACAGTAAGTAATTTGAATTTCAATAATTAAATAAGTTAATCTGAATTTGAATCTTGTCTAATTTATTTATTTTTTTCAAATTTCTATTAATGCTAGATCATACACAACGAATTAAATTGATCTATAATCTTGACAATCCCTCGCAGTTAGGTCATGAGAGATTTATTCCTTATAAATATCATAATCAGACTTGTCTTTGACTGGACTGAATAGGGGACTAGTCGATGTACAGATAAACTGGTTCGAACACTCATAACTGTTGAAAAAAAATAAAATAAATTGAACTATGAAATATAAGNCTTATAAATATCATAATCAGACTTGTCTTTGACTGGACTGAATAGGGGACTAGTCGATGTACAGATAAACTGATTCGAACACTCATAACTGTTGAAAAAAAATAAAATAAATTGAACTATGAAATATAAGTGGATTTCTAAGAAACCATGGATAACGTGTTAGCAAATTAAGAAAAAATATATAGAAGATCTAAATGTGGTGGAATATAATATTTGGGCCCTGCGGTTATGGTAATCATACCGAAGTATTGGGAGACTGGACTATCCTACATTGGATAGCTTTGAGTGTGTGTGTTAATTTAAATACTCTACTTGACACTTCCTCTTTTAAGAGGTTGTGTTAAGTGTGCGTTAAAAAAAAATTTAAGAAAAAATATATAGAAGACCTAATAAATGTGGTGGAATATAATACATGTTTTGTTGGCATTAATCATTCAAATGTTGACTGTACCAACTTTTTTCTTTTTTCTTTTTTTTTGTGATTCTTTTCTATGACAATAAATATATACACGTTGTTCCCACAGAGTGTTTCAGAAGTAGGGGGGACTTTCAGTCTTTCACCTTCAAAGACGAACTAGAGTACACTCCACTTNGTGATTCTTTTCTATAACAATAAATATATACACGTTGTGCCCGAGTTTAGAGTGAGAAAGACGTGCACGGAAGGCATTGGAGAGAGAGAGAGAGAGAGAGGGCAGGTCCCACAGAGTGTTTCAGAAGTAGGGGGGACTTTCAGTCTTTCACCTTCAAAGACGAACTAGAGTACACTCCACTTGTTTCTACTAGAATCAACAATAAGTATACACAAATTACAACTACAAACACAAAATTAAACGTTATTTTCCTCAATTTTTAAAATATTTTTGTTAGTCTGAACGCTAAAACGCTTGTTAAAATTAACCCGTCAAATAACTCGGAT